CTCCTCTCTCAGTATGAAATCACAACCGTCACAGAGAAAGGTGTGGAAGTGGAGGGGCCTCTCTCCTTGGAGACCAACTGGGACATTGCACACCTGGTCAGGTAAGCCGGAAATGTTTGGGCCTTGTTTTGATGGTCTCTCTCCTTGCCAAGTGCCATTGCAGTTGTTGAGCCTCACAGTCCCACCCTGCCCAGGTACGATTGCAGAAAGTAGGTGGCTCAAAGGAAAGCCTGGCTCCCTCTCTTTAACCCAGGTATGGGCAAACCCAGCCTCAGGGGTTGGATGCAGCCCTTTGGGCTCTTCCCTTGGGTCCTCCTCTCTCTCACCATCCTATCCTTCCTTCCTGGAATCTGCCCTCAGTCCCCCTGGGGAGATAGGGCAGAATACAAATAAAGTTTTATTATTTTATTATTATTATTTCTTCTTTCTTTCCCTCCCTTCCTTATTTCCATCCCTCTTTCTCCCTTCCACCCTTTCGTCCTTCCTTCTTTCCCCCTTTCCTCTCTCCTCCCTCTTTTCTCCCTCCCTTCATTCCCTTCCACCCTTCTTTCCTTCTCTTCCCTTTCCTTCTTCTTTTTCCTCTCTCCCTCCATTCATTCTCTTCCACCCTTCTCTTCCTCCCTTCCTTCTTCCATCCTTTCCTCCCTTACCTACCTTTCTCCTTCCCTTCCCTTCCTTTCACCATTTCATCATTCTTTTCTCCCTTCCTTGTCTTTCCTTCCTTCTCTTTCCTTTCACACTTCTTTCCTTCTCTTCCTCCTTACCTCTCTCCTTTCCTTCCCTTTTGTCTTTCCTTCCTTCTCTTTCTTCCCTCCCTCCGTTTTCTTCCACCCTTCCTTCTCTTTCCTACCTTCTTCCATCCTTCCCTCCCTTCCTTACCTACCTTTCTCCATCCCTCCTTCTCTTCCTCCTTCCTCCTCTCACCTTCTTTCCTTCCCTTTTGTCTTCCCTCACTTCCTTCTTTCCTTCCTTCTCTTTCCTCCCTCCCTCTGTTCTCTTCCTTCCTCCCTTCCTTCTCCCATCCTTACCTACCTTTCTCCTTCCCTTCCACCATTTCATCCTTCTTTCCTGCCTTCCTTTCTTGTCTTTCCTTCCTTCTCTTTCCTCCCTTCTTTCCACCCTTCTTTCCTCCCTCCCTCCCTTCCCTTTCCTCCCTCTATTCCCTTCCATCGTTCTATTTCCTCCCTTCCTTCCCTTCTACCCTTTGGTCCTTCCTCCCATTCACCATCCCATCCTGACCAAGGCTAACCCTTTCGGGATCCAAACATTTCCCGTCTTTCCTTCACTTTCTCCCTCCAAAAGAGAAAAGGAAGGGAAGGAAAGGGCAGGGAGGGGATTTGGGGAGAACCTCCTCCCTCCTAGCCCACCCACCCACTCTGCTCCATGCGGCCCCCAAGTTAGAACGTTTGCCTGTGCCTGCTTTAAGCAGATGCGAAGGAGTGGCATCAGTGTTGTCCTCAATGCTGTCATGGGTCCTTTTTTAGTCGCAGATGTTTCTCTGAGACTGCCAAGCATGAAATAGCCATTCAGAGGCTTTTCAGGAAGTAACAGGGAAGAATTGACTAATGTACTTTCATGCAGATATTTGCATCAAGGAATGCAGCATTGAGGCCATAGTGCCATATTCCTATCCTTTGCATCAGTATGTCAACAAACAAAGCCCAACGTATTTCCCATTGGGCTTTGTTTGTTGACGCACTGATGCAATATCTGAATATGTAAACATATGTAAACTATTGATTTGATTGGGGCCAATCTGATCAATTTCCCCTTCTTTTTTTCCCAGTGGCTTTGAATGAAACTGAAGATGGTTCCCACTTTGTTTGTTTCTGTTGAGATCAAACCCCAGGCCTTTCGTGCCAAGGATTAGCAGGTCCATAAATGTCTTTTTTGTAAACCCAAATAAAACAAAAGGAGATCTTACTCCCTTGTGGATTCATTGTACTTACTGCTTGGGGTGTTCCAGAGGGATTGGTTTCTCAGTGGAAAGCCTGCTCTCGAGTTTAAGACTGTTATTGTGAGACTTGACACCATGTCCACAGCTATTCTATCCATTTATTCACCTGACTGACGTTCCTATGGAGAGACTGATCGGAAAGTGAGAATGGGTTTTGCAGTAAAAAAAAAATCTACAGCACTAAAAGAAACACAGAAAACTAGGCCTTTATGAAATACGATATCCTCGTTTTCTACAGGCCTGGAATGCTAATAATAATAATTATTATTATTATTATTTAATGTGCTCTAGATATACATCAGTTATCTTTTCTTTTCATTGCTTCCCTTCCTTCTGCTTTTCTTCACTTAACAGAGTGTTTCTCAACCTTCTTGTATTAAATAATATTTACTATTATTTATATTATATTGTTATTATAATATTCCTATTTATAATTCTAAGGTAGAGAAGAAGGAAGGTAATACCTGGATTATTGGGGTATTTATTATTATTTTAATAATACTATGATATTATTATTTTATATTATTACTATTTATAATTATTTCTCAACCTTCCTGTATCAAGGGCCTACTCCAAAAGGATATTTACTATTATTTATATTATATTGTTATTATATTATTACTATTTATAATTCTAAGGTAGAGAGGAAGGAAGGTAATACCTGGATTATTGGGTTATTTATTATTATATATTATTACTATTTATAATTATTTCTCAACCTTCCTGTATCAAGGGCCTACTCCAAAAGGATATTTACTATTATTTATATTATATTGTTATATTATGTATAATTCTAAGGTAGAGAGTAAGGAAGGTAATATTTGGCTTATTGGGTTAGTAATTATTACTTTAATAATAATATGATATTATTTTATATTATTCCTATTTATAATTATTTCTCAACCTTCCTGTATTAAGGGCCTACTCCAAAAGGATGTTTACTATTATTTATATTATATTGTTATTATAATATTCCTATTTATAATTCTAAGGTAGAGAGGAAGGAAGGTAATACCTGGATTATTGGGTTATTTACTATTTTTTAATAATATTATATTATTATTTTATATTATTACTATTTGTAATTATTTCTCAACCTTTCTGTATTAAGGGCCTACTCCATGACCCCTTAATACAGTTCCTTATGTTGTGATGACCCCTAACCATAACATTATTGTCACTGTAATTTTGCTAGTTTTATAAATCGCAAGGTAAATATCTGATGTGCAGGATTCACTGGACCAAATCTGACACAAATACCCAATATGCCCACATTTGAATACTGGTGGGGTTGGGAGGGGAGTTGATCTTGTCATTTGGGAGTTGTAATTGCTGGGATTTGTAGTTCACCTACAATCCAAGAGCATTCTGAACTCCACTGATGATGGAATTGAACTAAACTTGGCACACAGAAACTCCATGGCCAACAGAAAATACTGGAAGGGTTGGTGGGCATTGACCTTGAGTTTGAGAGTTGTAGTTCACCTACATCCAGAGAGCACTGTGGGCGCAAACAATGATGGATCTGGACCAAACTTGGCATGTATACTCAATACAACCAAATGTGAACACTGGTAAAGTTTGGGGAAAACGGACCTTGACATTTGGAAGTTGTAGTTGCTGGGATTTATACTTCACCTACAATCAAAGAGCATTCTGAACTCCACCAACGATAGAATTGGGCCAGACTTCCCACATGGAAGCTCCATGACCAACAAAAAATACTGTGTTGTCTGATGGTCTTTGGTGACCCCTCTGACACCCCCTCGCAACTCCCAGGTTGAGAATCGCGGACTTTTCTTTGGATCTTGACATGGATAAAGGATGGTAGCCTTGTTCCTTGGCCCTATCTCACCCATTTTATATATTCTGACATATATCACTTATATATATATGTCTGTATGTATGTGGCAGGGGTGTCCACTTCCACAGACAGGTTCCCACTTCCACAAATAGCTATGGCTCCCACGACTCAGGAGACACCAATGACCTTCCCTCCAATGACCTTGTAGGTTATAGCAAGCGCCATAAACATGTCCAAGAGCCCTGCCAATGTCCTCCACCAACACCACGCTGCCCATCATCCAAGTGAAGGCGTTCATATGGGGACCATTCCATCCTAGATTTTTTGTTTTCCCTCCACCACAGGCATCCCAGTGTTTCTGACTCTCTCCATTGGTGTGGAATTTGCATGACCCCCCCCCCCCCACTGCCTCTCCCTTCACCTTTTCCTTTTTATGGCATCAAATTGCCCACCACCCAAGTGAAGGCTTTCTGACGGGGACCACTCCATCCTAGATTTTCTGTTTTTCCTCCACCACAGGCATCCCAGTGTTTTTGACTCTCTCAGTTGGTGTGGAATTTGTATGACCCTGCCCACTGCCTCTCTGTTCACCTTTTCCTATTCTTTTCTATGGAACCACACTAGTGAATGCTTTCACATGGGGACCATTCCATCCTAGATTTTCTATTTTTCCTCCACCACACATATCCCAGTGTTTCTGACTCTCCATTGGTGTGGAATTTGCATGAACCCGCCCACTGCCTCTCCCTTCACCCTTTCCTATTCTTTCCTATGGCACCACACTGCTCACCACCCAAGTGAATGTTTTCACACGGGGGGACCATTCCATCCTAGGTTTTGTTTTTCCTCCTCCGCAGACATCCTTGTGTTTGTTTCTCTCTCCATTGGGGTGGAATTTACATAACTCCGCCCACTGCCTCTCCCTTAACCCTTTCCTTCCCTTTCCTATGGCACACAGCAAACAGAGAGGAATTAATCAGCAACTGAATATACTGGAGGGGTTTGGGTGACTGACTCAGTATGATGGAAGTTGTAGTTCACCCTGCATCAAGACAGAGCACTGACCCCCAATGACAATGGAGCAGTACCACATTTGGCACAAAAAAACCCCAGGTTGAGAAACGCTGCTCAAAGACATTTTCACAAAATCAGTTAGCAACAACGTGCTGTGTTTACAAAGAGGAGGCGAGAGCACAGTATGGGGCTCAGGGCTCTTCCTCCGGCCAAGAAAAACGCGTGTTTATAAATCCATTTCCCTGGCTTTATTCAATGTTCCACATTATATACACTCTCTGAAGACGAACCATTTACAGGCCAGGCCACCCCTTTGATCCTGGTTGGCTTTGGGGTGGCTTCAAAAGGGGGAGAGAGGCCTCAAGAAGCCTCCCAACGGAAAGAAGAGGAGAAAGAAGCAGGTCCCCGCCGCGTTGCCTTTTTCACGTCATCATTTTAGACCGTAAATACGTTACCATATTTTTTTTAGAAAAAAAAAACTTCAAACATGCAAACCGTAGAAAAATGTCAATTTTTTTTGTTTACGTCTCTGTAAGCTGGCAGTGAAAAAAGAGGAGATAGGACCCTAAGTTTTTTGTGCCTCTCGCGTTTTCGTTCGGACCGAAGCCCTCGATTTGGGGGATGCGTAGTGTCACATTGAGGTCGCTAGGGATAAAGGTGTTTTTGTAAAAAGGGTGGAGTCATCGGTCCGTAAGAAAATCCACGTTCGCAACCAAGAAAAGAGGCCAGTTTCTCCCAGCCGTTCAAAAAGAGACACTTTAATTGTCTCATGGTCCAAACAACGTTCCTTGACATGGCCTCTTGGCTCAACCCTACAGCGCTACTTTGTCCCAAGATCCGTTTGCTGGTGGGCTTCAATCCTTACTGTTAAATCTTAATTTTTCAATGGGCGACTCATGAATCTGTCACAAGGTCATCACTCATACTTTAGAAAAATGGGTGTTTTTTACTGTGCCGGAAAACTATGATTCTAGATCCAGGGGGGGGAAAATTAAAAAGAGATTTTGGGATACTCATTCGTTAACTACACACTGTTTTCTTCCTCGTCTTTTAAAAAAAAGTCACAATGATGTCGGAGAATTAAAAAAAAATCCCAATTTTGCACAAAACAATGCCAACAAAAAATAAAATAGAATCCCCAGAAATTATAATACAGCAAAAAAAAAAAAAATCACCCACAATATCCTCGGAAAATATCAACACAGTGATCGGAGATAAAGGTGGCGGTAAGGGGGGAAAAAAACCACCAGAAAAAAAACTAAGCACAGGAGAAGAAAAAAAATTAAGATCGGAAATAGCTATTAGTCTAAGAATCTCCTATACAGACATATCCACAGGGAGGTGAAAATGGTCTCATCCAATAATGATTTTGGAAAAGGAAATAAAAACACAGAGAGAGGAAGGCCGACTCCGCTCTCTCCGGCTCCGGAAGAGCTCAGATGTCCATAAGTTCCAAGTCGGCATCCTCGAAGCCGTAGAAGGACTCTGTCTCGCTCTCCCCCTCGAAGAGCTGGTGCAGGATCTCGGGGTTGGCGCCCTCCTCGGCCGGCGGGCCCTCGGGGGAGTCGCCCTCTTCCTCGTCTTGCGGCTCCTGCCCGAGCTTCAGCTGCTCCTCCAGCGAGGCAATGAGCTCCTCCTGCATGTCGGCGTTGCGCCCGGGACTGTTGGCCGTGCCGTCGGGTCCCGGCAGGACGCTGGCCACGAGGAAGGACTGCTGCACCAGCTCGGGGCAGTCGCCGATGAGCTCGAGGGCCTCAGCGAGCCAGCACAGGACCAGCTGGAGCAGGATGTCCGAGTCGCAGGCGGTGTCGGCCATCTCCTTGGCCTGCTCCCTCCACTTCTTGTGCACAAAGTTTTTCACGGTCCGTTTGATGCAAACGTCCAAGGGCTGGATTTTGGAGCTGCAGCCGGCGGGGACCACGGCCGGGAGGGTCCCAGAGTTGCTCAGCAGGGAAAGGACCTCCTCCGAGAGGTGCGTCCGGTGGCAGTCCAACACCAGCATGCCCTTGCTGTTCTGGCTCTCCACGTGCTTCTGCCACACCTTGGCGGCCCAAGCCTCCATGAGGTCATCGTCATTGTACCCGCCCTCCTTCACTTCCAAGAGGATGCCCTCTGGCACGTTGGCTGCCTGTTGCGCTGCCGCCCGGCCCCGGGAAAAGACCAACGCGGGCAGGACACTCCCGTCGGCCAGGACGGCCAGTACCACATCGCACCACGGCTCGCCCGTACCCACTGTCTGCAGGGCGTTCTCTTTCCGGTCGTCGCTGCCAAGCACCTCCGCGTCCAGGAAGATCGAGATTTCGTCGACGGCGGCAATCATAGAGAGGGGCAGGTCCTGGGTGTGGATCTGCCGCTGGACGAACTCAATGAAGCCATTGGCGCTCTCCTCCAGGTCCTTAGGCAGTGGGTGGGCCACCGCGCGGCGGTTGTGCGTGCTGAGGTTGTGCCGGAGCATGAAGCGGACGGCCCACTCGTAGGAGATCTTGAAGCCGCCCTCCAGCGAGCGCCCAATCTTGGTGGCCTTCTGAAAGAGGCTCTCCTCGTTGACCGGCAGCTGCTGCTCCCGCTGGGTCAGGACCCACTCGGCCAGCTTCTCCTCGGCCTCCAAGCCCAGGTACTTGCCTTCCGAGAGCGAGGCCACGTTCTCCTCCTGGAAGGCCTGGAACCGCCGCAGCCAGCGCCGGATCCGCCGCGGGGGGTTCTTGAAATGTTCGGCTGCCTGTTCTGTGTTGCAGCACAGAGCAAAGAGAACCACCCGGAGCTTCTTGACCGAGAGCTGCTCTTTCTTGCTGGCCGCTTCAGGGGCTTCTTTGGCCGGCGGCTCCTCTTCTGGTGGCTCATCGACGTTCAAGCACTCCTCCGGCAGGGCCACCGAGGTGGGTCTTTTGGTCGCCTCCTCGGGCATCTCCTTGGAAGGCTCCTCAACCACCTCAACTGCCTTCTCCTCCTCGAGGGGCAGAGGAGAGGGAGCATTCACAGTCGCAGCATTGTTTGGGGGAAACGTGGAGCTTGGAGCCTTCGCGTCTGGGTCGAAAGACTGAGCAGGCCTGAAGGCAGACAAAGGGGGGAGAGGGAAAGAGTCATTTGTTGGAATTCAACCCCACACTGCGCAAGTCTCAAGTCCTCAACAAGGAATAGCAGGTTTTTGGATGCTCTGCTATATTGTACTCCACACTCTGCTCGCTAATGAGCTGAGCGCTCAACTTTTGTATCCTGTTTGTTTTTGGATGCTCTACTATATTGCACTTCACGCTCTGCTTGCTAATGAGTTGAGCTCTCAACTTTTGTATACTGCTTGATTTGGATGCTCTGCTATATTTCACATCACACTCTGCTCGCTAATGAGCTGAGCGCTCAACTTTTGTATCCTGTTTGTTTTTGGATGCTCTACTATATTGCACTTCACGCTCTGCTCGCTATTGAACTGAGCTCTCAACTTTTGTATCCTGTTTGATTTGGATGCTCTGCTATATTGCACTTCACACTCTGCTCGCTATTGAACTGATTGCTCAATTTTTGTATCCTGTTTATTTTTGGATGCTCTGCTATATTGCACTTCACACTCTGCTCGTTATTGAACTGATTGCTCAACTTTTGTATCCTGTTTATTTTTGGATGCTCTGCTATATTGCACATCACACTCTGCTCACTAATGAACTGAGGGCTCAACTTTTGTATCCTGTTTGTTTTTGGATGTTCTGCCTTATGTCTGCTCACTCATGAGCTGAGCGCTCTACATTTGTATCCTGTTTGTTTTTTGGAAGCTCTGCTTTACTGCACTTCACACTCTGCTCGCTAATGAACTGAGGGCTCAACTTTTGTATCCTGTTTGTTTTGGATGCTCTGCTATATTGTACTTCACAATTTAGCAGAGCATCCAAACGCTCGCTAATGAACTGAGGGCTCAACTTTTGTATCCTGTTTGTTTTGGATGCTCTGCTATATTGCACTTCATGCTCTGCTCGCTAATGAACTGAGCGCTCAACTTATGTATCCTGTTTTGTTTTTGGATGCTCTGTTTTATTGCACTTCACGCTCTGCTTGCTCATGAGCTGAGCGCTCAACTTTTGTATCCTGTTTGTTTTTGGATGCTCTGCTATATTTTAGAGTAGCTTTCCCTACCATCTCTCACCTTATGAAAAAGCGAAACAAACAAACAAACAAGGTTATGCCAGTTAGCAAACTGGCAAAGCCTCACCTTGAATGGGAAACCCAAGGAGTACCTCCTAAGAAAAAAACACAAGGAGTAGAAGGTAAGCTGGATAACAAAAATACAATATCAAGCTTGTCACAATTAGGCAGTCAAGGCCACTCTCTGCAAGTGGTTCATGAGAACCGATAGTACATGGAGAAGTAAGCGTGTCAGGAGTCAATTTCTGATGGCATGAAGACATCACAAATTCCCTCCATGACATCCTGACTGAATCAATTCTCTCTGTGACATTCTGAAGCCAGCAGAGGGCATCAGTAGTGTTTTTCTTTGCTGCAGAGATACAAGCAATATATCCATTTCAAAGCAAGCCGTCTTGTGAGTGGTTATTTAATATTGCTATTTAGATCCTACAGTCTGACAAAGGGTCACACTTTGCCTTTTGAATTCTGAGCAAAGCTATTGGGCCTCCAGGAGCCAAAATATCATGGATATCAGTTAACATACAATAAAAATACTTGTACGATGACAAGCACGTTTCAAACTAAATATCCTCCCCAACTCTCCCCCCTTCTCCACCAAATAACCTCGACATTGGTTAATGCCCTCTTTTGTCGTCACTTGAATGCTGAGTTTTAAGAAAGCATCTCAGCATCCTGTCCATGTTTTCTGGCCAGCCTCCCACACGCAGTGGCTGATCCGCATCTTTACCTCGTAGGATTACGTTGCTGAACTCGTGCGAGGGGTTGAACACAAGGTGCTTGGCCATTGCGTCTCCTTCCGACGTCGCAAAGACACAAGCAGAGCAGGCCAGCCGTACCCCACTAGAAAAGGGAAGGGGGAAAAAAAAAGAATGACACTCCAAAAGATTGAGAAGCATATCTATCTGAGAATGCCTCCTAGGGTTGCAATATCTCAGCCTCAGGAGGAAGGCTGTCGCTGTTGTCTGTGATTGTGTCTGATGATCATGTTGATCTGGATGATGGGAATGGGGATGATGTTCAAGTTGTTGCAAGAGGATTCTCAAGGTCTCGAGCTTGGAAAAGGCTTTGCGCCGCAGTTTTCTGATCAGTTATCTAGGAATGAAGTTGATTCCAAGCTCCCAGGTGTAGAAGTTAATGAGAAGTTGGAAGTGAAACCAAAATTAAGAATCCGTTTCTAGCTGTTTGGGAATTAGGTAAAGTTTTGTAAGTGATGAATGAGAAATGTTGCTTCAGTTGAAGCAATGTCGGATTCACGTCAAGTTCCAAGTGTCAAGGTCTTGCTTATTCTATGGATTCAAGTGCCTTTGCTGTTGTTTTGTTTATGAATTCAAGTGCCTAGTTTCATGGATTTACTTGTCCGAACTTATCTCCCTCTACGTTCCGCCTTGTAGTTTACGATCCACCGGGGAGGCCCTGCTCTCGGTCCCACCGGCCTCACAAACGTGTCTGGTGGGGACGAGGGACAGGGCCTTCTTGGTGGTGACCCCTCGCTTGTGGAATTAGCTCCCCAGTGAGATTAGATTGGCATCCTCCCTCCTTTCTTTGAGGAAAAAAACTGAAATTGTGGTTTTGGAACCAGGTTTTTGGCTGGCACTTTGGACACTGACCTGGACCATATGATTGTTATGATAATGGAAATGGCTATATGACTGTATAATTAATGTTATTGTTTTAAATTCTTAATTAATTTTTTAATTTTTGGAGCCCTGGGTGGCGCAGTGCGTTGAAGCACTGAGTTGCTAAACTTGTTGACAGAAAGTCGCAGGTTTGAATCCAGAAATGGCTATATAACTGTATAATTAATGTTATTGTTTTTCATTCTTAATTAATTTTTAATTAATTAATTAATTTTTTGGGCCCCTGCAGGGTGAGAAGGGCGGAATATAAATACTGTAAATAAATAAATGAAATAAGGGGCCGAGAATCTGCCATGAAAGACCTTTCTCCACCCACCAAAGTCAAATGGACTCATGCCCGGGTCTCGTCTAGGAGTCGACAAAAAAGGTAAACAAAGGCAGCTCTTTCCACTTACCATGCGGTGTAGTTTTTGAACAAGGCCAAGTATTTCGGACTCTTGCGAGGAACGTGGTTGCTGTTAAAAAAGGAGGAAGGACACAGGCAGATGAGGAGATGCAGTTACAACAGGCTCCAAATTAAAATCACTTTCACAGCATTGCTTCTGAGCAGGAGGTGAGTGTTCTGGTCTCCTGCGACACTATCACCTGCATAGAGCTCCCTCTCCTCAAATCCCACCTGGAAAGCCATTTTGAGTTTATGTTTATTATCATTATTATAGAAATATATATAATGAAATATAATAAATTGTACATACATATAATATTTATAATATTATAATGTAATGCAATAGAATATTAATAAAAAGATATTATAATTATATATTTAGATTACATATCTATAGAAATAAAAAATGTAATGTTTGTGGGATTAACAGAACTCAAAAACCACTGGACGAATTGACACCAAATTTGGACACAAGACACCTAACAACCCAATGTATGTCCTTCACTCACTAAAATTGATTTTGTCATTTGGGAGTTGTAGTTGCTGGAATTTATAGTTCACCTACAGTCAAAGAGCATTCTGAACCTCACCAATGATGGAACTGAACCAAACTCCGATGACCAACAGAAAATACTGGAAGGGTTTGGTGGGCAGTGTCCTTTGGTTTTGGAGTTGTAGTTCACCTACATCCAGAGAGCACTGTGGACTCAAACAATGATGGATCTGGATCAAACTCTACACGAAGACTCAAGATGCCCAAATATGAACACTAGTGGAGTTTGGGGAAAATAGAATCTTGACCTTTGGGAGTTGTAGTTGCTGAGATTTATAGTTCACCTATAACCACAAAGCATTCTGAACCCAACCAATGATAGAATTGGGCCAAATAATATAATACATTGTATGTGTGTGTGTGTGTGTGTGTGTGTGTGTATATATATATATATATATATATATATATATATATATATATATATATATATATATCTTGTAAGCCACTCTGAGTCCCCTTCGGGGTGGGAAGGGTGGCATATAAATGTCGTGAATAAATAAATAAAATTAATATTAATAATACCATCCTTACTTGATCATGTGGTTGGCGTAGGCGCGAGAGCAGCAGGTGCTGTAGCGGCAAAGCGAACAGTGGACGTAGGTGGGGAAGTGGTTGGGGAAGTCCGGGATTTCGAAGCTGCACTCCAGGCAGGTCTGTCTCCCCAGGATGCTCCTGCAGCGGCCAAGAAGGGAGAGGCAAAAGCAAGGATGGGCATTCAGTGCCTCGTTACAACTCTGGAGAAAAGGTTTGGTCAACTGATATTGTGCTATGCTAATAATATTACAATATAATGGTATAGTACAATATAGTAATATATAATACTGATATTGTGCTATGCTAATATAATATAGTATAATGTAATATATTGCATATACATATAATATTTATAATATTATAGTGTAATACAATATAATACTACTACTAATATATTATAATTATATATTTTATATTACATGTAATAATAATAATGCAATACAATGGTATAGTACAATATAGTAATATATAATACTGATATTGTGGTATACTAATAATATTACAATATAATGGTATAGTACAATTTAGTAATATATAATACTGATATTGTACTATGCTAATAATATAGTATATTGTATGTATATATATCTTGTAAGCCGCTCTGAGTCCCCTTCGGGGTAAGAAGGGCGGCATATAAATGATAAATAATAATAATAAATGATAGTTCAATAAATAAATAAATAAATGCTCCATTGAGTCCTAGTTTCCAGGGCAGCGTTCTTTGTTCTAATGACAACCCTGTAATTTTTCCCCCACTAAGAGAATAGTTTAGTTAAAAACTTGGCGAAAGGTTCTGACATTTTCCGGACGGCCTTCTTCTGGATATTCCTCTGGAAAGGCGGGTACGGGAAGTTGAGCTGGGAGTCGGCGGAGGACGAGAGCTGCGTGGCGTCCGGAAGGATTCCTGGGGGCATGTCGCTGGCTGAGAGGGGCACCGGCCGCGGAGGCCCTCGCGACGCCCTGATGGTCACCTGCCGGTAAAAGGAGGAGAGTCTGTGTCAAGGCGATCGGAGTGACATCAACAATAACCAGCATGTTCCCCTTCACAATCCACCACGCCAGAATAGGGCTACAAAGCCTGGGATTTACCATCTTTGGGATGAAATCCTAATCTGTGCATGTACATGCACCTATACAGCTATGCCACAGTTCACTACATTAATTTTGTGTAGAGAAAACTGGGTACCAGAGACGGCAATAACAAGGAATGGATGATAGCCAACTGCTGCTCTGGGCCAGAGTGAAGAGAGAGGGGGCCAGGGGACTGTTCCGCCTTGTCCCCTGTGCTATGCTAATAATATAATATAATATCTATACATGTATCAGGCCAACGAGTGACCATCACACATAAAAACATTGAAAAACACAGCAGAAAGACGTAACCCCCCCCCCCAAATGCATTACAACACATGTGCAAAACCACATGTATACACAACACACACATACACAAATATATATATACACACATATATGCATATATACCCACAAAAAACACATATACACAGAAAGAAGGAAGGAAGGAGGAGGAAGGAGAGAAAGAGGGAAAGAAGAAGGGAAGGAGAGAAGGAAGGAAAGAAAGAAAGAAAGGTAGAGAAGTAAGGAAAGAAGGAAATAAAGTGCAAGAAGAAAGGAAAGGGAGGGAGGGAGGGAGGGAGGGAGGGAGGGAAGGAAGGAAGGAAGGAAGGAAGGAAGGAAGGAAGGAAGGAAGGAAGGAAGGAAGGAAGGAGAGAAGGCATGAAAGAGAGAAAGGGAGGGAAGGAAGGAAAGACAGAAGGAAGGAGGGAAAGGAGGGAAGGAGAGAAGGAAGGAAAGAAAGAAAGAAAGGTAGAGAAGTAAGGAAAGAAGGAAATAAAGTGCAAGAAGAAAGGAAAGGGAGGGAGGGAGGGAGGGAGGGAGGAGGGAGGGAGGGAAGGAAGGAAGGAAGGAAGGAAGGAAGGAAGGAAGGAAGGAAGGAAGGAAGAGCGAAAGGAGGGAAGGAAGAAAGAGAGGAAGGAGGGAAAGGAGGAAGGAGAGAAGGAAGGAGAGAAGAAATAAAGAAGAAGAGAAGGAAAGAAAAAAGTGAAAGAGGGAAGGAAGGAGAGAAGGAACAAAAGAGAGAAAGAGGGAGGGAAGGAAGGAAGGAAAGAGAGAAGGAAGGATGGAACCAAAGAGCAAAGGAAGGGAGGAAAGAAACAGGTAGAGAAGGAAGAAAGAAGAAGGGAAAGCAGAAGGGAAAGAAAAAGAGGGAAGAAAGAAGGATGGATGGATGGATGGAAGGAAGGAAGGAAGGAAGGAAGGAAGGAAGGAAGGAAGGAAGGAGAGAAAGAAAGAAGGCGAGAAAGAATAAGGTTGACCACAGCAACTCCGTGGCAGGTACAGCTAGTATCTATATAAATAAAAATGTAATGTTTGTTTGTGGGATTGACGTAACTCAAAAACCACTGGATGAATTGACACCAAATTTGGACACAAGACACCTATCAGGCCAACGAGTGACCATCACCCATAAAAACACTGAAAAACAAAAAACACTGAAAAAGCCAAAAAAACAAAAAATACATTACAACACATGCACAAAACCACATATATACACAAATACACACACACACACATATGCATATATACACACAAAACACATATACACCGACTGGGCCACAACAACGCGTGGCAGGGGACACATAACCAAACCAAATGTCCCCTCAACCTCTGAGGAGGCCTGCCATCAATGTGGGAGAAACCTCAGGAGAGAATGCTTCTGGAACATGGCCAGACAGCCCGGAAAACTCACAGCAACCCAAACCAAATGTCCCTCCCTGGCTAGCAATTTGTGAAGGTCCACTGGTACCTTGGTGCCTGGCTTGAGCCCCTCCAGCTGCTTGGGCTTCCGGAAGGTTTTGTGGTGCTGCAGCTTGTGCTCAATCTTGTCCTTGGCGAAAAGGAACTGCAGCCGGCATTTGTTGCAGCCGTAGACGCCCTTTTTCTGGGGGGAGAAGCACAGCCACACACATTATTATTATTAGTAGTAGTAGTAGCAGTAACTGTTTCCCCTTGACAGTAAATCTAGTCGTGCCTGACTCTTAAGAGTGGTGCTCATCTCAATTTCTAAGCCGAAGAGCCGGCGTTGTCCATAGACACCTCCAAGGTCATGTGGTCAGCATGACTGCATGGAGCACCATTATCTTCCCACCAGAGCGGTACCTATTGATCTACTCAGATATGCATGTTTTCAAACTGGTAGGTTGGCAGAAGCTGGGGCTAACAGTGGGAGCTCACTAACTATGATTTCATTATAATATTATTATTATATTATAAGTCCCCTTTGGGGTGAGAAGGACAGCATATAAATGTCGTAAATAAATAAAAAATATTATTATTATTATTATTATTATTATTATTATTATTATTATTAGCAGAGGCTGGATGGCCAGCAGTCAGGAGGGTTGGGATTGTTTTGGATGTTGTAAATAAATAAATAAATATTATTATTAGCAGAGGCTGAATGGCCATCTGTCAGGAGGGTTTGGATTGTGCTTTTCCTGCTCTTCCAATTATGATTTTATTATTCTACCGTCTAAAATACTCCACAATCAAAACAAGGGAATTCCAGACAGGAATCATTCAGGGCCAACTGACACCTCCAAACAAAGACTTCCCCCCAAGCAGGAAGCAGCCAGGCTTTGAAGCTGCAACGCCATTCAATGCTAATCAAGGTGGCCAACGGCAACATTCCCACTTGCTTCCAACAGACAAGAGTTCTTTCTCCCACCCTGGACATCATTCCACAGATATGTCAACCCCACTTGCCTAGTTTCCAACAGACCTCACAACCTCTGAGGATGCCGGCCATAGATGTGGGCGAAACATCAGGAGAGAATGCTTCTGAAACATGGCCAGGCAGCCTAGAAGACTCACAGCAACCTAATGATTCCGGCCACGAAAGCCTTTCACAACACATTAGTTCCAAAATCGTTTTACCTTGGTTTTATTTCTTTTGTTTTGCTACTGTAATTATTTTCTGATGTAAGTTTTGTTTTTATTGTGTTGTACTTTATTTTTTGGGCTTGGCCGCATGTTAGCCGCCCCGAGTCCCCATTGGGGAGATGGTGGCGGGGTATAAACAAAGATTATTATTATTATTATTACTATTATTATTATTATTACCTGGTGCCGCATGAAGTGTTGCTGGAAGGCGTTGCCGTTCTTGAAGACCTTGAGGCAGTAAGGGCAAAGGAGGTGCCGCGTGTCTTCATGCACCATCCGGAAATGCGTGTCCACATCTGTGTAGAGCGATGAACGGTACTGGCAGACCTGCGGGGAACCAAACATTGAGACAGAAGCAATGAAAACCCAAGGAGAAAAGATTACCGGCCAAATCGGATGTTTTTCGGGCTTGGAGTGGCCACGCTTTTTAATATTTTGGGTACTCCAGGATATTTTACCAGGCAGGGAAATGGTCCGCGAACCTCAGGAGGCCAATTTGAAACAACGCTCCCGTACCTGGCAGACGTAGGGCATCTCTCCCGGCTTGTGGTTGTCCTTCATGTGCTGCAGGAACATGGGCTCGCTCTCAAAGGCCCACTCGCAGATCTTGCACTTTGCTGGAAGGAAGAGGAAGCGCATTAGACGGGGCGAGAGCATCCTTCCAATACCCAGCTTAGTAATACTATGTAGATAATATTATGTAAAGACTCCAACCATCACCCAGGTCAAAAAAAGAAGCACAATTAAAGCCCTGGTAGACCATGCAAACAAGGCCAGGAGGGGAGTAAAAATGTCTCTTTTTCTATTCTAGAAGGTTCCGAAGCTGGGAAAGGCATATTTTGGGCTCCGGACTTACTGGTCGACTCGTAGGGGCTGTGTACGTTCTCCAAGTGGCACTGTAGATGCAGGAGGGTGGGGAACTGCCGGTAGCAGTGCTGGCAAGTGGTGTGGACGTCCACCTCCCCGTTTTGCTGATCCAGTTCGACGTGGTGCTTCATATGGTTCATAAACCTGACAGTGAGAAGGAACCACAGGCGGCATTAACTTTGAGGAGGGGGAGGAAAAGGCCCCCCCCCCTCTCTTTCTGATCACTTCCCACAAACAGAAACAAGAACGATTTTTCATCTCTCTCTACAGCAGTGATTCTCAACCTTTCTAAAGCCATAACCCCTAAATACAGTTCCTCATGTTATGGTGACCCCCAACCCAAAAATTATTTTCATTATTTTCATTGCTACTTTAGTCGGAGGGGGCGGAGAGACAAATTTATTTATTCACAGCATTTATATGCCGCCCTTCTCACCCCAAAGGGGACTCAGAGCGGCTTACAATATATATTTTCATACTATATATTATATTATTAGCATAGTACAATATCAGCATATATTACTATATTGCACTATACCATTATATTGTAATATTATTAGTAATATTACATGTAATTAAATATATAATTATAATTATAATATTGAATTATTATTACTAGTATTATTTTGTATTACATTACAATATTATAAATATTATATGTATATACAATATACTATATTATATTATTAGTAAAGACAAGATGGAAATGTCTTCTGCTCCCTTCTGTCTTCGCTCTGGCCAGAGCAGCCGTTGGTGCCAGAAGTGGGAGGGGCCTCTCATGTGATGATATAGGCAGAAGACAAGATGGAAGTGTCTTCTGCTCCCTTCTGTCTTCAACCTCGCAACCCCTCTGAAATGGCCAGGCGACCCCTCAGGGGGTCGCAACCCCCAGGTTGAGAACCGCTGCTCTACAGTGTTACCTCACTTATCGCGGGTGTTACGTTCCAGGACCACCCACAATAAGTGAAAAACCGCAAAGTAGGGATGCTCCACCCACTCTTCTCCCTCGGTTCAAGTGGCACCAGAGTGCAGAGTAGATGTGACCCAAGCACCCAAGGTTTTCTGAGCACATGCAGAGTGCTTCCTTATTGTGTGCCTATTTATTTATTTACTTTATTTGTATACCACTGTTCTCAGCCCTTTGGCGACTCACAGCGGTTAACAAGAACAGCAAAAATTCAATGCTATCAACACACGGTATAAAAAGCAGTTAACATCATAACATATTATAGAAAAGTATACAATTAACAACAATATACAATTAACACCAATAGCCATTCACTAGCTAGCCATGCCTAGCCCTCTTCCTTCTTGGAAGGTGGCCCCACTTCAGTCTCTCCCTCCCTGGTGCTCACCCAGCGGACATGGTGGCTTTAATGGAGTAAAATAAAAATGGAGTAAAAGAATAAATGTAATAATAATAATAAATAGAATAAAATAAATGTAATAATAATAACGAGAAAAAGAATAAATGTAATAAGAATAATAGAGTAAAAATAAATTGAAATAATAACAGTAATCGAGTAATATAAAATACAGTAAAAGAATGTAATAATAATAATAATAATAATACATAGAATAAAATAAATGTAATAATAAAAATTATTATTATAAAAACAATTATTTTCATTACTACTGTGACGATGTGTAAATTTTATTCTTATGGTTATGGGTTGTTTAAACAGTAGTTAATAAATGGTAAGTATGTAGGATTATATTTTGTTAGAGATGGTGGCTGGTGTCTTGAGCTGAGTTGCCATAGCAACGGGGGCGGAGCCAACTGTCACTTCACGGCGCAGCTTTTTGAAAGTGGCAGTCTGTAAGCCGGTGAGCTACAGGGAAGGACTGGTTTCTCTAGTGGGAGAAACAGGGAGTTAGTCTGTGACCGTTAGTGTTACAGGGAAGACTGAATCTCTGGGTGGAGATTCAGGGAATTAATTGGTGACCAAAGGGGTTACAGGAAAGGACCCGGTAGTGATAAAACTGCAGGGGGTTATTGATTCTGGGTTAAGAATCAAGGTTTGGCTGGGAGCCAATTCTGTTGAATAGGCCTTTTGGCTTATTTGTTTTGTTGGAACAGTTGTCCAGAAGAGATACATCTGCTTATAGAAACCTCTTGGAAGTCTGTGCCTGAGGTTACTCATGAAACCTTACTAATGTAACCAATCAAGATCCGTGCCTCTTGTGAAGAAACAATTAAACATGTTATACTCCTGTTAAAATAAACTTGTTACTGTTTTCCTCAAGCCTTGCCTGATACAGTTTCTCTTAAGTCAAACAGCCTGCATAAGAAGTAAAACCAAACCAGGGTCAGAAAACGCTACGCTATCAATACTTCTGTAATTAATAGTCCCTTTATAAACCAGCTCCTAAGCTGATGTTGATCATTACCCGGCTTTCCTCACAAATTTGGTGGCAGTAGTTTTACCCTCCTTTACAACTACCCTTCACAAAAGCAGACACCCCCTCCTCCTCTCCCCATCCCGCCATTACCGGATGTTGTTCTTGAGCCGCTTGGTGCAATGGGGGCAGCGGAAGGAGGTCGGCACTTTGGGGAAGTTGAGCAGCTGGCTGAGCTTGCCGCTGTCCCTGCCGTAGTAGAAGTCGTCCACCAGCATGATCAGCTTGCCCTGCGTCCCGTCGCTCGCCCCGTCACTCGGCTCGGCCATTTTCCCCGGCGGTGATAGGGTAGGGACCGGGGTGGAGGACGGCGTGGAGGCCATGCCCGCTGACTTCTCCGGAGAAGGGGCTTTGGGGACTTGGATATTTGGTTCAGACTCCAGGGACTTCCCTTTCTTCAGGAACTCCACCATGTCTGGGCAGCAGTACTGTGCGGAAGAAGAGTGACAATGAAAAGAAAGAAAACCCACGCTTGGTTAGATACAGGCATGGACCAACTTGGGTCCTCCAGGTTTTTGGACTTCACTCCCACAATTTCTGTTAGGAATTGTGGGAGTTGAAGTCCAAAACACCAGGAGAGCCCAAGTTTGCTCATGGCTGGCTTAGAATCTTCATAGTAAAAGGATAGCGAGGGATGTGGAGTAGTTGAGCTGGTTGCTTCTCGTTCCTGGTCTTTTTAAATTCTTGTAAAGCACAGCAACTTAGCTTTCTGTAAGTAATAATTATGTAAAATAATAAAGTGTAATAATAATAATAGAGTAAAATAATAAAGTGTAATAAGAACAATAGAGTAAAATAAAAATAGAGTAAAAGAATAAATGTAATAATAATAGAGTAAAATAAAAATGTAATAATGTAATGTAATGAAATAATAGAGTAAAATAAAACTAGAGTAAAAGAATAAATGTAAGAAAAATAAGAGTAAAATTGAAAATGTATTAAAATAATAGTATAATAATAATAGAGTAAAATAAAAATGTAATGAAATAATAGAGTAAAATAATAAAATGTAATTATAAAATAATAGAGTAAAGTAAAAAAGAGTAAAAGAATAAATGTAATAATAAATAGAGTAAATTAAATGTAATAAAATAATAGAGTAAAAGAATAAAGTGTAATAATAACAATAGAGTAAAAATAAAAATAGAGTAAAAAATAAATAGAATAATAAATAGAATAAAATAAATATAATAACAATGAGAAAAAGAATAAATGTAATAAAAATAATAGAGTAAAAGCATAAAGTGTAATAATAACAATAGAGTAAAATAAAAATAGAGTAAAATAATACATGTAATAATAGAACAAAAGAATAAATGTAAAAAAGTAATAGAGTAAAATAAAATGTAATAAAATAATAGAGTAAAAGAATAAAGTGTAATAATAACAATAATAGAGTAAAATAAAAATAGAGTAAAAGAATAAATGTAATAATAATAATAATAATTGTGGGTTTGACGATGAGACGACTCGGAATGGCTTTTGTAATAATGTTAATGTTGATGTTTTGATGAGATGTTTTTCTGATAATGATGAATTGTGGATTATTTTACACTATGTTTCGTAATTTTGCACTTGTTTTTCTATGTTGTACACCGCAATGAGTCGCCCTTGGGGCTGAGAATTGCGGTATATAAGCGCAGTAAATAAATAAATAAATAGAATAAAATAGATGTAATAATAACCATGAGAAAAAGAATAAATGTAATAAAAATGATAGAGTAAAAGAATAAAGTGCAATAATAACAATAGAGTAAAATAAAAATAGAGCAAAATAAAAATAGAGTAAAATAATAAATGTAACAAAAACAATAATAAATAGAGTACAATAATGTAAATGTTATCTAAATGAATAAATAACTTTGACTCGAGTATAAGCTGAGGGGGGCTTTTTCAGCCTAAAAAAATGGCTGAACTCGAGTATATACAGTAATAATAAAAATAATAAGATTTGTATCTAGTGGGAACTGTGGATCTGCAAGGTCTTCTTAAAAGCTCAATAACTTCTGTTTTATTTGATTACTTAAGAACCCACACATGCGGTGAGATCCTATTCTAGCTCCCTTCACTGTCAAGGCACCCAATCAGATGCTTCTTGGAAACAGGCCTTCCCTTGTGTCCAGGGATAGCATGCCTCTGAACAGAGAAGCTCTGCTTAGCTATCTAGAAAACTTTCTAAATTAAACTCCCATTACATCGCCTTGTAGTCACATGCTCTCCCTGTCCAGAGAGAGGAGAACAACAGAGTCCCTTCTCTTGTGTGCTTTGGGCCTTAACGTCCATCAGTCCCGACCCAAAGACGACTTTCATTTCAGGCTCTGCACACACCTTTCAAATCCTCCTTCTCACGCAAGACAGGAAGGGGTTACTTACGCACATATGGCCTCTTAAAGCTTCAGTGACTCTAAACTGGGCATTGCACCGAGGACAGGCTTTCCGCCCGCTGTCTTGCAGGTCGAAGTTGGGGATGGTTGAGGCACCAACTGGAAGAAAGAGAAGAATCAGGAGAAAGGGTCACAACCAAAACCAGGCCACCTTGGAAGGACTCCTATGGCCTATTCCATTGTTTTTCTCCTCTTTTTGGGCACGAGAAGAGGAAAAGATACCTAAAAACAGCATCCCCGTATACCAGGTTCCTAAAAGTCAAAGCGAGGCTGAAAAGAGTTCCCATCTGCAGCGAAGGAGGAGAGGAAACGCACAGAAGGAGAAGCTGAGAATGCCAGAATGAATCCGGAAAGTCCCCAGCTTGAATCTCATCTCTGCCAACCTCTTTGCAGTTGGCAAGTTGGTTGCTCTCCATTTCAGTTCATTTTGGAAGGAGCAACATCAACAGAGAGAGCCAGTGTTGGACTAAAATGACTTAGAGGAAGAGTGAGAAGGCATGGTATGATCAAGTTTGCAGACAACACCAAATTGGGAGGGAGAGCCAATACCCCGAAAGATAGGAGCAGAGTTCAAATCGATCGGAAGAGATTAGAGAGATGATGGGCCAAAACTAACACAATGAAGTTCAACAGGGGCAAAGGCAAGAGACTCCACCGAGGCAGAAAAAAGGAAATGCAAAGATACATAATAATAATAATAATAATAATAATAATAATAATAATAATAATAGAGTAAAATAAAAATGTAATAACATAATAGAATAAAATAATAAAGTGTAATAATAACAATAATAGAGTAAAATAAAAATAGAATGAAAGATTAAATGTAATAAAAATAATAGAGTAAAAAATAAAGTATAATAATAACAATAATAGAGTAAAATAAAAATAGAGTAAAAGAATAAATGTAATAATAATAGAGTAAAATAATAAAGTGTAATAATAACAATAATAGAGTAAAATAAAAAGAGTAAAAGAGTAAATGTAATAATAATAAATAGAGTAAATTAAGAATTGTAATAAAATAATAGAGTAAAATAATACAATGTAATAATAAAAATAGAGTAAAAGAATTAATGTAATAATAATAAATAGAGTAAATTAAAACTTGTAATAAAATAATAGAGTAAAATAATAAAATGTAATAATAACAATAGAGTAAAATAAAAATAGAGTAAAAGAGTAAATGTAATAATAAATAGAATAAAATATGCACACATACATATACATATCCACATACATATATACACAAATATGAATATAAACAAGCACACACATATACACAATATGCATGCACACATATAAACACACAAATACAGAAATATATACACACATATATACACAAATATATACACATACATAAACACATATATACACACACATAAACACATATATACACACACAAAACACATACACAGACTGGGCCACAGCAACGCGTGGCAGGGGACAGCTAGTAATAATAATAATAATAATAATAATAATAATAATAATAATACTTTATTTATACCCCGCCACCATCTCCCCAAGGGGACTCGGGGCAGCTTCCATGAGGCCAAGCCCTACAATACAGTACAGCAATGCTAATAACAACATACAATGACAATAAAATAAAAATTAAAAATAATATACAAGAAACAATATGAAAAGCACATCAAACAATATACAATCACAATAATTTAAACACAGAAAATAAATCACAATGGGCAGGGCCAGTAGCAAGCGTAATGTAATGCTTACCTTTCTGCGACGGAGGCTCGGAGACGATGCCCACCCGCTGGGAGCCATGCGCAGGGCTGTTGTTGGAAACCACGATGGGGCCCGAGCCCTGGCCCAGCGAAGGGACCGTGTTCAAGGTGTTCACCAACTTGGCCACCTCGTTGTTGTTCTCGCCCGTCACCCCGGGCCTTTTCACCGTCACAAAGCTCGCTATGCTCACTGCCGGGGGATGAAAACAAAGAGAGGAAGGGGTCGTTTCATATATCTCAAGTAGAAGAGATTGAGAGAAAGATGTAGGTGAATCCCCCAACTTGATGACTCCTAGATGTGTCTCACTCTCATACCACCTTGACCATGTTAGCTAGGAATGATGGGAATTGTGGCAACATGAACACAAAAAGAACAGGATGAAGGTATAATTAATCACGAAACCCTCAACCTACTGTTGGAAATTAAAGGGAAGTCTACCAATGACTAACAGTCATAGCTAGGTGCTGGGAGAGGACTTACTTTGTGGCGGCGCTTGGGGCTGCGGGACCGTACTCCGGATGGTCAGGGTGGCCGGAATGACCGTCGTGAACGTGTTGGAGGATGGTCGGACTGGCAGGGTCGGGCCGGGTCTCACCTGGGCCATTTGAGAGAACACCTGAGGGACCCCCACGGCGGGCTTCACAAACTGGGTGCCAGGGGCTGCAAGGAAAGGGAGAGAATGGTCACCATCAGCTTCCCTTTCAACACTGGCAGCCCTCCAATGTCTAAAGCAAAGGGGCCAAACTCCTTCCCATGGAAGAACTATGAAGTTGTGGCAAGGAAGCACAGCGATCTTTCATTCCAGCCTCCCTTCTCCTCTTGCTCTCTCTCTCTTCATGAAGCCAAACATACCAGGAATAAAAACCACCCCAAATCAACTAGCCCAAAGTTCCTCAAAGCGGAAAAGAGCACGAAGGCACAGAGGCTGCTCCCTTGAAGCACAGCATCCTTTCATTCATCCGGTATTCATTCCAGCCTCCCTTCCCCTCTCTCTCCCTCTCTCTTCATGAAGCCAAACATACCAGGAATAAAAACCACCCCAAATCAACTAGCCCAAAGTGGAAAAGAGCATGAGGCACAGAGGCTGCTCCCTTGAAGCCCTAAAAGGTTGCACTCTCAATACTGGTAGCCCCCCAATGTCTAAAGCAAGGGTGCCAAACTCCTTTCCATGGTAGGAGCATGAAGTTATGGTAAGGAAGCACAATGTTCTTTCATTCATCTGGTACATATTCCAGCCTCCCTTCCCCTCTTGCTCTCTCTCTCTCTCTCTCTTCATGAAGCCAAACATACCAGGAATAAAAACCACCCCAAATCAACTAGCCCAAAGTTCCTCAAAGCGGAAAAGAGCACGAGGCACAGAGGCTGCTCCCTTGAAGCACAGCATCCTTTCATTCATCTGGTACTCATTCCAGCCTCCCTTCCCCTCTCTCTCCCTCTCTCTTCATGAAGCCAAACATACCAGGAATAAAAACCACCCCAAATCAACTAGCCCAAAGTGGAAAAGAGCATGAGGCACAGAGGCTGCTCCCTTGAAGCCCTAAAAGGTTGTACTCTCAATACTGGTAGCCCCCCAATGTCTAAAGCAAGGGTGCCAAACTCCTTTCCATGGTAGAAGCATAAAATTGTGGCAAGGAAGCACAGCATTCTGTCATTCATCTTGTACACATTCCAGCCCCCGTTTCCCTCTTACTCTCTCCCCCTCTCTCTCTTCATGAAGCCAAACATACCAGGAATAAAAACCACCCCAATTCCTCAAAGTGGAAAAGAACATGTGGCACAGAGGCTGCTTCCTTGAAGCCCTACAGCATTGTACTCTCAACACCAGCAGCCCCCCAATGTCTAAAGTTGGGAGCCCCACTGCTGCTCTGGGACCAGGGAAAAGAGGGTGGCAGGAAGATATTGTATTTATTTTATTTACATATTACTTGTAAGCCGCTCAGAGTCCCCTTCGGGGTGATAAATAAATAAATAACCAAAGCAAGGGTGCCAAACTCCTTTCCATGGTAGAAGCACGAAGTTGTGGCAAGGAAGCACAAAGTGAAGAGGGAGAGGCATTATTTCATTCAACTAGCCCAAAGTTCCTCAAAGCGGAAAAGAGCACAAGGCACAGAGGCTGCTCCCTTGAAGCACAGCATTCTTTCATTCATCCTGTACTCATTCCAGCCTCCCTCCCCCTCTTGCCCCTCCTCTCTTTCTCTTCATGAAGCCAAACATACCAGGAATTTAAAAAAACCCAAATCAACTAGCCCAAAGTTCCTCAAAGTGGACAAGAGCAAAACGGACAAGAGCACAAGGCATAGAGGCTGATCCCTTGAAACTCTAAAGCAGGGGTAGGGAACCTTTGGCCCTCCAGCTGTGATGGACTTCAACTCCCACAATTCCTTGAGGCTCAGCATTCGCCCCAAAGGCTTACCTTGGCCCAATGCCGAGCCTCAAGGAATTGTGGGAGTTGAAGTCCACCACAGCTGGAGGGCCAAAGGTTCCCTACCCCTGCTCTAAAGCCTTGTATTCTCACACTAGCACTCCCTCTGGCATGAGCTTTTAACTCAAAACAATGCTCATATGTCAAGGTGGAACCAGGGACAAGTGATAATATTAATAATGATGATAAATTTTATTTATATACTGCCACCATCTCCTAAACAGTACACGAGTATAAAAAAAATCACATAAAAGTTATAAAAACAACCACTATTAACACATAAAAATAAAAACACAGTTTAAAATGCAGAGCAACTGTAGTTAAAACCTCATATGGACCCATTTCAGTCTACTAGAGTCAGGAGTTAATTTCTGATGGCATGAAGACATCACAAATTCCTTCTGTGACATCCTGACTGAATCATCCTGGCTGCCTCAATTCTCTCTCTGTGATATTTTGAAGCTAGCAGAGAGTGCTGGAAACCTTGTATTGGAACTTGTGAAGCAACAAGCTCTAAGAAGGAAACTGAGAAGAAGGGGAGATGGGCAGAAAAGGTGTATAAAACGAAGTGGTGGTGGGAAAAAGTCAGTAGTGTCTTTCTTTGCTGCAGATACACATGCAATATATCCATTTCAAAGCAAAACCGGCTTGTGAGTAGTCATTTAATATTGCTATATAGATCCTACAGTCTTACAACTAGAGACCAAAAGCCTTGACAGGTTTCCTTCCTTATCTTACCTGGGACAAGGGTGATGGGCCTGACGGTTTGACCTTGTTGGACGTTCAGGACAATGCCAACTTGATTCATGGTGTTCTGGACCGGCCGGACGTTCCGTACAGGAAAACCCTGGACCACAGAAGCAGGGAAAAGAATCCTCAGTCATACTGGGATCGAATTAAGGGGTAGGGGTGTGTTTTGCACTTGCTTGGAATCAATTTGAATATACGTTTGCCCAATTTTTAAAACCACCACCACAACAACGCCAGACTGTATAGGTGCCCTAGATACCAAGACCTCACCTGAGTGGTGATGAAGATGGGCTGGCTGGCCACCGGCGAATTGGTCACGTGGTTGGCATTTTGCATGACCTGCACCGGCCGGAGAACTGGCTGCGTCACCACCGTACTCAGGCCAGAGGCCGGGCTTTGCGTGAGGATCAGCGGCTGCCCGCCTTGCTGGACCAGAGGAGTTCCCGCTGGATGGGAGAGAAGAGTGGATTGAAAAAGAGGATGGCAACTTGCTACAACACCCTGTTGGAGAAGGGCCTCAGTGTGTTATCGTAGTAGGCTTCAGTATGAGAAGGCCTCAGTGTGAGGTAGGCCTCAGTATGTGAGAAGCTTCAGTGAAAAGAAGCCATTGTATGTGGCGGCTGCTGTGTGTAAAGCTGCTGTGTGAAGCTCATGTGTAAGTTCTGTGTGAGAGCAAAGCTGTTTTTCTGCATGAGAAAGAAGCCCAGCGTGGAAGCAAAGAAGGAAGTATAAAGAACTTTATTTTTGGGCCATATAGCCCGAAAAAACCTACAACAACCCAACTTTATTTGTGTTATGGAAACTTTGTTTTTGTAAATAGGGCAATCATAATATTTTGCTACAAAGAAAAGTATCTTATAGAGGAAATAACATTGTTTTGTGTGTTTTTGTTCTGGTTATCATTTTACTGGTGCTGGGTCACACCGCTAATAAGTTGCTCGGCTGTACGGGACTGTGGCGCAGCTGGCTGGGAGTCAGCTACATTAAGATCACTACTGAGTTCGAAGCAAGCCCGGGTCGGAGTAAGCTTCTGATCAATTTTGTGTAGCTTGCTGTTAACCTTTGCAGCCCGAAAGACAGTTGCATCTGTCAAGAAATTTAGATACCGCTTATGCAGGGAGGCAAATTTAACCAATTTACAAGGCCATAAAAATGTCCAGCAAGCATGCAAATAATGAGGAAGTACTGGGTTGTTGTAGGTTTTTCCGGGCTATATGGCCATGTTCTAGAGGCATTTTCTCCTGACGTTTCGCCTGCCTCTATGGCAAGCATCCTCAGAGGTAGTGAGGTCTATTGGAAGTAGGAAAATGGGTTTATATATCTCTGGAATGACCTACTTCCAACAGACCTCACTACCTCTGAGGATGCTTGCCATAGATGCAGGTGAAACGCCAGGAGAAAATGCCTCTAGAACATGGCCATATAGCCCAGAAAAACCTACAACAACCCAGTGATTCTGGCCATGAAAGCCTTCAACAATACAATGAGGAAGTACTTCATCAGTGTCACAAATGGTCGATGAAGGGACAGCTCTCCTGGTGGCCAGAATACCCTCAAGAAAAGCTGGAATGATAAATTGCCTCTGTGTCTGTCTATATATGTTGTGTGTCTATGGCATTGAATGTTTGCCATGTATATGTACATTGTAATCCGCCCTGAGTCCCCTGCGGGGTGAGAAGGGCGGAATATAAACACTGAAAATAAATAAAATAAATAAATTTGTGAGGAGAGTCTTTCGTTAATAAGCCCGCTCACCCAACAATATCTCCTAGAGCCGCAACTAATTTAACATAGTTTATGGCAGCCACAAACACGAAGTTTCTGGAGTAGAGCAACAACTTGAAAAGTAAGGATGGCACAATTATATTTATATAATTCGCCCAGTGGTTTCTGAGTTATGTCTCTCTCACATACAAACATTACATTTTTATATAGAGATAATGTTATGTATTATACTATAATAATATTATATGTTATAATACATATAAATAAAAATGTAATGTTCGTTTGTGAGAGAGACATAACTCAAAAAACAAATTGACACCAAATTTGGACACAAGACACCCAACAACCCAATGTATGTCCTTAACTCATAAAAAATACTGAGAAACACAGCAGAAGGGACTTAAAAAGTCCCCAAAAGCTAAATGATGAAAAGCTAAATGACAATACAGAAAAAAGGGAAGAAAGAGGGAGGGAAGGGGAAGAAAAAAAAAGAAAGAAAGGAAAGAAAGAAAGAAAGAGGGAGGGAAAGAAAGGGATAAGGAAGCATGGAAGCAAAGAGAGAAGGAAGGAAGGAAAGAAGTAGAGAAGGGAGAAAAGAGAGAAAGAAGGAGGGAGAGAAAAAGGGGGAAGGAAGGAAGGAGAGAAGGAAAGAAAGAAGGGAAAGAAAGAAGGAAAGAGGGAGCGAAGGAAGGGGGGAAGATGTAGAGAAAGAGGGAGGGAATGAAAGAAGGAAAGAGAGAAGGAAGAAAAGAGAGACAGCAGAAGAGAAAGAAAAAGGGGAAGGAAGGAAAGATAGAGAAGGAAGGAAGATGGAAAGACGGGAAGGAAGGAAAGAGGGGGTGAAGGAAGGAGGGAAAGAGGTAGAAAAGGAAGAAAGGAGAGAAAGAGGGAGGGAAAGATAAAGGGGGAAGGAAGGAAAGTTAGAGAAGGAAGGAAAGAGGGAGCGAAGGAAGGAGGAAAATGTAGAGAAAGAGGGAGGGAAGGAAAGAAAGAAAGAGAGAAGGAAGAAAAGAGAGACAGCAGAAGAGAAAGAAAAAGGGGAAGGAAGGAAAGATAGAGAAGGAAGGAAGATGGAAAGACGGGAAGGAAGGAAAGAGGGGGTGAAGGAAGGAGGGAAAGAGGTAGAGAAGGAAGAAAGGAGAGAAAGAGGGAGGGAAAGATAAAGGGGGAAGGAAGGAAAGTTAGAGAAGGAAGGAAGGAAAAAAGGGAAAGAAGGAAGGAAAGAGGGAGCGAAGGAAGGGGGGAAGATGTAGAGAAAGAGGGAGGGAGGGAAGGAAAGAAGGAAACAGAGAAGGAAGAAAAGAGAGACAGCAGAAGAGAAAGAAAAAGGAGGAAGAAAGGAAAAAAGATAGAGAAGGAAGGAAGAAGAGAAGGAAAGACGGGAAGGAAGGAAGGAAGGAAAGAGGGAGTGAAGGAAGGAAGGAAAGAAGGAGACAAAGAGGGAAAGTTGGCCACAGCAAAACGTGGCGGGTACAGCTCGTCTATATAAATAAAAATGTAATGTTCGTTTGTGGGATTAACAGAACTCAAAAACCACTGGGCGGATTGACACCAAATTTGGACACAAGACACCTCTCAGGCCAACGAGTGACCACACTCATAAAACATTGAAAAACACAGCAGAAGAAACGTAAAAAGCCAAAAAACAAAAATTACATTACAATGCATGCACAAAACCACACACATATATATGCAAACACAAATATACACAAATATATACACACACATATACGCAGACTGGGCCACAGCAACGCGTGGCAGGGGACGGCTAGCAAAATCACATATATATATATATATACGCAAACACACATATACACAAATATATACACACAAAACACATATACACAAGCTGGGCCACAGCAACGCGTGGCAGGGGACGGCTAGTAAGAAATAACACTTTCAAACCAGAAACAGATTTTTCTTTTCAAATGTTCTTACATAATGTAAGAGACAATATGCACTATTCACAATCCAAACAAGAGACAAAATCCCACTTTGGGTGACCCGGAAACCCTACACTACAGCTCAAAATCCACAACTCCACGGCATATTACACAAAGTCTTTCTCCCTCAACTCTCACCACTGTTGTTGGCAAAGAGTGTCACCAAGGTCTTCTTTGTGTCGCTGTTGGGCGGCATGCTGCTGCTGACCGAGGTGGGCGTCTGAAGGTTGCCGCCGAGGGACGCATGGGCAACGATGGGCATGGGGTTGGCCACAGGCTGAACACTGACGGAAACTGCTGGGAAGAAAGCGCCAAACTGTTATATAATCGGCAGGAGCGGAAAATATCCACGTGAGATAGCGTCACAAAGGCCTTGAGCCTTCTCTGCCAAAGAATGGAGATGCTTCACCAAACTACAAATCCAAAAATTGCACAACACAGAGCCATGGCCATGAAATTAAGAGATGACTGTCCCTCGAAGAGGAGTTCTAGGTGCACCTCCTGAAGCAGTTTCCTCTTCTGCCTTGGCTCAGCAGTAAGATTATTGTATTAATGTGACTTTTGAGCAAATAGGGTAAATAAGCATATCTATATAAATAAAAATGTAATGTTCGTTTGTGGGATTGACATAACTCAAAAACCACTGGATGAATTGCCACCAAATTCCGCCACAAGACACCTAGTAACCCAAGGAGTGACCATCACTCAAAAAAATTGATTTTGCCATTTGGGAGTTGTAGTTGCTGGGATGTATAGTTCACCTACAATCAAAGAGCATTCTGAACTCCACCGATGATGGAATTGAACCAAATGTGGCACACAGGATTCCTGCAACCAACAGAAAACACTAGAAAGTGTTGGTGGGCATTGACCCTGGGTGTGGGATTTGTAGTTCACCTACATACAAAGAGCACCGTGGACTCAAACAACGATGGATATGGACCAAATTTGGCACAGATACTTCATATGCCCAAATATGAACACAGATGGAGTTTGGGGAAACAGACCTTGACATTTGGGAGTTGTAGTTACTGGGATTTATAGTTCACCTACAATCAAAGAGCATTCTGAACTCCACCAATGATGGAATTGAACCAAACTTGGCACACAGGACTCCCATGACCAACAGGGTTTGGTGGGCACTGACCTTGAGTTTGGGAGTTGTAATTCACCTACATCCAGAGAGCACTGTGGACTCAAACAACGATGGATCTGGACCAAACTTGGCACAAATATTCCATATGCTCAAATATGAACACAGATGGAGTTTGGGGAAAATAGCTATTGACATTTGGGAGTTGTAGTTACTGGGATGTATAGTTCACCGGTAATCAAAGATCATTCTGAACTCCACCAATGATGGAATTGAACCAAACATCACACACAGGACTCCCATGACCAAGAGAAAATACTGGAAGGGTTTGGTGGGCATTGACCTTGAGTTTGGGATTCGTAGTTCACCTACATACAAAGAGCACTGTGGACTCAAACAATGATGGATCTGGACAAAACTTGGCACGGATACTCCAGATGCCCAAATATGAACACATATGGAGTTTGGGGAAAATAGACCTTGACATTTGGGAGTTGTAGTTACTGGGATTTATAGTTCACCTACAATCAAAGAGCATTCTGAACCCCATGAACAACAGAATTGGGGCAAACTTCCCACACAGAACCCCCATGACCAACAGAAAATACTCAAGGCCATCCAGTCCAACTCCCTTCACCAGAGCAAGAAAACTTAATGAAAGCCCTCCTGACAAAGAGCCATCCAGCCATAGATATAGATAGATATATATGACCCACACACAGAGATATAGTATCCTAGATTTGAAAGGGACCCCTAAAAAAGGACAATTATATGTTGCATGTGTCAGAGTGGGCAAACCAGACAATCTCTACATCAACACTGACAAAGAAACAGCAAGAAATACTGTTTACCCACAAGCATTAAGAAACTACATATATTAGAACCCAACACTTTCTCATTACTTTATTTTCCAGTTACCAGACTAGGTCACAGCAAGGCGTGGCAGGGGACAGCTAGTATATCATGATGAAGGGATGTTTCTAGCTTCACTCTCTGACTGGGATGCTGGCTTTCCTACCTGCAGAAGTGGAAGCAGTCAGCCAGTTCATCCCAGAGCACTGATTGTACTTCATCCCAGACACCAAGCATTTGCAATGTTTGTGAACACAGTAACTGTCTGTTCCTATAACAGGGACTACCACTTCTTAAGCTGTTCTCCAAACCTGCCAGAAGGCAGGGAAGGAGCAAGTGGGAACAGCCAGACGAGAACAAGAGCCATTAAACGTGCCGATCTGTTACTCCCACAAGGATATTAATAGCCAGGGATAGATGATTTTGTGTGCCCCCCCCCCAGCCTTTGTATGACAAATTCAAGAATGTGGGATGAATCAAGCATAATAAACACAGAAAAATCCTCTTTGGCCCTGCCCCACCTAAGCCTCTCTAAAATCATGATCCCCCCCCCCCCAACACCTCCATGACATATACCGTATATACTCGAGTATAAGCTGAGTTTTTCAACCCTTCATTACAGTTATTATTATTACATTTATTATTTTGCTCTATTTATTAGTTATCATTACATTTATTATTTTGCTCTATTTATTATAGTTATTATTACATTTAATATTTTGCTCTATTTATTATAGTTATTACATTTATTATTTTGCTCTATTTATTATAGTTACTATTACATTTATTATTTTGCTCTATTTCTTATAGTTATTATTACATTTATTATTTTACTCTATTTATTATAGTTACTTTATTCTATTTATTATAGTTACTATTACATTTATTATTTTACTCTATTTATTATAGTTACTATTACATTTATTATTTTACTCTATTTATTATAGTTACTATTACATTTATTATTTTACTCTATTTATTATAGTTACTATTACATTTATTATTTTACTCTATTTATTATAGTTACTATTACATTTATTATTTTACTCTATTTATTATAGTTACTATTACATTTATTATTTTACTCTATTTATTATAGTTACTATTACATTTATTATTTTACTCTATTTATTATAGTTACTATTACATTTATTATTTTACTCTATTTATTATAGTTACTATTACATTTATTATTTTACTCTATTTATTATAGTTATTATTACATTTATTATTTTACTCTATTTATTATAGTTATTATTACATTTATTATTTTACTCTATTTCTTATAGTTATTATTACATTTATTATTTTACTCTATTTCTTATAGTTATTATTACATTTATTATTTTACTCTATTTCTTATAGTTATTATTACATTTATTATTTTATTCTATTTATTATAGTTACTATTACATTTATTATTTTACTCTATTTATTATAGTTACTATTACATTTATTATTTTACTCTATTTATTATAGTTATTATTACATTTATTATTTTACTCTATTTATTATAGTTACTATTACATTTATTATTTTACTCTATTTATTATAGTTATTATTACATTTATTATTTTACTCTATTTATTATAGTTACTATTACATTTATTATTTTACTCTATTTATTATAGTTACTATTACATTTTTTATTTTACTCTATTTATTATAGTTATTATTACATTTATTATTTTACTCTATTTATTATAGTTACTATTACATTTATTATTTTACTCTATTTATTATAGTTACTATTACATTTATTATTTTACTCTATTTATTATAGTTACTATTACATTTATTATTTAACTCTATTTATTATAGTTACTATTACATTTATTATTTTACTCTATTTATTATAGTTACTATTACATTTATTATTTTACTCTATTTATTATGGTTATTATTACATTTATTATTTTACTCTATTTATTATGGTTATTATTACATTTATTATTTTACTCTATTTATTATGGTTATTATTACATTTATTATTTTACTCTATTTATTATAGTTATTATTACATTTATTATTTTACTCTATTTATTATAGTTACTATTACATTTATTATTTTACTCTATTTATTATAGTTATTATTACATTTATTATTTTACTCTATTTATTATAGTTACTATTACATTTATTATTTTACTCTATTTATTATAGTTACTATTACATTTATTATTTTACTCTATTTATTATAGTTACTATTACATTTATTATTTTACTCTATTTATTATAGTTACTATTACATTTATTATTTTACTCTATTTATTATAGTTACTATTACATTTATTATTTTACTCTATTTATTATAGTTACTATTACATGTATTATTTTACTCTATTTATTATAGTTACTATTACATTTATTATTTTACTCTATTTATTATAGTTACTATTACATTTATTATCCCCTGTCACGCGTTGCTGTGGCCCAGTCTGTGTATATGTGTGTTTGTGTGTGTATATATTTGTGTATATGTGTGTTTGTATATATGTGGTCTTGCGCATGCGTTGAAATGGGTTTTTTTGCCTTTCAAGTTCCTTCTGCTGTGTTTTTCAGTGTTTTTATGAGTGATGGTCACTTGTTGGCCAGAGAAGTGTGTTGTGTTCAAATTTGGTGTCAATTCGTCCTGTGATTTTTGAGTTATGTTAATCCCACAAACAAACATTACATTTTAAACTATTTTTTTATTTTTAAAATTTTAATTATTACATTTGGCCCAGCCATAAGTTTTTAACATTTGTTGTGCTACTGTCAATGTTTATTGCTTATTTTTTGTTTATGAGATTTATTTTAACTGTTTTGTATTGTTGTTTGCTATTGCTTTTATTATTGATGTATTGTGGGCTTGGCCTCATGTAAGCGGCATCGAGTCCCTTGGGGAGATGGTAGCGGGGTATAAAGATTATTATTATTATTATTATTATAAACTATTATTAGTAGTATTATATAGTATTACATTATAATATTATAAATATTATATGTATATACATTACTAGCTGTACCCGCCACGCGTTGCTGTGGCCAACCTTCCCCCTATCTCCCCTTCTTTCCCTCCTTCCTTCACTCCCTGTTTCCTTCCTTCCTTCCTGTCTTTCCTTCTCTCCTTCCTTCTTTCTCTATCGCTTTCCTTCCTTCCCCCTTTTTCTTTCTCTTCTGCTGTCTCTCTTTTCTTCCTTCTCTCTTTCCTCCTTTCTTTCCCTCCCTCTTTCTCTACATTTTATCCCCTTCCTTCGCTCCCTCTTTCCTTCCTTCTTCCTTTTTCTCTTCTGCAGTCTCTTTTCTTCCTTCTCTCTTTCCATCTTTCCTTCCCTCCCTCTTTCTCTACATCTTCCCCCCTTCCTTCGCTCCTTCTTTCCTTCCTTCTTCTCTTCTGCTCTTCTGGTCTCTTTTCTTCCTTCTCTCTTTCCATCTTTCCTTCCCTCCCTCTTTCTCTACATCTTCCCCCTTCCTTCGCTCCTTCTTTCCTTCCTTCTTCCCTTTTTTCTTTCCTTCTCTCCTTCCTTCTTTCTCTAACTTTCCTTCCTCCCCCTTTTTCTTTCCCTCCCTCTTTCTCTCCTTTCTTCCTTTTCTACCTCATTCCTTCCTTCTTGCTTTCCCTCCCTCTTTCTCTCCTTTCTTCCTTTTCTACCTCATTCCTTCCTTCCTTCTTTCTTTCCCTCCCTCTTTCTCTCCTGTCAGGGGTGATTTGAATGCAATATTCCTGCTTCTTGGCAGAATGGGGTTGGACTGGATGGCCCATGAGGTCTCTTCCAACTCTTTGATTCTATGATTCTATGATTCTTCCTTGACAGATTAGAAGGGGGCGTGGCTTGGAGGTAACGTGAGGAGGGTAGAGGGAGGAGGGGAGGGGGGATGGGTTTAGAAGGGGGCGTGGCTTGGAGGTAACGTGAGGAGGGAGGAGGGGAGGGGGGATGGGTTTAGAAGGGGGCGCGGCTTGGAGGTAACGTGAGGAGGGGAGAGGGAGGGGGGATGGGTTTAGAAGGGGGCGTGGCTTGGGTTACGTGAGGAGGGGAGGGGGGATGGGTTTAGAAGGGGGCGTGACTTGGAGGTAACGTGAGGAGGGTAAGAGGGAGGAGGGGAGGGGGGAGGGGGGCGCGCGCGCGTGTGTGCCGCGCGGGGGGGAGAGGGGGCGCACACGCGCGCGTGTGTGCCGCGCCAGGGGAGTGAGGGGGCGCGCGGGCGTGCGTGTGCCGCACCGGAGGGGGGAGGGGGCGCGCACGCGCGTGTGCCGCGCCGGAGGGGTGTGAGGGGGCACGCGCGCGCATGTGTGCGTGTGTGCCGCGCCGGGGGGGTGAGGGGGCGCGTGCGCGCGTGTGTGTGCATGTGTGTGTGTGCCGCGCCGGAGGGGGGAGAGGGGGCGCGTGCGCGCGTGTGTGTGCATGTGTGTGTGTGCCGCGCCGGAGGGGGGAGAGGGGGCGCGTGCGCGCGCGTGTGTGCCGCGCCGGGTGGGAGAGGGGGCACGCGTGTGTGTGTGTGCCGCGCCGGGGGGGGAGGGGCCGTGCGCGCGCGCGTGTGTGTGCCGCGCCGGGGGGGAGGGTGAGGGGCCATGTGTGTGCGCGCGCCAGGGAGTTTGCGCCAGTGCGCATGCTCAGTTGCTTTGCCGTTTATTGTGGTTGTTGTTGTGTGTTTTTGATTTCTGAGTGGATTAGTTTGTACCTTGTTGGTTGCCCTTGGGGCATGGGAAGTTTGGTGGAGTTTCGTTGGGGGGGTTTTGAGTTTTGTTTCCTCATACGACGCCAGGAGGAAATTTATATATATAGATACTATATTATAACATATTATATTACATTATTAGCATAACACAGGAGACAAGCTGGAACTGTCTTCCTGGGCCCCTCTCTTTCTACTTCCATGAGGTCCTATATCCCAATCGCCCAGAAAGTGGAGGGCCTACTGTACTTCAATCATCCTTAAACACTTGGGGACAAGAATTCCTAGACCTACTCCAGGAGGAACTTCCAGGATTGGGGTGCTGCTACCAAGAAGGCTCTGACATACATCACATCCAGCCTCTTAAATCCTACATTGGTTCACCAAAGGAAAAGTGGAGGGCCTACTGTACTTCAATCATCCTTAAACGCTTGGGGACAAGAATTCCTAGACCTACTCCAGGAGGAACTTCCAGGATTGGGGTGCTGCTACCAAGAAGGCTTTGACATACATCACATCCAGCCTCTTAAATCCTACACTGGTTCATACTGGAGTTCTTAAGGTAGCAATGCCCACCATTCATTGCCAGCTTTGTTGAGACTCCTGGAACTATGAAAGCAATACAAGGGAGGTTTCAATTCATAAATTCTCAAAACAGTGAGATTCCATAAGCAAAAGAGAAAAACAATGATATATCTGTTTTTAAGACTGCAAAATACAAGGACATGATTCTACAGTGAGCCCAAATGAAACCGCCAAGGAAGGTAAAGTAGGAAACGGGATATTCTTTGATACTTTTGGAAAGCATGGGTAACCATACCAGTAGCAGTTTTGTCCACCAAATTGTAATCCTCAACCACCGAGTCTTCGATCACGTCACTGATCTTCTGCCACGGTTCCAACTCCTCCTCCTCGCATTCCATAAATAGGTCTGTGTCCGCCATCCTGGACAGGAGAGAGAAAGGAAGGATGTGTCAATGTGCCTTCTTGGGCTAGAGGATAACATCATGGGACCATCCTAAGGAAACCATGGAAATGCACAACTTCTGGCTTCCCAGTATTAAAAAAACCCTCTAAAATAAGGATGGTAAATAAAGCAGCCAGTCTTTGAAGCTGCAAGGCCATTCGATGCTAATCAAGGTGGCCAATGGCAACAGTCACCCGTGCCTCAGCAGACAACAATTCTTTCTCCCACCCTGGACATTTTCCACAGGTATACAAACCTCACTTGCCTAGTTTCCAACAGACCTCACAACCTTTGAAGATGCCTGCCATAGATGTAGGCGAAATGTCAGGAGAGAATGCTTCTAGAACATGGACATACAGTCTGGTAAACTCATAGCAACCCAACTATTTTTCCTTCAAAAGTTGATCTGGAGACATGCTTTCCCCAAGAAAGATCAGATATGGGCGTAATTAAATTCAAAGGTGTGACTGAAACTAACGGGTTCCATATATTACTTACTTAGGCGATCCCTCGTAGTCCGAGGATGATAGTCCTCCAAGTGTAGTATCCTGGTGGTGGGTCCATAGGTAACTGTGGAGCCCTATTCTTGACCTGCATCTTCTCCCACAGTGAGGGCATTGGTTACCAAGTGGAAGGCGGTCCTGGTCGGGGTTGGCTTGACGCGCCTTCCTCCTGGCATATTTCTCTCTTTTGCCCTCCATTCGTGCCTCTTCAAATTCTACAGCACTGCTGGTCACAGCTGACCTCCAACTGAAGCGCTCAAGGGCCAGGGCTTCCCAGTTCTCAGTGTCTATGCCAGAGTTTTTAAGGTTGGCTTTGAGTTCATCTTTAAATCTCTTTTCCTGCCCACCAACATTCAGTTTTCCGTTCTTGAGTTCGGAGTAGAGCAACTGCTTTGGGAGACAGTGGCTGGGCATCCGGACAATGTAGCCAGTCCAGCGGAATTGATGGCAGAGGACCATCACTTCAGTGCTAGTGGTCTTTGCTTCTACCAGCACGCTGACGTTTGTCCGCTTGTCTTCCCAAGAGATTTGCAGGATTTTCCAGAAGCAGCGCTGATGGAATCGTTCCAGGAGTTGCATGTGATGTCTGTAGACAGTCCACGTTTCGCAGGCATATAGCAGGGTTGGGAGGACAATAGCTTTATAAACAAGCACCTTGGTCTCCCTACGAATATCCCGGTCCTCAAACACGCTCTGCTTCATTCGGAAAAATGCTGCACTTGCAGAGTTCAGGCAGTCTTGTATTCCAGTGTCAATGTTGACGTCTGTAGACAGTCCACATCTCGCAGGCGTATAGCAGGGTTGGGAGGACAATAGCTTTATAAACAAGTACCTTGGTCTCCCTACGGATGTCCCGGTCCTCAAACACTCTCTGCTTCATTCGGAAAACATGCTGCACTCGCAGAGCTCAGGCGATGTTGTATTTCAGTGGCGATGTTGATGTCTGTAGACAGTCCACGTCTCACAGGCGTATAGCAGGGTTGGGAGAACATCAGCTTTATAAACAAGCACCTTGGTCTCCCTATGGATGTCCTGGTCCTCAAACACTCTCTGCTTCATTTGGAAACATGCTGCACTCGCAGAGCTCAGGTGGTGTTGTATTTCAGTGTCAATGTTGATGTCTGTAGACAGTCCACATCTCGCAGGCGTATAGCAGGGTTGGGAGAAGATTAGCTTTATAAACAAGCACCTTGGTCTCCATACGGATGTCCCAGTCCTCAAACACTCTCTGCTTTATTCGGAAAAATGCTGCACTCGCAGAGCTCAGGCGGTGTTGCATTTCAGTGTCAATGTTGACGTCTGTAGACAGTCCACGTCTCGCAGGCGTAGAGCAGGGTTGGGAGGACATTAGCTTTATAAACAAGCACCTTGGTCTCCCTATGGATGTCTTGGTCCTCAAACACTCTCTGCTTCATTCGGAAACATGCTGCACTCGCAGAGCTCAGGTGGTGTTGTATTTCAGTGTCAATGTTGATGTCTATAGACAGTCCACATCTCGCAGGCGTATAGCAGGGTTGGGAGAAGATTAGCTTTATAAACAAGCACCTTGGTCTCCATACGGATGTCCTGGTCCTCAAACACTCTCTGCTTCATTCGGAAAAATGCTGCACTCGCAGAGCTCAGGCGGTGTTGAACTTCAGTGTCAATGTGGACTTTTGTGGAGAGGTGGCTGCCAAGGGAGCGGAAATGGTCAACACGACAAGGTGACAGTCCATCGAGGGGGGGTTCCATATATATCTCTCTTTCAATATCTTTTATCTTTCCTATGCCTAATATCAAGATTTAAACCTTGATGGAGTATTGATGTCCTGATGTCTATTCACCTTCTGTACCTTCCCTCATTTCTTACAGCAAGGGAGTATTTTCCTGGATGACTCCATCCATGGTGAGGGTCCCAGCCCACCCTCTCAATCAGCTAAATAATCTGTGGTCTCTCAAGGAACTCAATAGGTTGAATGAACGCTGTTTAAACGCAGGCCTCAAAAACATCCAGACGGAGTTGGCATTTGATCGACAGAAACAGAAGCCCGGGAGCAACAACAGAAAAGGACGCTGCTCCAACAGCTACTTCGGAGCAACAAGCCAGACAGTCTGTCTAGGAAAACGGGCTTGGCTTCCAACGCAGAGAAAAGAGCGCCAATCTGCTCTTCAGATATGAATGCCAATGCAAACAGATCCAGCCTCTGTGAATGATCCCTTTTAAAGAAAAGCATTATGCAAATCAGGGGTTCCCAACCTTTTTTTGACCAGGGACCACTCTCCAACATTAGCACAAAAAAAGGTTACGAATCAGTCTTTGGTCAACTTTAGATTCAGTTTGGTTATTTGGGATGCTGGTTCAGGAAATTGCACTGGATAGACCACATCAGCACTAGTTTCTGGCACAGAACATATGCCACCCAGTAGTCGCCCATAGAAAATCATATTTAAGAAGCCTTGGCATTATTATTATTATTTATTTATTTAAAATATTTATATTCTGCCCTTCTCACCCCGAAGGGGACTCAGGGCGGAGCACAGCGTATATACGGCACAAATTCTTATATACATACATAAACATTAAAAACATTCATCAAAATATTGAAATACACCATTTAAAACCGTCCTAGTCATCCACGTCAAATCTAACTGGCCTGGTAATCTTTCTTATTGCTGATTTATTGCCCTGTCCTGAAAGCTTGGTCCTACAGCCAAGTTTTGACCATCCTTCTGGAGGACAGGAGGGAGAAGGCCGACCTGATCTCACCAGGAAGGAGTTCCATAGCCGGGGAGCAATCACAGAGAAGGCCCCGTCTCTCGTCCCCACCAATCACACCTGTGACAATGGCAGGACGAAAAGCAGGGCCTCCCCAGAGGATCTTAATTTCCACAATGGTACATAGGGAGAGTGCGTTCGGACAGGTAATTTGGGCTGGGGCCATTTGGGGCTTTCTAGGCCAAAGCCAGCACTTTGAATGGTGCCCAGTAGCAAACTGGCAGCCAGTGGAGCTGGTATAACATGGGAGATGTATGCTCCCTGTATGCCAGACCAATTATTAACCTGGCTGCCTCTCGTTGGACTAGTTGAAGCTTCCGAACAGTCTTCAAAGGCAACCCCACGCAGAGCGCATTGCAGTAGTCTATCCTAGAAATGGAGATGAGCACCTATTCCCAGAGTCGGATACCACTAGACTTAATGTCAAGGGTAAACCTTTACCTTTACACTAAAATACACCTGTAATGACACACTACTACTACTCATGCTTATTTGCCATGATGTCCCACAACATCCAGGATAAAACTCTTCAAGCTCTGCACCAATGACATAAATACCTGACAAAGTGATATTCAAGTGATATTCAAAAGCAGGAGGGTGATACAGTCATCTGAACCTGTTTGGTTATAGCAGATATTAAGTAACACACCGAAGAAACCCAATTACAACAGTTGTCAGAGGGGAGCATAACTCGCTCGCTAGTAAGCAGCACTTCGAATGGAGAATTCAGAGATTTCAGTGAAGATGAGTCAACCACATGTTGCCATGATACGGAAAATGATACAGAAAATGCAATGGCCATTTTAGGATAAGATCAGGATTACGATTCAAAAACAACGCAAAAGCCGCTTTGAGTCCATGTCAAATCTTTACCTTTATCTACAACTGTACCCTCAGTTCGCTTCTGACACGATAAATAAATATCCCATTCTGCCTGGCGTGAAAAGCACAATCAAAGCCCTCCCGACAGATGGCCATCCAGCCTCTGTTTGGGGAATGAGACTCAATTGGATTCTGAAGCATTCCCAAACAGCTCTGATCACCAGAAACGTCCATATTTGTGTACGGCAGCCCTTCCTTTGCTCAGAACCAAATGGGGCGGATCCCAAGGAAGAAAACAACTTACTGAGAAAGTCAAGGCAAAGGAAGGTCTAGTTATGCCTCAATTTGAATGCAAAGAGAATGAGAAAGCGAGTTCCCTCCTTCAGAGCTGGCTCTATTTATTTATTTAAAACATTTATATTCTGCCCTTCTCACCCCGAAGGGGACTCAGGGCGGAGCACAGCATATATACGCCAAACATTCAATGCCGGGACACAAATTCTTATATACATACATAAACATAAAAACATTTATCAAAATATTAAAATACACCATTTAAAACCATCCTAGTCATCCACATCAAATCTAATTCGCCTGGCTATCTTTCCTATTGCTGCTGTATTGCCCTGTCCTGAAAGCTTGATCCCACAGCCAAGTTTTGACCATCCTTCTAAAGGACAGGAAGGAGGGGGCCGACCTGATCTCACCAGGAAGGGAGTTCCATAGCCGGGGGGCAATCACCAAGAAGGCCCTGTCTCTCGTCCTCACCAATCGCACCTGTGACAATGGCGGGACGGAAAGCAGGGATTCCCTGGAGGATCTTAATCTCCGCGATGGTTCATAGGGAAAGATGCGTTCAGACAGGTAATTTGGGCCGGGGCTGTTTAGGGCTTTCTAGGCCAAAGCCAGCACTTTGAATGGTGCCCGGTAGCAAACTGGCAGCCAGTGGAGCTGGCGTAACATGGGAGTTGTATGCTCCCTGTATGCCGCCCCCATTATTAACCTGGCTGCCTCTTGTTGAACTATTTGAAGCTTCCAAGCAGTCTTCAAAGGCAGCCTCACGTAGAGTGCGTTGCAGTAGTCTATCCTAGATGTAACAAGAGTGTGGACCACCATGGCCAAGTCTGACTTCCCAAGAAACGGGCGCAGCTGGCGCACAAGTTTTAATTGTGCAAAAGCTCCCCGGGCCACCGCTGAGACCTGGGATTCCAGGCTCAGTGATGACTCCAGGAGGAGTCATCACTGCAACCTCGGCCTTCAAGGGGAGTGTAACCCCATCCAGCACAGGTTGTGACCCTATACCCTGTTCGGCCTTGCGACTGACCAGGAGGACCTCTGTCTTGTCTGGATTCAACTTCAATGTGCTCACCCTCATCCAAACCATCACAGCAGCCAGGCACTGGTTCAGGACTTGGACAGTCTCCTTAGCATCTGGTGGAAATGAGTGATAGAGTTGGACGTCATCGAACTCCAACAAAACTCCAAAAAAACTCGGGATGATTTCACCCAGCAGCTTTATGTAGATGTTAAACAATATGGGGGACCATACTAAGCCCTGCAGGACCCCACAGGACAATGGCTGTGGGGCTGAGCAGGAGTCCCCCAGCAACAAGCAACACCTTCTGGGTACGACCCTCCAGGAAAGACTGGAGCCACTGCAGAACGGTCCCTCCAAGACCCATCCCCGCGAGGCAGGCACCTCAGAAGGATACCGTGATTGAGTGTACCAAAGGCCACTGAGAGGTCTAGCAGAACCAACAGGGACACACTCCCCCAGTCTAGTTATGCCTTAATTTGGATGCCAAGAGGATGAGAAAGCGAGTTCCTTCCTTCAGAACTGGATCTAACTCTTTCCATTCATTATTATTGAGTCATTCGTTATTACGGCGCAAGTTTACTGAGAAAGTCAGGCCAAAAGGAGGCCTTAATTTGGATGCCAAGAGGACGAGAAAGCGAGTTCCTTCTTTCAGAGGTGGATCTCTCTCTCTCTATTCGTTATTATTGAGCCCATTCGTTATTATGGCGCAAGAAAACAACTTACTGAGAAAGTCAGGCCAAAGGGAGGCCTAGTTATGCCTTAATTTGGATGCTAAGAGGACGAGAAAGCAAGTTTTCTCCTTCAGAGCTGGCTCTATCTCTCTCTGTTTGTTATTATTGAGCCCATTTGTTATTATGGCGCAAGAAAACAACTTACTAAGAAAGTCAGGCCAAAGAAAGGCCTAGTTGTGCCTTAATTTGGATGCCATGAGGATGAGAAAGCGAGTTCCTTCCTTCAGAGCTGGATCTATCTCTCTCCATTGCAGCCAGTGGAGCTGGCATAACATGGGAGTTGAGTGCTCCCTGTATATTGCCCCAAGGAGCAAGATATGTTATGTTATGGCGCAAGACAACAACTTACGGAGAAAGTCAGGGCAAAGGAAGACCTGGTTATGCCTTAATTTGGATGCTGAGGATGAGAAAGCGAGTTCCTTCCTTCAGAACTGGCTCTATCTCCATTCATTATTATTGAGCCCATTCATTATTACGGCGCATGAAAACAACTTACTGAGAAAGTCAGGCCAAAGAGAGGCCTAGTTATGCCTTAATTTGGATGCCAAGAGGACGAGAAAGCCAGTTCCTCCTTCAGAGCTGGCTCGATCTCTCTCAGTTCGTTATTATTAAGTCCATTTGCTATCTATCTCTCTCCATTCGTTATTATTGACTCCATTTGTTATTATGGCGCAAGAAAACACTTACTGAGAAAGTCAGGCCAAAGGGAGGCCTAGTTAAGCCTTAATTTGGATGCCGAGAGGATGGAAAAGCGAGTTCCTTCCTTCAGAGCTGGATCTATCTCTCTCCATTCATTATTACGGCGCAAGAAAACAACTTACTGAGAAAGTCAGGGCAAAGAGAGGCCTAGTTATGCCTTAATTTGGATGCCAAGAAGATGAGAAAGGGAGTTCCTTCCTTCAGAGCTGGATCTATCTCTCTCCATTCGTTATTTTTGAGCCCATTCGTTATTACGGCGCAAGAAAACAACTTACTGAGAAAGTCAGGCCAAAGGGAGGCCTAGTTATGCCTTAATTTGGATGCTGAGAGGATGAGAAAGCGGGTTCCTTCCTTCAGAGCTGAATCTATCTCTCTTGGTTCGTTATTATTAAGTCAGGACGAAGGGAGGCCTAGTTATGCCTTAATTTGGATGCCAAGAGGATGAGAAAGTGAATTCCTTCCTTCAGACCTGGCTTGATCTCTCTCGGTGAGTTACTATTAAGTCCATTCACAATTTATCTCTCTTGGTTCATTATTATTGAGTCCATTCGTTATTACGGCGCAAGAAAACAACTTACTGAGAATGTCAGGCCAAAGGGAGGCCTAGTTATGCCTTAATTTGGTTGCCAAAAGGACGAGAAAGCGAGTTCCTTCCTTCAGAGCTGGATCTATCTCTCTCCATTCGTTATTATTGAGTCCATTCATTATTATGGTGCAAGAAAACAACTTACTGAGAAAGTCAGGCCAAAGGAAGGCCTAGTTATGCCTTAATTTGGATGCCAAGAAGAGGAGAAAGCGGGTTCCTTCCTTCAGAGCTGGATCTCTCTCTCTCCATTCGTTATTATTAAGTCCATTTGCTATCTATCTCTCTCAATTCATTATTACTGACTCTATTCGTTATTATAGCGCAAGAAAACAACTTACTGAGAAAGTCAGGCCAAAGAGAGGCCTAGTTATGCCTTAATTTGGATGCCAAGGGGACGGGAAAGCAAGTTCCTTCCTTCAGAGCTGGATCTATCGCTCTCCATTCATTATTATGAAGTAAATTCGTTATTTTCACACTTCTGAAAGGGGAATTTGAGGAGAAAATGCCTCAGGTGTTGATGAGGGAAAGGGAAAAGCATCCCTTCTTCAAATCTTCTCTCTATTTGCTCCCCAAAATGTCCTGAAGGGAATGGAAGTCCTGTCAGGGTTGTGGTCAGTCCTTGGTCTCCTCAGGAGTGAGGGAAAAGGCTCCCCTCATGCCTGAGGCGAAGGGAAAGTAGTCCCTCTGGCCAACATGGCCGCCCAAGCAGAGCCCAGCCGTGGAAAGGCCTCCTTGTGGTCTTTCTAATCGTGCTTGGAAGATGAGGCGCGAGTGTGGGCCTCCATGGCACTTTGTTGTGTTGTTTTGAGGCGCCAAACCCTCACAATCGGGGTGTGTTTCTGAGGGGAGGAGGCCCGGCGGAAGGACACGCGGGAGAGCGTCCTCTCGGCTCCTCTTTCCCTTCTTCCCTCGCTTCTGAGGCGAGTCTGGGATCCCTCCGCGAGAGAAGAGGCGGTGCCGCCACCTATCGGAGGCGGAGAGAGAAGACAGGCAGCGAAGCCCCGCCCATTTTGCCCCTCCTCCACTCAGAAGCAAGAGGTGGAAAATGTGAGCCAATCACTACGCGCCTTTCCACGCTAGTCCCGCCTTAATGGGGGAGAGAAGCCACGCCCACTTCTCCGGCGTGGAAATGAGAAAGATCTCGGAGCCACGCCCCCTCGTCCTCCTCATCCAATGCGAGCCAATCCCAGGGCTAGTAGACGAGAAGCCACGCCCACTTCTCTCAGTCCGCCTTTCAAAACCAAGATGAGCCAATCCCTGTAATATTGAAGGGAAGCCACGCCCACTTTTCCAATCCTCCAATCAATACAAGGAACGGAAGATATGAGCCAATCACTACGCGCCTTTCCCAGGCTTAATGGTGAGAAGCCACGCCCACTCCTCCAATCAATACAAGGAATGGAAGATATCAACCAATGCCTACACGCCTTTCCAGGCTTAGTCCCGCCTTAATGGAGAAGCCACGCCCACTCCTGAATTCAATACTAGGAATAGAAGATATAAGCCAATCCTTACGCGCCTTTACAGCGCTAGTCCCGCCTTAATGGACAAGCCACGCCCCTTTCTGAATTCAATACTAGGAATAGAAGGTATGAACCAATCGTTACGCGCCTTTCCAGCGCTAGTCCCGCCTTAATTGAGAAGCCACGCCCACTCCTCCATTCAACACCAGCAATAGAAGATATGAGCCAATCCGTACGCGCCTTTCCAGGCTTTAGTCCCGCCTTAATGAAGAGAAGCCACGCCCACTTCTCCCCCTCCTTCATTCAAAACCAGGAATGGGAAATCTGAGCCAATCCCGACGCGCCTTTCCAGGGTTGGTCCCGCCTTAAATGAGAGGAGAAGCCACGCCCCCTTTTGTTCCCTCCAATCAGAGACGAGAGAGGATACTCCGGGCCAATGGCAGGCGCGCCTCAGTGGCGCTCGTCCCGCCTTCCCTCCCTCCCCCCTCCCTTCCCGCGCTGCCTGGCTTTGTGTCCCCTTCTCTCTCTCTCTCTCTTCTATAAGGAATCCGTTCGGTTTGAAAACAAAGCGGTTTGAGCCGGTTCCAAAAAAAAGGGGAGAAGATGGGAAACGCGCATGCGCGGCTGCACTCACGCGGCGGCCCCCCTCCCCTCGCTTGCTCTGTTTCTCCTCTCTCTCTCTCTCTTGCCTCGCGCAGGCTGGCTCCCTCTCGCGTCCGCTCCTGGGGTATATAAGGCGGCGAAGCGCTCGCTCACCTGGCAGTGGGCTCGGCGGCGTCGGCGGGAGCGGGTTTGTTTCCTCCTCGGAGCGGCCCACGCCCCTCCTCCTCCCGGCGCCTGACGGGGGCGCGCCTCGCATGGGCCTCGCCTGCCTCCCTCTTCTCCGCTCGGAAGGCGGCCCGGTTTCAAATGCGCGCCGCTTGACAACACACCAGAGGCGCCGCTACACACACACACAAAAAGAGGGGCCCGGACTGGCGGAGGGATACGCGTGACGTCACTTCCTCCGCTCTCTCCTCAGCCCGCCCCCGATTGGCCAGCCGGCGCTGACGTCACTGGCTGGTCCCTTGCACATAAGCCAAGACTCAGCCTGGTCAAGTTTGTCTGAGGGAAAAAAGAGTCAGAATGATGATTTTTAGGAAAACTTTTAAAATAATAATAATAATAGTTGAAAAAAATAATGATTATTAGGGGAGTCATTTTAAAATAATAATAAAGTTGGAAAAAATTAATGATTTTAGGGAGTCATTTTTTAAAATAATAACAATAAAATTTGAAAAAAAATGATTTTTAGGGATATATTTTTTCCAATTTTATTATTTTTTTTAAAATAATGACTTTTAAGGAATAATAATAATAACATTTGAAAAAATATTAATGATTTGTAGGGAAAATAATTTTTAGGCAGTCATTTAAAATAATAATAAAAGTTTAAAAAACAATGATTTTAGGGGAGTCATAAAATAATAATAAAATTGGAAAAAAATGTTTTTAAGAAGTCATTTTTCAAAATAATAAAAGTTGAAAAAAATAATTATTTTAAGGGGAGTCATTTTAAATAATAATAACAATAAAATTTGAAAAAATGATTTTTGGGGAGTCATAAAAATAATAATAAAGTTTATGAACAAAATCTGGCTACCAGTATTAAAAAACTCTAAAATTATAACAGCTAAACAACAGAGAGGAAAAAACCAGGCACAGATTAACACCTCCCAGCAACAGATTTTCCCAGGCTCAGGCAGGCCTTCAAATGCTAATGAAGGTGATCAGCTAAACATTCACACCTAACTGCAGCAGGGAAGAGCTCCTTGCCCCACCCCAGCCATTCCACAGATATATAAACCCATTTTTCCTACTTCCAACAGACCTTCTCAACCTCTGAGGATGCTTGCCATAGATGCAGGCGAAACGTCAGGAGAGAATGCCTCTATAACATGGCTCTATAGCCCGAAAAAACCCACAAGAACCTAATAATAAAGTTTGATATATATTATTATTAAACTTTATTTGTACCCCACTAGCATCTCCCGCAGGACTCGATGCGGCTTACAAAGGCCAAGGCCTCAACAACAATACAACAATACAACCTAGGCAAATTAAACAATTAAAGCAACTTATGATATATTACAACATATTACAACTTATGATATCCTACAATACATTATAAAATACTAATAGTATTATATACTGGTGGTATTATAGATAGATAGATAGATAGATAGATAACGTATTGTGTATATATATATATGCTCTGTGCATAATGAGTACCTTAAAAACAAAAGAACCAATGAACAAAATCACACCAAATTTGGCAACAAAACGTCTCACAACACAAGGAGTGATCATCACTCAAAAAATTATGATTTTATCATTTGGGTGTTGTGGTTGTTGGGATTTATACTTCACCTATAATCAAAGAGCATTCTGAACTCCACCAAGAGATGGAGCGAGTAGACAATCCTAGATCATTAGTAAAGTGCGATTAGGGACATGTTGCTTAGGGTTTCCTTATTCTGGAAAGGCACACTGGAACATCCACGTTTTCAAGCTCCTTCTGAAGACTGCCAATGTTGGGGCCTGCCTAATATCCTTAGGGAGGGAGTTCCAGAGTCGTTGGGCCACCACCAAGAAGGCCCTGTCCCTCGTCCCCACCAATCACGCCTGTGAAGCAGGTGGAATCGTGAGCAGGGGCTCTCCAGATGAACGAAGAGATCATGTGGAATTGAATTGAACTTGGCACACACAACTCCCGTGAACAACAGAAAACACTAGAAGGGTTTGGTGGGCATTGACCTTGAGTTTGGGAGTTGTAGTTCACCTAAATCTAGAGAGCACTGTGGACTCAAACAATGATGGATCTGGACCAAACTTGGCACGAATACTCAATATGCCCAAATATGAGCACAGATGGAGTTTGGGGAAAATAGATGTTGACATTTGGGAGTTGCAGTTACTGGGATTTGTAGTTCACCTACAATCAGAGCATTCTGAACCCCACCAACGACAGACTTGGGCCAAACTTCCCACACAGAACCCCCATGACCATCAGAAAATACTTAAAGCCATCCAGTCCAACTCCCTTGACCAGGGCAAGAAAACATAATCAAAGCCCTCCTGACAAAGAACCATCCAGTCATAGATATAGAGATAGATAGATAGATAGATATGATTCACACACATACAGATATAGTATCATAGATTTGAAAGGGACCCCTAAAGAAGGACAATTATGTGTTGCATGTTCCAGAGTGGGCAAACCAGACAATCTCTACATCAACACTGACAAAGAAACAGCAAGAAATACTGTTGACTCACAAGCAGAAAGACATTACATATAATAGAAACCAACACTCTCTCATTACTTTATATTCCAGATCACCAGACTGGGCCACAGCAACGCATGGCAGGAGGGCAGCTTTTACATTATATAATACTAATGGTATACTGGTGGTAATATATATATATCTACAACTTATTATACAATACATTACGTAGTAGTATAATATGCAGGTGGTGTATACACACACACATACAATTTACAATACCATACAATACATTATAGAATACTAATAGTATAATATGCTGTTGTTGTTCATTCGGTGGTATATTATATGTCGGGAGCCTCCGGTGACGCAGTGGGTTACACCATTTATTTGAACTTGCTGACTGAAAGGTTGACAGTTGGAATCTGGGGAGCAGGGTGAGCTCCCGCTGTTAGCTCCAGCTTCCTGCAGAAGCAGTACCTTTTGATCTACTCACACTTGCATGTTTTTGAACTGTCCGGTTGGCAGAAGCTGGGCCTAACAGCGGGAGCTCACGCTGCTCTCTGGATTCGAACCACCAACCTTTTGGTCAGCAAGTTCAGCAGCTCAGCGGTTTAACCTTATGCACCACCAGGCTGGCCTGCTGGCACAGCTCTGGTTAATACAATTTATATATTAACTCGTTATTAGTATGGTCACCCAATTTTCCTAAAGACGGTTGTAATAAATCACAGAGCTATTTATTTTTAACGACTACTTATTACCATCGCATTGGAAAATATAAAGGGAAAGGCTTTCTTGATGCCACCAAGTGGCCCATTCAGATATTACATTCTAAAGTATATACTGTATCTTTGTATATATGTGTCTGTGTGTATCAATCAATCAATAATTTATTACGTCTTTGACCAGCACAGCTTCTCGGCCTTTTGGCTAAGATCAAGTGTAGTGTCTGTGTGTATATAAATATATAAATTACAATATTATATATAAAATACATTATATATAACATATATAATTAGATTTCTATATATAAAATATAATATTGAATCTATATAAATAAAATGTAATGTTTGTTTGTGGGATTAACAGAACTCAAAAACCACTGGATGAATTGACACCAAATTTGGACACAATACACCCATCAGGCCAATGAGTGATCATCACTCATAAAAACACTGAAAAACACAGCAGAAGACACTTAAAAAGCCAAAAAACAAAAATATGCATTACAACGCATACGCAAAACCACACACACACACACATATATATGCAAACAGACATATGCACAAATATATACACACACAAAGCACATATAGTCAGATTGGGCCATAGCAATGCGTAGCAGGGGATGGCTAGTATATAATATAATTTTTGCTATTAGAAAAAAGACACACACACACACACACACACACACACATATATATATATATATATTCCTACTGTTAGAAAGACATATATAGTATATAATATTTTAATGAGACATAATATATATATATAATGTTTTTTTCTGCTATTAGAAAAAAATATATAAGACATTTTATATAATATTTTCATACTATGTATATGTATATATATGTATATGTATGTATTTCTCCTTTATTTTTTATTGCATATCTGATTGTAAATGAAGTTGCTAGTATAAAAAAATAAACATTTTAATATGTTTTGATCTTAGTTCTCTGCCTTGTGAATGTATGCATTTTGATGATCTTTTGCATTCACCTATGTATTTTAACTACACTGCATTGAGGAGGTGCAAGCATCATCATCATCATCATCATTACAAAAGGCAATGGTGTTGCCCTATCGCCATAGCCACAATCTTCCAGCTGTCCTTCCGTTCACAATGACCGGCACAATTCCCTTTTCAGTTTTTATCTCTGCTTCGTTGGAAGCAAACAATATGGCATTTTCTATTTCTTTGGTTACGGAACCTAATACGTTCATTTCGATTTAAATCCAGGGCCGGTCAACATTTCGAAACAAGCGCAAAGTTGTGTAATATTATGGCAAGAGTCTGCAGATCCCAACCGATAAATGCATTGGACCTTGAAGAAATGAAGGCAAACCGGAGGCAAACATTATTATTATTATTATTATTATTATTATTATTATTATTATTATTATTATTATTATTTACCATTACTAGCCAGGCATTGGTGGTTAGAATTGGGTTTTCTCATCCTGCAAAGAGAAGAGAAAAGAATGTGAGATGCAAGAGGAGGCCTTGTTGTGAAATTATATACAATGGAAACTGATGTGTCGATGGCCCTGATAGATGACCTCAAGGACCATTTTGCAATCTGGTTTAAGAGGACGAAAACCTGTGAACTGTCCGCATTCCAATGGATAAAGCATTTCCCCCAAAGGCAAAAATCAGTCTCTTTGCCTTGGGATCTCCAGGACTTGAAAATGTTTCAATGGCACTTTTTAAAGGGACTCTGGCTGCACAATGGAATTGATGCAGTTCTATACCACTTTAAGTGCCATGGCTTAAGGCTGTGGATTCCTGGAAGCGGTAGTTGTGCATGGCACTCCCCGCCTCAGCAAACTACAATTCCCGGGATTCTGTAGCATTGAATCCTAGAGGTTAAAGTGGTCCCAAAATATATTAATTCCACAGTGAAGACACACTCAGAGAAGAATAAATATCTCATTATATTATTATTATTATTATTATTATTATCCTCTTAACCAAGACTCAAACTGGCGATCTCTGCTAAAACAATGCAATGTACAATATGAACTGCATTGTAATTGCACGGCATTATTATTATTATTAGTAGTAGTAGTAGTATGCCACTTTTCCTCTGAACAGGGGCAATCAGTGCTAAAGCAATGCAATATACAATATTAATTGCAATGTATTATTATTATTATTATGTGTACGCTGCTTTCTCTCTAAACCAGCGGTTCTCAACCTGGGGGTTGCGACCCCCCGGAGGGTCATTAGGCCATTTTCGGGGGGTCGCAAAGCTGCCTTGGTTGGCCCCGCCCCCTCCAAAATGGCTGCTATGCGGGCAACCTTTCCGCCCGACCCACGCACCTTTCCGAACTAGGAGGGGCGCATGGGCTAGGTGGAGGCCTGCCCGCAAGGCCTCACCATGCGGGCATCCTTTCCGCCCGGCGTGCAAGTCGCTTCTGGTGTGAGAGAATTGGCCGTCTGCAAGGACGTTGCCCAGGGGACGCCTGGACAATTTGATGTTTATCATCCTTGTGGGAGGCTTCTCTCATGTCCCCGCATGAGGAGCTAGAGCTGATAGAGGGAGCTCATCCGCCTCTCCCCAGATTCAAACCTGTGACCTGTTGGCACAGGAGTTTAACCCACTGCGCCACATTAATCCACAGGTATATACACCCCACTTGCCTAGTTTCTAACAGACTTCAAAACCTCTGAGGATGCTTGCCATAGATGTGGGTGAAATGTCAGGAGAGAATGCTTCCGGAACATGGCCAGACAGCCCCGAAAACACAGCAACCTAGTGATTCCGGCCGTGAAAGCCTTTGATAATATGTTGTTATTGTTATTATTTTACGTTGCTCGCTTAGCCTGGAGATGTGGACATTATTTGGATGTGGGCACCCAAAGAAAGAGAAGTGAAGGCCAAAATAAAAGTAAAGAGGAAAGGGTGAAGAACTGAAGTTTTAGAGGATGAGATTCCCCCTTGGGCTCCCTCCCTTTCTCTCTCTTGCCTTTGTGGCCAACTTTCCTCGTGGCCCATCCTCCTTCTCCGCCCCCAAAGCTTGGCCCCTTGTATATAAAGCAGATCCCTGGCTGTGTGCAGACAGAAGAAGAGAGACAGCCTTCTGGGTCTGGAAAGGAGTGAGAACTGGATCAGGAATGGGTAAGTGACACCCTCACCTTGGGCAAACATTGTGCAACCCAAGGCGCCAAAGAGGATATATATTCTGTTATCACGGAACAGAAATGCTTCACCTCTGGGCCTCCTATCTACATCTACAGTGTGGAAGGACGGCAGCTGGAGGCCACTTTTCTGCAGGATCCTGGGGAGAAAGAAGGCGAGAAGAGACCTTCCCTTTGCTCCCACAACACTCCGCCAAAGTGGTGTCACGCTGCATCCCTTCTACAATATAGACATACCCTCTGGTTCTATTTCTGCCGCATTATGTGTTGTCGAGATGGGAGCAAAGGTTATGTTTTCAACACCGGCTTCCTTTTTTTAGGAAAGCAAACTCCATAGTTCTTGCAACATTGTAAGCCTTGCTGTTTCCAAGACAGGCTGCAGCTACACTGTGGAGTTGATACAGTTTGGCATTGGTTCCAAACTGTATTCATTCCTGGTTGCATGAATCCCAAACTGTAGGAAGTCCAAAATATATTCATTCCTAATTGTACTAATTCCAAAATGCAGGAATTCCAAAACTGTATTCATTCCTAATTGTATTAATTCCAAAATGCAGGAACTCCAAAATTTATTAATTCCTAACTGTGTTAATTCCAAACTGCAGGAACTCCAAAATATATTAATTCCTAATTGTATTAATTCCAAACTGCAAGAACTCCAAATTTTATTAATTCCTAATTGCATTAATTCCAAACTGCAGGAACTCCAAATTTTATTAATTCCTAATTGTATTAATTCCAAACTGCAGGAACTCCAAATTTTATTAATTCCTAATTGCATTAATTCCAAACTGCAGGAACTCCAAAATGTATTAATTTCTAATTGTATTAATTCCAAACTGCAAGAACTCCAAATTTTATTAATTCCTAATTGCATTAATTCCAAACTGCAGGAACTCCAAAATGTATTAATTCCTAATTGCATTAATTCCAGACTGCAGGAACTCTAAAATATATTAATTCCTAATTGCATTAATTCCAAATTGCAGGAACTCCAAAATGTATTAATTCCTAATTGTATTAATTCCAAAATGCAGGAACTCCAAAACTTTATTGATTCCTAATTGCATTAATTCCAAAATGTATTAATTCCTAATTGCATTAATTCCAAACTGCAGGAACTCCAAACTGTATTCATTCCTAATTGCATTGATTCCAATCTGTATTCCTTCCCGAGAGTTGTAGTTTCCCATAGAGAAGGCTTAGGATGCATCCACACCAGGCAAGGGCAGACTTGGGCCCTCCAGGTGTTTTGGACTTCAACTCCCACAATTCCTAACAGCCTAGGAAATAATTCTTGTGTGTTGGAGGCAAGTGTCAATGTTGCAATTGGCCTCCTTGATTAGCACTGAATTGGCCTTGCAGCTTCCAAGCCTGGCTGCTTCCTGTCTGGGGGAATCCTTTGTTGGGAGGTGGATGTTTCCAACAGACCACTCAACCTCTGCCATAGATGTGGGCAAAACATCAGGAGAGAATGCTTCTGGAACATGGCCAGACAGGCCAGAAAACTCACAGCAACCCATAGCATTGTGCTAGGGCAGTTTCAAGTGGCGTCGAACTGCATTAATTCCATAAAGAAAACGCAGCCAAAGGAAAGAAAAACAGTTATGTAATGTCAGAAAAAGTAAAAAGGTTGCTTTTTGTTTTTGTGGCTGACACACAACAGCTGCTTGTTTGTGGGTTGGAGAGATAAGCTTAGCCTTCTGACATGGGAAGAGAATCATGCGCCCCAAGGGAGTGTAAACACGGCAAAATGGGGATAAATATCCACTTTTGAAGGTCAGGGTGGAGACCACATCCCTGGGAACATCTACACTGTAGAATTTAATGCACTTTGTGTTGTCGAAGGCTTTCATGACCGGAATCATTGGGTTGCTGTGAGTTTTCCGGGCTGTCTGGCCATGTTCCAGAAGCATTCTCTCCTGATGTTTTGCCCACATCTATGGCAGGTATCCCAGACAGAGAACAATCAGGACCAGCCTACACCTCCCAACAAAGGATTCCTCCAAGCAGGAAGCAGCCAGGCTTTGAAGCTGCAAGGCCAAAACTGTGCTAATCAACATGGCCAATTGCAGCATTCAGACTTGCCTCCGACAGGCAAGAACCCCACTTGATAGTTTATAAACCCCACTTGATAGTTTCCAACAGACCTCACAACTTCTCAGGATGCCAGCCATAGATGTGCGTGAAATGTCAGGAGAGAATGCTTCTGGAACATAGCCATACACCCCAGAAAACTCATTTTCAGCCCAGAAAACTCATTTACAGCCCAGAAAACTCACTTAATGAACTTTGGTGCTGAACTCAATCCTACGGGGTCCTGGGAGTTGTAGTTTGATAAAGAAGGCTTGGGACCTTGTAAAACTGCATCTCTGTAACATTGAGCTATAGGGTCCAGTGGCATTCATGGACTCAACAGTTCAAGACATATTGCAATGTTTTGTAGGAAATTTGCAAAACCACGAAGGCTTCCAACGATCCAGGGGTGCCTTTTGCAACCCATGAATATTTCCCAACAGGGGAATTTCAGACAAGAATCAATCAGGGCCAGCTAACACCTCCCAACAGAGGATTCCCCCAGGCAGGAAGCAGCCAGGCTTTGAAACTGCAAGGTCATTCAAGGCTAATCATGTAAGCCTCTCCGAATCTCCATTGGGGAGATGGTGGCAGGGTATAACTAAAGATTATTATTATTATTATTATTATTATTATTATTATTATTATTAATCAAGGTGGCCAATTGGAACCTTCACACTTGTTAAGCAGGCAAAAGTTCTTTCTCTCACCCTGGATATCATTCCATAAGTATATAAACCCCACTATCCTAGTTTCCAACAGACCTCACAACCTCTGAGGATGCCTACCATGGATGGGGGAGAAACGTCAGGTGAGAATGCTTCTGCGACATGCACATTTCCCAATTGGTTTCTGCAGCCCTCTGCGTAGGGATCTGCGTAGGGTCTCTTGCGTGACCAAGAAGCAGCTGGACTTTTATGATCCCATAAACATAAAACTGAAAGAGAGGGAAGGTTCAGCCTGAATTACCGAGCTATAAAAACGGGAATGCATCCGGTTCCAGATCCCATCCTGAGCCAAAACGAGGCTGCAATGTTTAGTTTTCCAAAGCCAAGTTTTGTCCTCTTCCAAACAGTCCCTTTTTATAGTTCTCTGCATCCGTTGGGTGTTTGCAAAATCCCCGGAAATTTGATAGGGTTTTCTTGGGGAGCATCTACACTGTCGGAATCAATGCAGTTTGGCACCACTTTGCAGTAATTTTTTTCATGACATGAGAAACTGCAAGTCACTTCTGGTGTGAGAGAATTGGCTGTCTGCAAGGACGTTACCCAGGGGATGCCTGGATGTTTTGGTGTTTGAACATCTTTGTGGACACTTCTCTCTTGTCCCCGCATGGGGAGCTGGAGCTGACAGAGGGAGCTCATCCATGCTCTCTTCAGATCTCTTCAGATTCGATCCCCCAACCTGTCTGTCTTCAGTCCTGCCAACACAAGGGTTTAACCCATTGCGCCATCAGGGTCTCCATGCATGCTACAGAATCCTAGCAATTGTCGTTTCACAAATTCTCCAGCCTTAATGCAACTATAACTTGCAGTGTAAAGCACTGAGCCAAGGCAACAAAAGTGTCTCCAAACTGTGTTAATGCAGCAGTGTAGATCTACTCGGAAATGGGATTTGAACTCATGTCTCATTAGGGTCTTTAACCTTTCTGTCTTTCTTTTGGGGGTTTGCAGCAGAATGCGGAGAATGCGGACCCGGCTACGAAACGCCGCTGGAGGCCATGAAAGGTGAGCACAAAACACGCCCAACTACATTTCAAAGAGTGACTCGAAACAGCCAGTTGTTCCAAGGTGCGAATCCAGTTACAGTTGTAGCAGCCAGGCTTTGAAGCTGCAAGACTATTCAATACTAATCAAGCTGGCTAATTACAACATTCACAAGAGTTCTTTCTCCCATCCTGGACATTATTCCACAGATATATAAACCCCACACCAATTGAGAGAGTCAGGAACACTGGGATGTCTATGATGGAGCCTGGAAAACTCACAGCAACCCAGAATAGGAAAGGGTTAAGGAAGAGGCAGTGGGTGGGGGTCGTGAAAATTCCACACCAATAGAGAGAGTTGTGAACACTGGGATGTCTCTTGGTGGAGTCCGGAAAACTCACAGCAACCCATATATGTTTTTTTCTGAAAGGTCCCCGGGAGGAGATCGTCTACCTTCCTTGTATCTATAGGAACACCGGGATCAAGAAGCCGGACTACTTGGCCACTGTGGATGTGGACCCCAAATCCTCCACTTATTGCAAAGTAGGTTTGATTCGGAGTTTTGTATCTGATCCAAATGACCGCTTTCTTGCTTTGTCTCCAGACTGCTAAAGTTTGGATTTTGGCAAGGGCAGTTTGGCCGGAGGGTGGGGAAAGCTGTTTTTCCCCTTCTTATTGAAGCTCTTTCGAAAGAAAGAAAGAAAGAAAGAAAGAAAGAAAGAAAGAAAGAAAGAAAGAAAACAAGCTACTTTTGCTGCAATGAGATCCTGGAGTCTCTCTATGCAAGGAAATAGAATGGATGGCAGTAGGAGGAAACTCAGGGAGAGAGCTTTGCCTTGAAAAGTATGTGGTCCATGCACAAAACGATTGCAAACGTTGTCATATATGGCCCCATCTACACTGCCATATAATGCAGGTTCATAATGCAGTTAAGCTGGATTCTATGGCAGTGTGGACTCATATAACCCAAAGAAATAATCAGGATTGTATATGGGAGTGTAGATGGGGCCTCAAAGACTTCACATCTTGCACATGCAGGTCTGACCAAATCTCTCTGTTATCATTCCATCACCGAAGTTTTATTTTCCTTTATGAGTCCTTTGGTGCATCACTTCCTGAAGCACCCAAAGGCCTTTGCCCTGTATTTTGGTTTTATGGCCATGTGTTTTAAAAACCCTGCTAGTGCCCATGTATATCTTTCTTTTATGTTTGAATGGCCTTTGTTCTGTTTAAAACAGGTGGTCATCCGAGATAGAAGTCCAGCCCTCCTTTGCAACCCTTTCAATGCTTTTTTTTTAAAATATAGGAAATATATAGACACATAGGCCCCATCTGCCATATAATGCAGTTTGAAACTACCTTGTATGGTCAGTGTAGTCTCATACAGGGCAGCTGACTGCAGTTAAAGTGCATTATTTGAGTCTACACAGACCACACCTTCTATCTATCTACCTAGCCTTCTATCTATCTGTCTTGCCAGCCATCTATGTATCTATTAATCCATCTTCCTATCTATCCTGTCTGTCTGTCTGTCCATCCATCCGTCCGTCCGTCCATCCACCCATCTATCCATCCACCCATCTATCCATCCATCCATCTACCTATCCATCTATCCATCCATCCATCCATCCATCCATCCATCCATCCATCCATCCATCCATCTCTGTCTGTCTGTCTGTCTGTCTATCATCTCACCAGCCATTCACCTCTCTCGCCAGCTTTCTAGCTATCTCTGCCTATCTATCTCTCTCTCTCTCTCTCTCTCCATCCATCCACCCATCCATCCATCCACCCATCCATCTAACCACCTATCCATCCACCCACCCACCCACCCACCCACCCATCTCCATCCATCCATCCATCCATCCATCCATCCATCCATCCATCCATCCATCCATCTCTGTCTGTCTATCATCTCACCAGCCATTCACCTCTCTCTCTCGCCAGCCTTCTAGCTATCTCTGCCTGCCTATCTATCTATCTATCTATCTATCTATCTATCATCTATCTATCTCTCCACCCACCCACCCATCCATCTAACCACCTATCCATCCATCCATCCATCCACCCATATCTATCTATCTATCTATCTATCTATCTATCTAGCCATCCATCCATCCATCCATCCATCCAACCATCTATGCATCCATCCATCCATCCATCCATCCATCCATCGATCTCTATCTGTCTGTATGTCTATCTATCTATCTATCTATCTATCTATCTATCTATCTATCTATCATCTCACCAGCCATTCACCTATCTCTCTCTCTCTCTCGCCATCTCTCGCTATCTATCTATCTATCTATCTATCTATCTATCTATCTATCTAGCCATCCATCCATCCAACCACCCACCCACCCATCCCTATCTATCTATCTATCTATCTATCTATCTATCTATCTATCTAATCATCTCACCAGCTATTCACCTCTCTCTCTTACTCTCTCCAGCCTTCTATCTATCTATCTATCTATCTATCTATCTATCTATCTATCTATCTATCTATCTAGCCATCCATCCATCCATCCTTCTCTGTCTGTCTATTATCTCACCAGCCATTCACCTCTCTCTCTCGCCAGCCTTCTAGCTATCTCTGCCTATCTATCTATCTATCTATCTATCTATCTATCTATCTATCTCTCCATCCATCCATCCATCCATCCATCCATCCATCCATCCACCCAACCATCTATCCATCCACCCATCCCTATCTATCTATCTATCTATCTATCTATCTATCTATCTATCTAATCATCTCACCAGCTATTCACCTCTCTCTCTTACTCTCTCCAGCCCTCTATCTATCTATCTATCTATCTATCTATCTATCTATCTATCTATCTAGCCATCCATCCATCCATCCACCTATCCATCCATCCATCCATCTATCTAACCACCTATCCATCCATACATTTCTATCTATCTATCTATCTATCTATCTATCTATCTATCTATCTATCCATCCATCCATCCATCCATCCATCTATCATCTCACCAGCTATTCACTTTTCTCTCTCTCTTGAGAACAAGGAGGAGAAAAATAGGGAACTTGGTGCCAAAAGGAGCTCCATTATCAGGGGCTTTGTTACCTTTCCTAATGCTTATGCCGATAAGCAACATGCAGCTAGGTAGAGAACAAGGAAGAAAGAGCATGGTGTATCCTTGATTCAAAAACGCCATTGATTGTAAAATGTGCACTGATTTCATCATATATATATAGAGAGGGGGGGAGGGCTATTATTCTAAGATGCACGCCATTTTAGAGATGTTTATTTGGAGGGGGGAGTGCACCTTCAAATAAAAAAAAGAGATTATTATGATCATTAGTAGTAACTCTGCTATCAGATTAATACAATACATTCTCCCAGTGCTGATAGTTCCACTATTGGAGATTTTGTGAATCTTCCCAGTGCGGATGCCACTAAGAAACCTCCAGCAAGACAGAGAACGAGGGGGGGGGGGGGAACTGGGGAGAGAAACGCCTTCAGCCGTACCTCTGCTGGCTTTTTCAGGTGATCCATCGCCTCCCGATGCCCAACGTCAACGATGAGCTGCACCACACCGGATGGAACGCCTGCAGCAGCTGTTTCGGAGACACCACTAAGAAGCGCAACCGGCTCATCCTCCCCAGTTTGATCTCCTCCAGGATTTACGTGGTCGACACTGGCACTGATCTGCGGGCGCCGAGGCTCCATAAGGTCAGACTTTCCCCATTCCGGAGCCAGCCAAGTCTCCAAGTGCACCCACTCTGTAGAAGTCATGCAATTTGACACCCTTTGAACTGCCATTATTATTATTACTATTGTTACCATGTGAGCTGTAGTTTGCCAAGTTCTTGAGCTATAACAAGGCATGGCCTCTCCCAATTCTAGTGCCTTTCCGGGTATTCCTTCTCTGTATGCATCTATAAAAGGGAAAGGTTTCCCCTTGACATTAAGTCTAGTCGTGTCCAACTCTGGGCAGTGGTGCTCATTACCAAATAGCCGGCGTTGTCCTTAGACACCTTCAAGTCATGTGGCTCGCATGACTCCATGGAGTGCCATTACCTTCCTGCAGAAGCAATACCTATTGATCTACTCACATTTGCATGTTTTTGAACTGCTAGGTTGGAAGAAGCTGGGGCTAACAGTGGGAGCTCACCCTGCTCCCCAGATTTGAACCACCAACCTTTCAGTCAGTGGTTTAACCCACTGTGACAACACTTGTACTGCCATCATCATCATTATTACTGTTAGTACTACTAATGTTATCATAAGAGTTATAGTTTTGCAAGTTCTTCAGCTATAACAAGGCATGGTCTCTCCCATTTCTAGCCCCTTCCCAGGCATCTCAGTCTCCGGCTGTGTCTACATTGTATATTTAATGTAGCTTAACACCACTTAAATTGTCAAGGCTTCATGTATTTGAATCCTGGGATTTCTAGCTAGGCAAGTTGCACAGATTTATAGTTTTACAAGGTCTTTAGCCATAATTCATGGCCGCTTCTGATTCAAGAGCCTTTCCAACCATCCCAGCGTACATCTGCAAGATTTGACTGTCTCGGCTCTGTGTTATGGAACCGTGGGAGTTGTAGTTTGGCAAGGTCTCATGACAACTCCCAGGATTCCATAGCTTGTACAGAGGTGTCAAAACTGCATTAGGTGTGCAGTGTAGATGCAACTCAATTCTCCAAGTGGCGCCAAACTAAGGGCAGTTCAATTGCCGTGGCTCAGTGCGATGGGACCTTTGGGAGTTGTATTTGGCGAGGTGCCACCCCTCTTTAGCAGAGAACACTTGCAAAACTACAACTCCCAGGATGACATAGCATTGAGCAGTCAAAGTTGCATCAATGGAGATGCAACCAGAATTACCTTATCAGACATCATCATCGTCACCTCTAAAGACCTTCTAAAACGACAACTCCCAGGTATGAATGTTTGATTTCTTATATAGGTTATCGAGCCCATTGATGTCTACTGGAAGTGTAACTTGGCCAACCCTCACACCTCTCATTGCTTGGGCAATGGCGAAATTATGATCAGCACCATGGGGGATCCTTCCGGCAACGGCAAAGGTAGGGGTCTGGACTGGACAGGCCTAGGATCTCTGATAATACAGGCCCTGAGCAGTGGGTGCAATGTGCTTTCATTGGGATGATCTTTGTTCCATCCCTACTGGGTCCAAACCCACGCTGACCCTATTTTTCAGGCGGCTTTGTTCTGCTGGATGGAGAAACCTTCGAAGTGAAGGGAAACTGGGAAAAGGGACCCAAAGCCCCGCCGCTGGGCTACGACTTCTGGTACCAGCCGAGGCACAACGTCCTGATGAGCACCGAATGGGGCGTCCCCAAGTGCCTCGCGTATGGATTTAATCCAGCTGACTTGGAAAAAGGTGAGAGGTCCTATTTGGCATCTTTCTCAATGACATGGAGGGCGCATCTACACTGTAGAATTGATGCAGCTCGGCCCCACTTTAATCGCCCTGCCACCAACACTTTTGGGCAGTGAAGACTAAACTACAAATTCCAGGCTATCTACCTTCACATCTATCCATTGATAGATAGAAAGACAGATCGATGCATAGATGGATGGATAGGTAGGTAGGTAGATGGATGGATAGATGGACAAATGGATGGATGAACAAATGGATGGATGGATGGTTAGGTGGACAAATGGATGGATGGACAGATAGATAGGTGGACAAATGGATGGATGAATGAATGGATGGATAGGTAGATAGATAGATTGGTGGATAGATTGGTTGATAGATAGATAGATAGATAGATAGATAGATAGATAGACCGACCGATAGGTGGACAAATGGATGGATGGACAGATGGATAGGTGGATGAATGGATGGATAGGTAGATAGACTGGTAGGTAGGTAGGTAGGTAGGTAGGTAGGCAGGCAGGCAGGCAGGCAGGCAGGCAGGCAGGCAGGCAGGCAGGCAGGCAGGCAGGCAGGCAGGCAGGCAGATAGATAGATAGATAGATAGATAGATAGATAGATAGATAGATAGATAGATAGACAGACAGACAGACAGACAGACAGACAGATAGACCGATAGATGGACAAATGGATGGATGGACAGGTGGATAGGTGGACAAATGGATGGATGGATGAATGAATGGATGGATGGTAGGTAGATTGGTAGGTAGGTAGGTAGGTAGATAGATAGATAGATAGATAGATAGATAGATAGATAGATAGATAGACAGACAGACAGACCAATAGGTGGACAAATGGATAGATGGATAAATTGGTAGGTTGGTAGATAGATTGACAGGTAGGTAGGTAGATGGAGAGACGGATGGATAGGTGGACAAATGGATGGATGGATAGACAGATGGACAAATCTAAGGATAGGTAAATAGGTAGGCAGGTAGGTAGGTAGATAGGTAGGCAGATAGAGGGATGGATTGATGGATAGGTGGACAAATGGATAGATGGATGGATAGACGGATAGGTGGACAAATGGATGGATGGAGGGATAGGTAGATTGGTAGATAGATTGGTAGGTAGGTAGGCAGACAGGTGGATAGACGGATAGGTGGAGAAATGGATGGATAGATGGATAGATAGATAGATAGATAGATAGATAGATAGATAGATAGATAGATAGATAGATAGATGATATATAACCATTGGATAGATGGATGAATTGATGGTGGTGATGATGATGCCAGACACTGAGGTCCAGTGCATGTGTAAATAAAGAAAGGGAGAAGTGTGACTCTCCTGCTCTGTATTAAACACAATTTTTGTCTCTTGGAAGGCTGCTATGGGAAGAGCGTTCATGTCTGGGACTGGACCACCCATGAACTCATCCAGAGCATCAATGTGGGGGAGAACTCCATCCCTTTAGAAATCCGGTTTCTCCACAATCCGGACGCCGCAGAAGGGTTTGTTGGCTGCGCCCTCAGCAGTGCCGTCCACCGCATCTACAAGACCAAGGTAACCTTAGTTCGGGCACAGATATAGGGGAAAAAAAGACCTAAAAACATCCACGTTTCTCAAAATGGGCCCATTGATCTGCTGAACATGGGTTGTTGTGTGTCTGGATTTTACACCAAAAGTCCTAGTCAGAGTTGGGTAAATGATCCGTTATTTTAACACAATGTAATGCACGGCGGTGGATTCCTTTTCCTGCAGGACGGAACTTGGGCAACGGAGAAAGTGATCCAGGTACCCAACAAGAAGGTGGAAGGATGGATGCTGCCAGAGATGCCAGGTTTGTCCCCTACTCTTCCTCTTCCTCTAATTCCTCTTCTTCCTCAATCATATTCACTTATATTTACATGGACATGATGATGCCATAGTAAAAACTTTGGGCTATCTTTCCATCCATCTATCCATCTGTCCATCCATCTACCTATCTATCAATAATCTATCTATCCATCCATCCATCCATCCATCCATCCATCCATCCATCCATCTTTCCACCCATCTATCTGCCCGTCCGTTCATTCATCCATCTGTCCATCCTTCATCCAACTATCTGTCTATCTCTCTATCATCTACCTATCTACCCACCCATCCATCATCCATCCATCCATCATCCATCTGCCTGCCTGCCTGCCTGCCTGCCTGCCTGCCTGCCTGCCTGCCTGCCTGCCTATCTATCTATCTATCTATCTATCTATCTATCTATCTACCTACCTACCTACCTATCAGTCTATCCATCTATCCATCCATCCATCCATCTACCTATCTATCAGTAATCCATCCATCTATCCATCCATCTTTTCACTCATCTATCTGTTCATCCGTCAATTCATCCATCTATCATCCAACTATCTGCCTATCTCTCTCTCTATCATCTACCTACCTATCTACCTATCGATCCATCCATCTATCTATCCCTCCCTCCATTATCCATCTATCTGCCTATCTATCTGCCCATCCATCCATCCATCCATCCATCCATCATGTATGTATCTACCTATCTATCTACCTACCTATCAATCCATCCATCTACCCATCCATCCATCATCCATCCATCTGCCTGCCTGCCTGCCTGCCTACCTACCTACCTACCTATCTACCAGTCTATCCCTCTATCTATCCGTTCATCCATCTACCTATCTATCAATAATCCATCTATCCATCCATCCATCTTTCCACCCATCTATCTGTGCATCCATCAATTCATCCATCTATCCATCCTTCATCCAACTATCTGCCTACCTCTCTCTCTATCATCTACCTACCTATCTACCTATTGATCCATCCGTCCATTATCCATCTATCTGCCTATCTACCTACCTACCTATCAATCCATCCATCCACCATCCATCTATCTGCCTATCTACCTACCTACCTATCTATCTATCCATCTATGAAACTAAGAAGTGCCGCAACCCAATATTTTTGTGCGTAACATAAAGTTTGTGTACCTTGATCCACCAGAAAGCAATAGTGTCACCCCCTCACTCCTCCAGGTGGACCATTTTGGACTTTGATGCCTATCCAGAATGGGATACGCAACCTGTATCTCTTTTCCTGCAATAACTTCTGCTCCTTCCTTTCCATTCCTCTTAAGGTCTCATCACGGACATTTTGATCTCCCTGGACGATCGGTACCTGTACTTTAGCAACTGGCTCCATGGAGACATCCGCCAATATGACATTACGGACACCCGGAAGCCAAAACTGGTGGGACAGGTAAACCCTCCCTTGAGTTGCAAAAGATGATTCCATTGGGTTGCCTTTTTTAGCAGCCCAGAATCTTCAAGGCCAATATCAATACATCATATTAAAAGATACACCTGTAGGCTCTTCAGCTTTTGCCAAATACCTTTGGAAACTAATTTTGCCTCCTAACATTTGCTTTCCAAACATGAATGACTAGTAGCTCTAGTTGTTCAGGAGATGGCAACCCGCTCCATGTTTTAGTCTGAACTTTATGGCATCCTTACATGACTTCTCTCTTCTCGTAGGTGTTTCTAGGAGGCAGCATAGTCAAATGTGGTCCTGTCACCGTGATTGAAGATCAAGAACTGGACTGTCAACCAGATCCATTCATCATTAAGGTGTCATACAGCAGCTATTTTGCTTAACTATTACACTGATGGCGTGACCATGAGTAGTAGAAGTGGGACCAATGACTGTACTGTGTGAATGAGTCTTAAGAACACATCACACCCTTGGCTGTGACAATGCGCGGGGGATCTTGGCCCTTTCTGACGTACATGACACTCTGGCGTGGTTTCTTTTCCTTCTCAGGGGAAACGGGTTCAGGGAGGTCCCCAAATGATCCAACTGAGCCTGGACGGCAAAAGGCTATATGTCAGCACTTCCCTCTACAGCGGATGGGACAAACAGTTCTACCCCGATATGGTCAAGTAAGTCACCTTTGTACACATCCTTGACCTATGCAGGTCCCATGACTACGTATAGAAAATATTCAGCAATTAGCAGTATCCACCAGAACAATGGCCGAGAACATCGTATTGTGGTCCTTATCCCTTTTCTGTTGTCTTTGCATTGCCTGTAGCTCAGTGGTGCATTATATAGCTCACACATGGTTACCCTCCCATTTTATATAATGAACATGGTTGGATTCCTGGCATTTTGGAGATCTTCAATCTCTCCCCAGCCTTGCAGTTCTCTCCTGCCTCACACCTCTCTCCCCAGCCTCTGTCTCTCCATGGCCTGCTTCTTTCTCCAGCCTCGTGCCTCTCTACAGCTTCACATCTCCATATAGTCTCACACCTCTCTCCCTGGGCTCATGTCTCTCCATGGCCTCGCTTCTTTCTCCAGCCTTGTGCCTTTCTGCAGCTTCACGTCTCCATATAGCTTCACACCTCTTTCCCTGGCCTCATGTCTCTCAATTGGCCTCACTTCTTTCTCCAGCCTCATGCCTCTCTGCAGCTTCACATCTCCATGCAGCTTCACACCTCTCTCCCCAACCTCATGTCTCTCCATGGCCTTGCTTCTTTCTCCAGCCTTGTGCTTCTCTGCAGCTTTACATCTCCATGCAGCCTCACACCTCTCTCCCTGGGCTCATGTTTCTCCATGACCTCACTTCTTCCTCCAGCCTTGTGCATATCCATAGCTTCACGTCTCCATACAGCTTCACACCTCTTTCCCTGGCCTCATGTCTCTCAATTGGCCTCGCTTCTTTCTCCAGCCTCGTGCCTCTCTACAGCTTCACATCTCCATGCAGCCTCACATCTCTCTCCCTGGGCTCATGTCTCTCCATGGCCTCACTTCTTCCTCCAGCCTTGTGCATATCCATAGCTTCATGTCTCCATACAGCTTCACACCTCTTTCCCTGGCCTCATGTCTCTCAATTGGCCTCGCTTCTTTCTCCAGCCTTGTGCCTCTCCACAGCTTCACATCTCCATGCAGCCTCACACCTCTCTCCCTGGCCTCATGTGTCTCCATGGCTTTGCTTCAATCTCTCCCCGGCCTTGCAGTTCTCTGCAGCCTCACACCTCTCTCCCCAGCCTCATGTCTCTCCATGACCTCGCTTCTTTCTCCAGCCTTATGCCTCTCCACAGCTTCACATCCCCATACAGCTTCACACCTCTCTCCCTGGGTTCATGTCTCTCCATGGCTTTGCTTCTTTCCCCAGCCTGGTGCTTCTCCACAGCTTCACATCTCCATGCAGTCTCACACCTCCCTCCCTGGGCTCATGTCTCTCCATGGCCTCGCTTCTTTCTCCAGCCTCGTGCCTCACCGCAGCTTCACATCTCCATACAGCTTCACACCTCTCTCCCTGGCCTCATATCTCTCCATGACCTTGCTTCTTTCTCCATCCTTGTGCCTCTCCACAGCTTCACATCTCCATACAGCTTCACACCTCTCTCCCTGGCCTCATGTCTCTCTAAGGTCTCACTTCTTTCTCCAGCCTCGTGCCTCTCCGCAGCATCACATCTCCATGCAGCCTCACACCTCTTGCCCTGGGCTCATGTCTCTCCATGGCCTTGCTTCTTTCTCCAGCCTCATGCCTCTCTGCAGCTTCACATCTCCATGCAGTCTCGCATCTCTCCCTAGCCTTGCATCCCTCTCCAGCTCCAGAGAATCACAGAGTTAGAAAAGATCTCAGGGGCCAACCAGTACACCCCCTTCTCCTGATACATAGCGTCTGAATCCACAACACCAAGCTTGGGGGGTTCACATATAAGTCTCTAGACATCCTCACATATAAGTCTTGAGTCCCCTTCGAGGAGATGGTGGTGGGATATAAATAATGTTTATTATTATTATTATTATTATTATTATTATTATTATTAAACATCTCTCATTCCTTCCAACTGAGCATCACTTTCCTTCGCCAGCCATGTTCCCTGATCTCTTGTTCTTCTTCTCTTTGTCCAGGGAAGGCTCCGTTATGTTGCAGATCGACGTGGACACCAAGAACGGGGGCTTGAAGGCAAACAAAAAGTTCCTTGTGGATTTTGGGAAAGAGCCAGAGGGCCCCGCTTTGGCCCACGAGATCCGCTACCCAGGAGGAGACACCACTTCCGACATCTGGGTCTGATGCCACAGAGATGGGGCACAAAATATAGGGACCTCTCCCTCTTTCACAAATTCCAGGGGTGAAAAATCGATGCTCAAAGAGGCCTCTCACCGAATATGTTCCAAAAATTCTCACACTCTCTCAGCCTCAGAGGAAACCAATGGCAACCAAGCAATAGAAAGAAAGCCTACATAAAGTTGGTTAGGACTCTGGAAGAACCGGATTCGAATCATGACTCAGCTATAGGAAACTTGGGCAAGTTACATTCTCTCCGTCTCAAGAATCCTAGATCTGTAGGGGACCAAATGCCATCCGATCCAACCCTTTGCCAGTAAATGGCATGATAAAATCCATTGAAAAATATTCCACCATAAAAGGAGAAAAGCTAAAATTAGCAATGGTAGGTAGGAAAATAAAAATATTTCTTCCCATTTTTGTGGCAATGACACTATCCTGCCACACGAGGTCGCATTTGGATTTTGGAGAACACCTATTTGCATATGAAAAGAGATATTTCACATATTTCATATTTCACATGAAAAGAGATATTTCAAATGATATGAATCCATATGTCTCCCAACGCAGGAATTTGGCCAATAATGTATATATAAATACCTTATGTAGGCTCCAATGGAAAGTATTTTGGTGAAGCCAAAGGCTAAAAGGAGATATTCTTGCTCTTAGAAACTCCATATAACTGAATGTTTTCTTATAATCTGAAGATTTGGAATCTAGCCTGCTTTGCGTCACTGTTCTTTTTGCTTCCACTTGATTCAGGAAATCACCATAATGATAATGATGACAGAGATAATGTTTGCTGTCAGTTGTGTGAGCAATGTTTAAATAAACTTAATTCTGGAGAAAGCTTTGATTGAGGAGATTACCTCTCTCTATATATTGCCTCTCGTATATATGCATGATTTGGGACCTGAAAGGATAGGTGCTGTGATTTAATGTTTATCCTCTCTTCCATCCAAATTCCAAACCAAAAGAGAAGCGCTCCTCCATTGGAGACCCGGTGGTGCCCGGGTTAGTAGAGAAAGTGGGTAATGGGGGCTCTGTATGCCAAGTTTGGTCTTTATCGATCATTGGATGAGGGTTGCAGTGGTCCCAGGAAGTGAGTGAAGGTACTGCAAGTTCCATCATCCATGGTTCACCCTCCTCCTAACTGGAGCAGGATGTAGAGTGGGTCATGGGGGCTCTGTGTGCCAAGTTTGGTCTTTATTGGTCATTGGATGAGGTTGCAGTGGTTTCAGGAAGTGAGTGAAGGTACTGCAAATCCCATCACCCATGGTCCATCCCCCTTAGAACTGCATCAGGATGTAGAGTGGGTCATGAGTGCTCTGTGTGCCAAGTTTGGCCCTGGTCTATGATTTGTAGGGGTCACAGTGTTCTGTCAGAAGTGAATCGGGTGAAGGTACTGCCAATCCCATCGTCAGTTGTCCATCCAGCCCAAAACCACACCAGGTTGCAAAGTGAATCATTGGGCCTCTGTGCCAAGTTTGGTCCTGATCTGTCATTGGTGTGGGTCACAGTGCTCTAAGCAAGTGAGTTAAAGTACTGCAAGTCCCATCATCCATGGTCCATCCTCCTCCAAACCTCACCAGGATGTAGGTCATGGGGAGTCTGTGTACCAAGTTTGGTCTTGTTCTGTCATTGTTGGGGGCCACAGTGGTCTGTGGGAATCGAAGCATTTGAAAGTACTGCAAATCCCATCATCCATTGTCCGTCCTCCCCCCAAACCTCACCAAGACGTAAAGGGGGTCATGGGGGTTATGTGTGCCCAGTTCCTCCTCTCAGTGGACTGAAGCAGACAGGACAGCAAAGCCCTTAGTGTGTCTGCCGACAGTCCTAGAAGGTTCTTTCCCTCAAGGCGAGGCTCTGAATGGACTTATTAAAAATGCCATGCCGGGCAAGGGTGATCGTGGTGGAACGATCCAGGATGAACCTGGAAAATCGCTGGCGCCATGCATTTTAAATTAGAAAAAGAGAGGAATACGAAAAGAGTAAGAATAAGACCTTCAGATCGTGGAAGGAGGTGGCTACCCAAAATTAAAAGAGAAATGCAAGAACGGGGGGCTGCAATTTGGAAGTACAACTAACAATTTCTAAAGATTACTAAACTGATGATACAGAATCATAGAATAATAGAATCATAGAATCAAAGAGTTGGAAGAAACCTCCTGGGCCATCCAGCCCAACCCCATTCTGCCAAGAAGCAGGAATATTGCATTCAAATCACCCCTGACAGATGGCAATCCAGCCTCTGTTTAAAAGCTTCCAAAGAAGGAGCCTCCACCACACTCTGGGGCAGAGAGTTCCACTGCTGAATGGCTCTCACAGTCAGGAAGTTCTTCCTAATGTTCAGATGGAATCTCCTTTCTTGTAGTTTGAAACCATTGCTCCGCATCCTAGTCTCCAGAGAAGCAGAAACCAAGCTTGCTCCACACACTCCCTGTGATTTCCTCTCACATATTTATACATGGCTATCATATCTCCTCTCATCCTTCTCTTCTTCAGGCGAAACATGCCCAGCTCTTTAAGCCACTCCTCATAGGGCTTGTTCTCCAGACCCCTTAATCATTTTAGTCGCCCTCCTCTGGATACATTCCAGATTGTCAATATCTCTCTTCAATTGTGGTGCCAAGAATTGGACACCATGAAAATACATAATACGCATATTGGAAAATATATATTAGATGTAACCACATTAGAAATAGGAATTAGAAATATATATGAAATCACAAAGAGATATGTATGCATGAACTTCACTTCACTTGGGAAAATATGCTCTTCTTAAAAGCTGCAAATTGGATGCCACCGAGAGTCCAGGGTCTAGGAAAGGAATGCCTAAGGCTTCTGGCAAATATCAAGAGACCCTTCCATATCGTACCAAGCAGGGCTTATCATAAAATTAATGATGTAGACTTGCTATCAAGAAGCCCTTGTACCAGGAAAGGACTTATCTTAAGATGGATGGAAGTTCTTGCTATCAGTAGATACTCTGGCACTATGGGGTACAGGATGGTCCGCTAATAGCAGCTCTTTAGATAAAGGTGCTTAATGGAAGATTAAAGGTGTTGAAGTTAAAATATGCTATTGAAGTCAATGTAAAAGTGGAATTTTGTGACGCACATTGTGATGCTTGTATGATGCATGCATATTATTATAAAGGGTATATAAACCAAGGCAATTCTTTTGTTCACCACCCTGTTTCCTGAAATACCAGCAGGGTCCATATCCGCCAACCGAGAATAAACCGTGCTTTTACAGACCCCAGGAACTCTCTTTTGTCTCTTTTCCTCAAACCTTCTCCCTGCCATTTCAATCCAATAGTAGGGTTTCAGCTCAAAACTCTCATTTCAGGCTCAGAAAGAGAAGGAACAAACAGATTGGCTATTGTTAGGTGAAGTGGCCCTCTGTGATGTCACTGGGAAAGAAAGGAGTAGAGTAGCACTTGTATGAAGGGAAGGGAGGGAGGAAGAAGAGACAGAGGAGGGAGAAAGGGAAAAAGGAAGGAGGGAGAGAAGAAAGAAAAAAGAAGGGAAACAAAAGTAAAAAAGGGACGAGGAGAGGGAAAAGAAGGGGAAGAAAAAGAAAGGAAAGGGAAAGGAAGGGAAATGAAGGAAGGAAGGAAGGAAGGAAGGAAGGAAGGAAGGAAGGAAGGAAGAGAAGGAAGTATAAAGGAAGGATGAAAAAGGAAAGAAAAAGAAAGACGTGTCTTCCTGAAAAACTTCTTTCTCTGCAACGTGTTTGGCTTCTTCAGACAAGCGCAAAATCCCTGAGGCAGCACAAAGTGTTTTGCTGTCTTAAGGGAAAGGGCTGGAGCTATCGCTGAAGAGGCAGGATCGGAGGCGCTGGATGCAGAAGGCCTGCCATGTCAGGCTGATATGTTGAGTTTTGTGGCCGCTGATGTTGTCATCTAGACATGTAATAAAGCTGAGCCCTCTTTTAATTCCATCCAGGGTTGATCTTTGGTTTGTTTTTCCTTTTAATTAAATTAAAAAACTTTTTAAATTTTGCAAGCCACTCAGTATCCTGGTTTCTAAGCCCCTCTCCCCCCTTCCTTCCTTCCTTCCTTCCTTCCTTCCTTCCTTCCTTCCTTCCTTCCTTCCTTCCTTCCTTCCTTTCTTCCTTCCATCCTCAACCTCCCCACCCCTTTCATTTCCCTTTCCTTTCCTTTTCCTTGGATCCTACTTGCTACCTTCCCCCTACTTTCTTTCCCTTCTTTTTCTTTCTTTCCTCCCTTTCTGCCTTTTCTTTCCTTCTTTCTTTCCTCCCTCCCTCCCTTTATACACATCTTTCCTTCCTCTTTCCCTCCCTATTATGTCTCCCCCTTCCTTTTTCTTCCTTTTCTTTCCATTTTTCTTTCTTCCTTTCCCTCATACACATGTCACCTTTCTTTGGTTTCCTTCCTTGCCTCCTTTTTCTTTAACTCACCGTCCTTCCATTTTTCTTTCCCTTCTTTCTCTCTTTCTTTCCTTCCCTGCATACACACATCACCTTTCTTTCCTTTCTCTTCCTTTCTTCCCATTTCCTTTCTTCTTTGTTTTCCTTTCTTTTTCCCTTTCCTTCGCCATTTGTCATCTTTTTTTTGCAGTGACATGACAGATGGCCACTTCACCTAGCAACAGCCAATCCTTATCCCAGGGACAGCCAATCTAGTGACATCACAGGGGACCACTTCACCTGGCAACAGCCAATCCTTTCCCCAGGGACAGCCAATTCAGTGACATCACAGAGGGACACTTCACCTGGCAACAGCCAATCCTTTCCCCAGGGACAGCCAATCCAGTGACATCACAGAGGACCACTTCACCTGGCAACAGCCAATCCTTTCCCCAGGGACAGCCAATCCAGTGACATCAAAGAGGACCACTTCACCTGGCAACAGCCAATCCTTTCCCCAGGGACAGCCAATCCAGTGACATCAAAGAGGACCATTTCATCTGGCAACAGCCAATGCATTCCCCAGGGACAGTCAATTCAGTGACATCACAAAGGACCATTTCATCTGGCAACAGCCAATGCTTTCCCCAGGGACAGTCAATTCAGTGACATCACAGAGGACCATTTCATCTGGCAACAGCCAATGCTTTCCCCAGGGACAGTCAATTCAGTGACATCAAAGAGGACCATTTCATCTGGCAACAGCCAATGCTTTCCCCAGGGACAGCCAATCCAGTGACATCAAAGAGGACCATTTCATCTGGCAACAGCCAATGCTTTCCCCAGGGACAGTCAATTCAGTGACATCACAAAGGACCATTTCATCTGGCAACAGCCAATGCTTTCCCCAGGGACAGTCAATTCAGTGACATCACAGAGGACCATTTCATCTGGCAACAGCCAATGCTTTCCCCAGGGACAGCCAATCCAGTGACATCACAGAGGGTCACTTCATCTGGCAACAGCCAATCCTTTCCCCAGGGACAGCCAATCCAGTGACATCACAGAGGGTCACTTCACCTGGCAACGGCCAATCCTTTCCCCAAGGACAGTCAATCCAGTGACATCAAAGAGGACCACTTCACCTGGCAACAGCCAAGCCTTTCCCCAGGGACAGCCAATCCAGTGACATCACAGAGGACCATGTCATCTGGCAACAGCCAATGCTTTCCCCAGGGACAGTCAATCCAGTGACATCACAGAGGGTCACTTCACCTGGCAACACCCAATCCTTTCCCCAAGGACAACCAATCCAGTGACATCACAGAGGACGACTTCACCTGGCAACAGCCAATTCTTTCTCCAGGGACAGCCAAACCAGTGACATCACAGAGGGCCACTTCACCTAGCAACAGCTTTGCTATTGTATAAAAAGAGATATGACCAGATTGAGCCCTATAGACCACGAGAAACTGTCCCACAGCATTCATTCCACTATTTCCAGCTTTCCTCTTCTATCCTTTTGGAAGAAGCAATGGGAGAAAAACACAAGGGGTTTGTGGGAAGGGGAAGGTGATGTTGATGCTCCCTGGAATTAATTGAATCAAACAGGTTGGGGCCGCCATGAAAAAGGCCACATCTGATATTGCTCCCTGTTTTGTTTTCTGGCGTCAGCCCTTTTCTTAATGAGTTTTTCAAGTGAAGACGCTTTCTCCCTCAGCATTTCCATGCGCAGCGTTATACATGAAGATGGAGAGATATCCTCCGCGTGTATATAGGTTCCCTCAGGGAGTGGTGCGACACTTCTCGCTGTCAGGTTCATTGAGGTTGCAGAGGAGATGTCTAAGATCCAGACCAAACCCATGGATGGAAAACATCTAGCCCTGAAGAACCCAAATAAAGGTAAGACGTCCAGCTGTCTCCATTCAGAACATTTATTATGATTTAGGGATCCCTCCTTGACATAATTTTATCCGCAAACGCAAGGCGGTGCCTATGTCTGGATCCAAGGAGTCTCCAGTCCTGGTTCCTACTTCATTTTTCATCTTCATTCTGAAGATGACAGCTTTCCAGATATGGTTAATTTACTTATTGCTTAATATAGGGTTTGCTTCCAAAACATTATTATAGTAGAGTCTCGCTTATCCAACCTTTGCTTATCCGACACTCTTTTCTGACGGCCCCCATTTTCCTCCACCGTTTCACCTTCAAATAAAGGAGCGCTCCCCAACTCTCTCTCCATTCCCAATAAGTGAAAAAGGATAGGGAGAAGGGAGGAAATGGGGAAAAGAGGCAGGACCGGAAGCGGAAGCATCCTCCTTCCTTCCCTTTGTGATTTCCACACTCCTCTTCCACATCCGGGCATTTCCTGCTGGACCCCTCTAGTCCCGAGGCATTGCCTTGCCTTAACTCTTTGCCTTATACTAATTTTTGCAATGCTTTTGATTGTTGTTGTTTATTCATTCGGTCGCTTCCAACTCTTCGTGACCTCATGGACCAGCCCACGCCAGAGCTCCCTGTCGGCCGTCACCACCCCCAGCTCCTTCAAGGTCAAGCCAGTCACTTCAAGGAGACCATCCACCCACCTTGCCCTTAGTCGGCCCCTCTTCTTTTTTCCTTCCATTTTCCCCAGCATAATTGTCTTCTCTAAGCTTTCCTTTCTTCTCATGATGTGGCCAAAGTACTTCATCTTTGCCTCTACTAACCTTCCCTCCAATGAGCAGTCGGGCTTTATTTCCTGGAGTATGAACTAGTTGGAACTTTTCGCAGTCCAAGGCACTCTCATAACTTTCCTCCAACACAACAGTTCAAAAGCATCTATCTTCCTTCTCTCAGCCTTCCCTATGGTCCAGCTCTCTCTAGCAAAGGATCGCTTTGGAGCTTGAGCACCTCAATGATGCCACGAGTGAAACCGTGAAGAGACACCCAAGACGGGATGGTCGTGGCAGAGAGGTCAGACCAAGCACGATCCCTGGGGAAGGCAATGGCAACCCACCCCAGTATTCTTGCCAAGAAAACTAAATGGACCAGTACAACCAGAGACATGTCGGTATGCCATCAGAAGATGGGACTCCCAGGTTGGAAGATGGTCAAAATGCTACTGGGGAGGAGCAGAGGATAAGTTCAACTAGCCCCAGATGTGATGACGCAGCTAGCTCAAAGCCAATGCTTTTGATACGAAATAATAATAATAATAACAACAACAATCTTGTCAGTTGAAAAAGGCCACTGTACTGGGATCTGCACGCATTATTCGCCGATACATCACACAGTCCTAGACACTTGGGAAGTGTCTGACGTGTGATCCAATACAACAGCCAGCAGAGTGTCTGCTGTAGACTCATCTTGTGGTGTTTCTAATAATAATAATAATAATAATAATAATAATAATAATAATAATAATAATAATAACTTTTTGAGTCCCCATTGTTAGTATTCTAGGTGTCTAGCGCCACGTTAGATGGGTAACACATCAAATCAGATGGGAGATTCCGTATTATTCGACATTTTCATTTATCCGACATTCAGCTGGCCTGTTTATGATGGATAAGTGAGACTCTATAGTAGAATCATAGAATCCTAGAGTTGGATGAGACCTCGTGGGCCACCCAGTCCAACCCCCTGCCAAGAAGCAGGAATAGTGCATTCAAAGCACCCCTGACAGATGGCCATCCAGCCTCTGTTTAAAAGCTTCCAAAGAAGGTGTCTCCCCCACACTCCGGAGCAGAGAGTTCCACTGCTGAACGGCTCTCACAGTCAGGAAGTTCTTCCTCATGTTCAGATGGAATCTCCTGTCTTAGTATCTACTTAATATAATAGATAGTTGGTATCGGCTGGAGTTTGGTCTCCCTCCAAGAACATTATGATAGATTCCCAGACTATGACAGAAGATAAATTCAGCCAGGATTTTATATGGTTTCATTTATCCAAATGTCCTCTCTAGACATATTCTACATCCTCCATTATGACCCTTATAATCCAGGTGATCCTTTGTTCCTTTGATTCCTTGTGATGTGAATAAACCAGATCTTGATCTTTCGTTTCTCCCCAAATATATAGGGAGGTATGGCCCAAGCCATGGACCCAGCTATGCTACACCATTGGAGGCCATGAGAGGTAAGCAAGGCTGATATTTTCTATCCAGAATCCAGTTCCACCTCCTCATATCCAACAAAATACGTCCTTGCCTTTAAGATCGTCATACTAGGCTTTGTTTCCACAGCCCCCAAAGAAAAGCTGATGTATGTAGTGTGCGTTTTAACCGAAACCGATACCCGGCAACCTGACTATTTGGCCACGGTGGACGTGGATCCAGAATCGCCACATTATTGCGAGGTAAATCTTATTCCATAGCCGATATACTTGACATTGCTTTTTCCCTTCTCCAGTTCTCAGAAGACCTACCTCACAATGTCTGCATGGCACAAATATTTTAGATGTGCACTTAATTTTAATTTCAATTTTAACTTAAGTGTATTCTACTGTTTGTTGTCCAAAGGCAGTGAATAGTTGCAACAAGAGCGACTGGTCTCGCAAAACCCTCTTATAGTGCAGAGGCATATTAAATATGGTTTTCTGTGGGCAAGCAGATGGTGACTGCTGGGTGGCATATGTTCTGTATCAGGAACTAGAGCTGATGTGGTCTATCCAATGCAATTTTCTCAAATCACACCCCAAATAACCAAACCAAATCTAAAGTTGTCCAAAAACTGATTCGTAACCATTTTGGTACTTATGTTGGAGAGTGGTCCCTGGTCAAAGAGGTCCCTGGTTCAAGGGGTCCCTGGTCAAAGCAGGCCCTGGGCAAAGCAGTCCCTGATCAAAGCAGTCCCTGGTCAAAGGCGTTCTTGGTCAAAGCGGTCCCTGGTGAAAGGGGTCCTGGTCAAAGTGGTCCCTGCTCAAAGCGGTCCCTGGTCAAAGCGGTCCCTGGGCAAACGGTTCCTGGGCAAAGTGGTCCCTGATCAAAGTGGTCCCTGGTCAGAGGCATCCCTGGTCAAAGGGGTCCCTGGTCAAAGCGGTCCCTGGTCAAAGCAAGTCCCTAATCAAAGCAGTCCCTGGTCAAAGTGGTCCCTTGTCAAAGCGGTCCCTGGTCAAAGCGGTCCCTGGTCAAAGAGGTCCCTGGTCAAAGCGGTCCCTGCTCAAAGCAGTCCCTGGTCAAATGGTTCCTGGGCAAAGCGGTCCCTGATCAAAGTGGTCCCTGATCAGAGGGGTTCCTAGTCAAAACGGTCCCTGGTCAGAGGTGTCCCTGGTCAAAGCGGTCCCTGGTCAGAGGTGTCCCTGGTCAAAGAGGTCCCTGGTCAAAGAGGTCCCTGGTCAAAGGGGTCCCTGGTCAGAGGTGTCCCTGGCCAAAGTGGTCCCTGGTCAAAGGGGTCCCTGGTCCAAGAGGTCCCTGGTTCAAGGGGTCCCTGGGCAAAGTGGTCCCTGGTCAAAGGGGTCCCTGGTCCAAGAGGTCCCTGGTTCAAGGGGTCCCTGGGCAAAGCAGTACCTGATCAGAGGGGTTCCTAGTCAAAGCGGTCCCTGGTCAGAGGCGTCCCTGATCAAAGCAGTCCCTGGTCAAAGGGGTTCTTGGTCAAAGCAGTCCCTGGTCCAAGAGGTCCTTGGTTCAAGGGGTCCCTGGGCAAAGCAGTACCTGATCAGAGGGGTTCCTAGTCAAAGCGGTCCCTGGTCAGAGGCGTCCCTGATCAAAGCAGTCCCTGGTCAAAGGGGTTCTTGGTCAAAGCGGTCCCTGGTGAAAGGGGTCCTGGTCAAAGCGGTCCCTGCTCAAAGCGGTCCCTGATCAAAGTGGTCCCTGATCAGAGGGGTTCCTAGTCAAAGTGGTCCCTGATCAGAGGGGTTCCTAATCAAAGTGGTCCCTGGTCAGAGGTGTCCCTGGTCAAAGCGGTCCCTGGTCAGAGGTGTCCCTGGTCAAAGCGGTCCCTGGCGAAAGAGGTCCCTGGTGAAAGTGGTGCCTTGTCAAAGCGGTTCCTGGTGAAAGAGGTCCCTGGTCAAAGTGGCTCCTGGTCAAAGCGGTCCATAGTCAAAAAAAGGTTGGGAACCACTGAGTTAACTGGTGCTCCCATGATGCTTCAACAGCAACTCTGAGCAGGGTTTTCTTGGTTGTGAGAGTGTGGCCTTCCACCTGGCATCCAGGGTTTGAGCCCACATTCCCAGAGTCCCAAATCACTATCCCAACTGGAACACTTTGCTTAGAAGGCCCTTTTTAGGGCACTCTGAAACCTTCTCAATTCTATCAAGTGTCCAGATATTAAAACTAATGAAACAAGACCCTCTCCGCCTCAAAGGACTGTAATGCAGATTAGATAGAAAGATCCAGGCACAAAATAACTGGAGTAATTTCTTTCTAGCTGAGTTTCATCTGTGTGCTTAATTGCTCTGGGAAAGATCAGAAGTGGCTTCTTTCATAGGACGGGTATCACCACAAAGCATGTGTATTTCCCAAATAAATACAGCCAAAATAGACGCCTAAATCACATGGCTGGCACCACCCAAGAGTTAGGAGGAGCAACTAGGTGGGGTGGAAGCTTGTGATGATCTCAAAGCTCAGGGATGTGGCCTTTGGGATGGTGTGAGGGCATTTCGTCCACTTCTGGACCAAGACATGATGGAGTCCTGCCTGGCTGCTCTTCTCTCCCTCTAAGGCCAGGGCAGTGACAGTTGGGAGGGAGCAAATCATCTTTCATGCCTGTTTATATGTTATGTGGGTTGGATTTCGTAGCTCGTGTTCAGTCCTTTGGTAACGTTTCCCATATTCTTTTCAAAGCTATGTCCTCTCTATCTTCCCAACAGGTCATCCACCGTCTGCACATGCCTTACCTGGATGACGAACTCCATCACTCAGGCTGGAACGCCCCCGTCAGCACTTTTGGGGACTTTGGCATTGAGCGCAATTGTCTCGTCCTCCCGGGCCTGATCTCTGGCCGTGTTCATGTGGTGGACACGGGCTCCGACCTGAGCGCTCCCCGCTTGTGCAAAGTATGTCACGGATTTGCAGAGGGAAAAAAGTCAGGATGCATCCACACTGTGGAATGGATGCAGTTCTACACCACTTTGGGTGTTATAGCTAAATGCTATGGAGTCCTGGGACCTGTCTTTTGCTGTAGCAATGGCACAGTTGTGCACAGAAGGCATAAACCTTGCAAAACTGCATTCCATAGCATTCAGCTAAGACAATCAAAAGGTATCAGACTGCATTAACGCTGTAATATAGAAGGTGGACCCTAGATCTTAAGCCAGTGTTTCTCAACCTGGGGGTCGGGACCCCTGGGAGGGTAACATGGGGGTTTTCAGAGGGGTCACCAAAGACCACCAGAAAGGGGCTCTTTGATTGTAAATCCCAGCAACTACAACTCCCTAATGTCAAGGTCTATTTTCCCAAAGTCCACCCGTGTAAGCATTTGGGCATATTGAGCATTCATGCCAAGTTTGGTCCAGATCCAATATTATTTGAATGCACAGTGATCTCTGGATGTAGGTGAACTACAACTCCAAAACTCAAGGTCAATGCACACCAAACCCGTCCAGTATTTTTTGTTGGTCATGGGAGTCCTGTGGGCCAAGTTTTGGCCCAACTCTACCATTCGTGGGGGTTCAGAAAGTTCTTTGATTATAAATCCCAGCAACTACAACTCCCAAGTGTCAAGATTTATTTTCCCCAAACTCCAGCAGTGTTCCCATTTGGGTATACTGAGTATCCATGACAAGTATGGTTCAGATCTATAATTGTTTGAGTCCACAGTGCTCTCTATTTATTTATTATTTATTTATTTACAGCTTTTTATTCTGCCCTTCTCACCCCGCAGGGGACTCAGGGCGGATTACAGTGTACACATATATGGCAAACATTCAATGCCAATTTTTGACATACAAACATATACAGACATACACAGAGGCTATTTAACTTTTCTGGGCGCCAGGGGAGCTGTCGCTTTAATCGTCCACCTGCGACGCTGATGAAGCACTTCCGCATTCCCCGCATGCTTCCCCGCTGGAATGCTTTGCTGGAGTCTTCTTTATGGCCTCATAAATCAGTTAATTTAGCCTCTCCACACTTTAAGGTGGTACCTTATTTTCCTACTTGACAGATGCAACTGTCTTTTGGGTTGCAAAGGTCGACAACAAGCTACACAATTGGTCGGAAGCTCACTCCGGCCTGGGCTGGCTTTGAACTCATGACCTTTTGGTCAGAAGTGATCTTAATGCAGCTGACACTCAGACAGCTGCGCCACAGTCCCAGTACTCCCCCCTACCCCACACCAAACCCTTCCAGTATTTTCTGTTGGTTATGGGAGTTCTGTGTCCCAAGTTTGGTTCAATTCTATCGTTGGTGGAGCTCAGAATGCTCTTTGATTATAAGTGAACTATAAAACCCAGTGACTACAACTCCCAAATGACAAAATCAATCCCTTCCCCACCAAATGTGGGTGTATCGGGTATTAGTGCCAAATGTGGTCCAGTGAATTAAAATCCATCCTGCATATCAGTTATTTAGATTACGATTGAGAACAGTACCAAAATGACAGTTCTGAAGTAGCAATGAAAATAATGTTATGGTTGGGAGGTCACCACAACATGAGGAACTGGATTAAGGGGTCGTGGCATTAGGCAGGTTGAGAACCACTGTCTTAAACAAAAGGGCCTTGCATAAGATGGAATGACAGCATGATCTGTTTTCTCTCTCTCTTGACACCTTGACAGGTCATCGAACCCAAGGAGATCATCAGGAAAACCAACTTGGGTTACTTGAGCAGCTCGCATTGCTTATGCAATGGGGAGGTTCTGATCAGCGCCCTTGGAGATGCATTGGGCAATGGAAAAGGTACTGCAGGCATAGATGCCCATTTGGAAATACAATTTGCCTTCTGCAATAGGGGAAAATCACACAAAGGAACCCTAAACCTGCCAGTATTCTAATAGGTAACCTGCCTTGAATCCCAATCATTGGCGTGAAAGCAGGATAGAAATCATAACATTGCTCTTTGCAAATGCATTGCCTTCTGACCCCAGCGGTTTCTGGTTTTGTTTTTGTTTTTTGGTCCCAGGTGGAATTCTTTCTCTGGACTCGGAAACCTGGGAAGTGAAAGGGAACTGGGAGTGTACGGAAGATGGCTACGCCAGGATGTTTGACTTCTGGTACCAGCCACGGCACAATGTCCTGGTCACCTCCGATTTGGGAGATCCCAAGTTCTTTGTCAATGGGTTCAACCTGGACAATCTGAGAAAAGGTGAGAACTTCCATGTGAGAGACATCTAGGAGTTCTAGTAGACCACCATCTCAACACAACCCAAAAGTGTGATACGGTAGCATAGTGAGTAGGACTATGGCCGAGTAGACCACAAGATACTTCATCTAAGCCAATGTGATGCTAGACTCCATCAACAGGACAATAGTGGAACTAGACAGGGGGAATGTGTCCCTGTTGGTTCTGCTGGACCTCTCAGCGGCCTTCGATACCGTCGACCACGGTATCCTTTTGGGATGCCTCAGGGAGATGGGACTTGGGGATACTGTTCTGCAGTGGCTCCGGTCCTTCCTTGAGGGTCATTCCCAGGTGTTGCTGGAAGACATCTGCTCGTCCTCACAACCATTGACTTGTGGGGTCCCGCAGGGATCTATACTGTCCCCTATGTTGTTTAACATGTATATGAAGCTGCTGGGAGAGATCATCTGGAGTTTTAGGGTCAGATGTCATCTGTACGTGGATGATGTACAGCAGTGGTTCTCAACCTGAGGTCCCCAGATGTTTTTGGCCTACAACTCCCAGAAATCTCAGTTAGTTTACCAGCTGTTAGGGGTTCTGGGAGTTGAAGGCCAAAACCATCTGGGGACCCAGGTTGAGAACCACTGATGTACARCTCTATCAATCCTTCCCACTGTCACTAAGGACGCTGTGCAGGTCCTGAACYAGTGCTTAGATAATAATAATAATAATAATAATAATAATAATAATAATAATTATTATTATTATTATTATTATTATTATTATTTATACCCCACCACCATCTCACCAAAATGGGGACTCGGAGCAGCTTACGTGAGGCCAAGCCCAAAYAACAATAACAGTAAAGAGAAACCGAACGCAAACCGAAAACGCAAGCAATAAACAACAAAATCATAATTACATAAAACATGTGAATATACAACAGTATAAAATTACAGTAAACACAAACACAGTGACAATGGGCGGGCTAGATGTAATGGTTAAAAGAAGAACTAATTAAAACTGGTTAAGAACTCGGGTGAGATAAAAGAGATGCAAATTATTTGCGGAAGAGGGCTCATTATAGTGGGGATTGTGGAATCAAGCTTTCCCACGGGGGGGGGGGCGTATACTCCAATGACAGAACATTGTAAATGAGTGATAATGTGGGAGTGAATACCTATTCACCAAAGGCGCAATGGAAGAGCCAGGTTTTGAGGTCCTTTTTAAAAGTTTCTAGGGTAGGGGCTTTCCTAATTTCTCCAGGTAGTGAATTCCAGAGTTGGGGAGCCACTGAGGAAAAAGCTCTCTCCCTTGTGCTTTCAAGGCGAGCTTGTGAGGCTGGCAGGGGTGAAAGAAGGGCCTCCCCAGGAGATCGGAGGGCCCGAGATGGTACATGGAGGGAGATACAGTCACAAAGGTAGACGGGTCCCAAACCGTTTAGGGCTTTATAGGTGATAACCTGCACCTTGAATTGGGATCAGAAAATAAACGGCAGCCAGTGGAGCTCCTTAAACAGGGGGGTTGACCGCTCCCTGTAAGTCGCCCCAGTTATTAATCTGGCTGCCAAACGTTGGACAAGTTGTAGTTTCCGAATGTTGGACAAGTTGTAGTTTCAAGGGTCGTCCCTCGTAGAGTGCATTGCAGTAATCCAGTCTAGAGGTAACTAGGGCATGGACCACCATGGTCAAGTCAGATTTCACGAGGTAAGGCCGCAGGGCTAACAAATTGAATCCAGACAAGACAGAGGTCCTCCTGGTCAGTCGAAAGGCCGAACAGTGGATAGGGTTACAGCCTATGTTGGATGGGGTTACACTCCCCCTGAAGGCTTGGATTGATCCTGGATTCATCACTGAGCCTGGAACCCCAGGTTTCGGCAGTAACCAGGGGAGCTTTTGCACAATTAAAACTTGAGTGCCAGCTGCGCCCGTTCCTTGGGAAGTCTGACTTGGCCATGGTAGTCCACACTCTGGTTACATTCCGAATAAACTACTGCAACGCTCTCCACGTGTGGTTGCCTTTGAAGACTTCTTGGAAGCTTCAACTAGTCCAATGGTCGGCAGCCAGGCTGCTCACCGGAGCGGCGTACAGGGAGCAAACTACTTCTTTGCTGCTCCACTGGCAGCCGATCAGCTTCTGAGCACAATTCAAAGTGCTGATTTTAACCTTTAAATCCCTAAACCAGTGGTTCTCAACCTGTGGGTCCCCAGGTGTTTTGGCCTACAACTCCCAGAAATCCCATCCAGTTTACCAGCTGTTAGGATTTCTGGGAGTTGAAGGCCAAAACATCCTGGGACCCACAGGTTGAGAACCACTGCCCTAAATGGTTCTGGCCCAGATTACCTGTCCAAACGTATCTCCTGTTACGAACCATCACAAAGCTTAAGATCGTCAGGAGAGGCCCTGCTCTCGATCCCACCACTCTCACAAACGCGGTTGGTGGGGACGAGGGATAGGGCCTTCTCGGCAGTTGCCCCCCATCTGTGGAATTCCCTTCCTAAGGACATCAGGATGGCCATCTCTCTCCTGTCCTTTAGAAGACCATTGAAGACTTGGCTTTGGGACCAGGCGTTCGTCTAGTGGACAGCGACAATTGGAAGGAAAGTTAGGACATACGTGACCTTGGATTTACCCGACTTGGTCTTGGTTTTAATGGGCATCCTAATTTATTGTTTAATGAACTTGGTAATGAATCTGTATAATGTGTTTTAATGATTTTTACTGTTTTAATTGTAACCGTTGTTGTTTATATGTTGACAGCATCATATGATGCTTATGTGAGGCCACCCTGACTTCCCCTTTGGGGGGAGAAAGGTGGGGTAGAAATGCATGAAACAAATAAATAAAATAGTGCCAAAAATGAGGGAGGCCATAGTCCTTCTTGATCCTGCTTTTGTCAGATCTCACTTGGAATAATCCTGGTCCTTATTCATCCACAGAGCACTATGGACGTCACCTCAACATCTGGGACTTGAGCACCCACCGCCTCCTCCAGACGATCGACGTGGGTGAAGATTCGGCCCCGCTGGAGATCCGTTTCTTGCACAACCCCAACTCGACCCATGGTTACGTGGCCTGCCCTCTAGAGAGCTCCATCCACCATTTCTTCAAGACAGAGGTGAATAGATCAATTGCTTGTAGAGAGCTGGGGTGGATTAATGGTTGGGTGCCTGGAAATCTGGATTCACTGATATGGCAGTGTTTCTCAACCTGGGGGTCAGGTCGTGAGGGGGTGTCAGTGGGGTAGCCAAAGACCATAAAAAAGACAATATTTTCTGTTGGTCATGGGGGGGGGGGTTCCATGTGAGAAGTTTGGCCCAATTCTATCATTGGTGGGTTTCAGAATGCCCTTCGATTGTAGATGAACTATAAATCCCAGCAACTACAACTCCCAAATGTCAAGGTTTATTTTCAACAATCTCCACCAGTGTTCACATTTGGGCACATTGAGTATTCTTGCCAACTTTGGACCAGATCCATCATTGTTTGAGTCCATAGTACTCTCTGGATGTAGGTGAACTACAACTCCAAAACTCAAGGTCAATGCCCACCAAACACTTCCAGTGTTTTTTATTTGTCGTGGGAGTTCTGTGTACCAGCTCTGGTTCAATTCCATCATTGGTGGGGTACAGAATGCGCTTTGATTGTAGGTGAACAAAAATAAATCCCAGCAACTACGACTCCCAAATGTCAAGGTCTGTTTTCCCTAAAAAAACAACAACAAAAAACAAACAAAAAAACCCAACTCCACCAGTGTTCACATTTGGGCATATTGAGTATCCGTGACAAGTTTGGTCCAGATCCATCATTGTTTGAGTCTACAGTACTCTCTGGATGTAGGTGAACTACAACTCCAAAACTCAAGGTCAATGCCCACCAAACCCTTCCAGTATTTTCTGTTGGTAGTGGGAGTTCTGTGTACCAACTCTGGTTCAATTCCATCATTGGTGGAGTTGAGAACGTTCTTTGATGGTAGGTGAACTATAAATCCCACCAACTACAACTCCCAAATGTCAAGGTCTATTTTCCCCCAAACTCCAACAGTGTTCACATTTGGGCATATTGAGTATTCCTAACAAGGGCTACATGGGACTATTTCTCCACCTCAGACTGGTAAAGCGCAAGGTTTATTGTAGGTGAACTATAAATCTCAGCAACTACAACTCCCAAATGACAAAACCAATCCCCCCAACCCCACCAGTATTCAAATCTGGGCGTATCGGGTATTTGTGCCAAATTTGGTCCAGTGAATGAAAATACAACCTGCATATCAGATATTTACATCACCATTCATAACAATAGCAAAATTACAGTTCTGAAGTCGAAATGAAAATGATGTTATGGTTGGTGGTCACCACAACATGAAGAACTGTATTAAGGAGTTGCGGCATTAGGAAGGTTGAGGACCACTGCGATATGAGAACCTACTCTCTCTCAGCCTTGGGGGAAGCCAACGGCAAACTACCTCACCAGTCCACTTGATTTTCCATGTAGGATGGATGTTGGGCGGCTGAGAAAGTCATCCAAGTCCCAAACAAGAGAGTATCAGGATGGTGTTACCCCGAAATGCCAGGTTAGTATCAAGAAAACAGCAAATTGTTACTGTAGTTCAATAATTGTAATTAGATATGGAGCCGTTAATTGTAACTGTAGCAGGGTTTTGACCTGGATGGCCCTTGGGGTCTCCAGTGACTTGATGATCTTGCTCCTCCTCCAGGATTTCTATTCGCTATTGTCATCTCCATGGATGACCACTTCCTCTACTGTAGCAACTGGTTGCATGGTGATGTCCGTCAATACGATATCACAGACCCACACTGTCCCAAACTGGTTGGACAGGTAAGCTTGTAACCTTCCCTAATGAGATGTTTCCAGGTGATGGATCCCATCACCTCTGGCTGCTGGTTGGGGATGATGGAAATGGTGTCCCAGTCCAGGGACTCCAATTTCTTGAACATCATAATTTTTCCGGCTCGACTGACCACGTTTTTTTGGGATCTTTAGGTGTTTCTTGGGGGCTCCATTGTGAAAGCGGGTCCTGTAACTGTCCTTGAGGATCCAGAGCTGGACTGCCAACCYGATCCCTTTGTGCTCCAGGTAAGGTCTGAAAATGATGAYGAACTAGGCAGATAATTCAGAGACAGGTCAAGATGCAAAGAAATCCGACGTTCCAATTCTCAACTGAGAGAGAACTGGGCTTTCTCTATTTTGTACTCCCTGTAACCTTATTGACATGTTTCCTAATCCTGGGGCTATTTTTTCCCCACTCTCTTTAGGGCAAGAAGGTCCAAGGAGGCCCTCAAAAGCTTCAGCTGAGTTTGGACGGCCGCCGTCTCTACGTCACCAACTCTCTTTTCACGCCTTGGGACAAGCAGTTTTATCCCAAGTTGGTCAAGTAAGTGTGGCCTTGGGGGAGTCACACTCTCTCCAACTCAGAGGAAAGTCTCTTGTGTAGACACCCAGCCTGGAAAGCCTCATGATCAGGCGTCCATGTGTTTACATCACCTTGACTTTCCCCCACATTATGTTTTTTCCAGGGAAGGCTCAGCAATGATCCGGGTGGACGTGGACACCGAGAAGGGCGGCCTTCGTGTGAACCCAGAATTCCTGGTGGATTTCGGGCATGAACCGTGTGGTCCAGCTCGGGCGAAAGAGATGCGCTATCCCGGTGGGGATTGCACCTCCGACATCTGGGAGTAGCGCGCATCCATTCCAAGACGTCTTCATATCAGCAGGAGAATCGATTACGAATTGGGATTCATCCAATACTTTTTTTGTCCAATGCTTGGTGTTGTGAATCCTTGTTGAAAATGTCAACATGAGACATACAAGTCTTGTAGTAGCGTATATCCACATTTTTTCTCTGGGTGTCTTTGGAACTGCATCCTGCCTACTTCCTTCCTTCTCCAGCTCGGAAAGAGCCAACTCACAATGTCTTAATGGCAACCTCCTTTTTCCCTCTTCATTTTCCGCTCCCTTCTTCCTCCTTTCCTTCTCTTCTTTTTCTCTTTTTTACCTTCTTATCAACAGCTTGGTGTGCAAGGCCTGTTATAAGGAGGGTCTCTGTAGAGGTCCTCAGTTCTGACCAAGAATATTATAAATAGGCCGATCCTGTTAACAAATAAAGTTGTTTGAACGATCATAAGACTTTTCTTTGTAATGAACTGTTAGGTGGCTGGGAGACCTAACTCTTGTTGTTGTCAGTTGGATGAATAGAATAAAAATAATCCATGCTCACATGGCTTAAGGGAAAGGGAATATAGTCTCATATCACCAAGGTGTGGTTCTTGTCCGAAGCGTGGGCATCCGAGGGAATGAACCAATCTCCCCAATGAGCTTCACCACCTTGGGTTGCTTGTTCAATGTGATGGTACCAAAATATCATAAATACACTCATTACTGATCAAGGCCACTAATAAACAAAGAGCAGTAGAGACAAGAAAAATCTTGCCTAGATAGTCTTGCCATCTTGAGTCTCCTTTGGTATGGAAAAATCAGGGTATAAACACATACAATCATTATCATGTTTGTATACTAATAACAACAGAAACACACATATATATTGTAAAAATGCAAACAGCAGATTTTAGATGCATAGTTCTCTCTGAAAGTGGGGGCCTGTCTTTAGATGTGGGAACCCCAGCCACATACATACATACGTACATGGCAGCATTCTGGATAAAGACCACCAGCATTGAAGCAATGCTCTGTGGGGAGACCAAGGTGCTTGTTTATAAAGCCATTGTTCTCCCAATCCTGTGATACGTCTGCGAAATGTGGACTGTCTACAGACGTCACATTCAACTCCTGGAATGATTCCATCAGCGCTGCCTCTGAAAACCCCCGCAAATGTCTTGGGAAGGGAGGCGGGGAAATGGCAGCGTTCTGGAAGAAGACCACCAGCATTGAAGCAATGCTCTGTGCGGAGACCAAGGTGCTTGTTTATAAAGCCATTTTTCTCCCAATCCTGTGATACGTCTGCGAAATGTGGACTGTCTASAGACGTCACACTCAACTCCTGGAACGATTCCATCAGTGTTGCTTCTGAAAAATCCTGCTAATCTCTTGGGAARGGAGGCGGGGAAATGGCAGCATTCTGGAAGAAGACCACCAGCATTGAAGCAATGCTCTGTGGGGAGACCAAGGTGCTTGTTTATAAAGCCATTGTTCTCCCAATCCTGCGAAACGTCTGCGAAACGTGGACTGTCTACAGACATCACACTCAACTCCTGGAACGATTCCAACAGTGTTGCTTCCGAAAAATCCTGCAAATCTCTTGGGAAGTGAGGYGGRGAAATGGCAGCATTCTGGAAGAAGACCACCAGTATTGAAGCAATGCTYTGTGGGGAAACCAAGGTGCTTGTTTATAAAGCCATTGTTCTTCCAATCCTGCRATACGTCTGCGAAACGTGGACTGTCTACAGACRTCACACTCAACTCCTGGAACGATTCCAWCAGTGTTGGAAAAAAAATCCTGCAAATCTCTTGGGAGACAAGGGACAAATGTCAGTGTGCTGGAAGAAGCAAAGACCACCAGTACTGAAGTGATGCTTCTATGCCACCAACTCAGCTGGACTGAATACCACGTTGTCTGAAAGTCTGATCACTGTCTCTCAAAACAGTTACTCTACTCCTGACTCAAGAATGGGAAACAACATGATGGTGGACAGAAAAAGAGATTGAAAGATGGGTTTAAAACCAACCTTAAAAACTGTGCCATAGACACCGAGAGAGAAGTGGGAAAGCCTGGTCCTTGAGCGCTCTAACTGGAGGTCAGCTGTGACCAGCAGTGCTGATTATTTGATCACTCCCAACTGCCTCTGCCCTGGCCTTACAGAGAGAGAAGAACAGCCAAGATGACATGTTTTTGTCCATGCCATCTGTGTCTGTGCTGGCTTCGAAGGGAGAGAAGAGCAGCCAGGCAGGACTCCATCATGCCTAGGCCCAGAAGTGGATGAGATGCCCTTCACCATCTCAACTGCCACTGCCCTGGTCTTGGGGGGACCATCTTCCATCTAGAAACCGATGTTCTCACTGTGGGAGAACATGAGGATCAAGAATAAGTCTCCACAGCCACCTATGGACCCACCGTCAAGACACTATACCTAGAGGACTATCATCATCAGGCTTTGAGGGATCATAGAACGTGAGGTGAAATCTTCTGAATAGGGGCAGAGAAGAAAAACAAACTCCTCAGGGGTGTTAACCCTCCCCTGTGCTATCCAAAGGTATGGAAAGAGGCTGAAAATTGTAAATTTTTCTGCTTTGCAATCTTCTATCTCCTTGGAAAAAGCAATGGGAGAAAAACTCAAGGAGTTTATCAGAAAGGGGAGGTGATGTTTACACTCTCTGAAATTAATTGAATGTGGTTGGAGCCGCAACGAAAAAGGCCATATCTGAAATTGCTCCCTTTTGTTTGCTCCTGGAGTCAGCTGTTTCCTTAATGAGTTCTTCCTGGGAAACACTTTCTTCCTCAGCATTTCGATGAATTGCACCTAAAGATGGAGAGATATCCTCTACATATATATAAGTTCCTTTCAGGAGTGGAGAGATACGTCTCACTGTCAGAAACACTGAGGTTGCAAACAAGATGTCTAAGATCCAGACCAAAGCTTTGGATGGAAAACATCCAGCCCACAAGAACCCGAATAAAGGTAAGACATCCGGATGTCTCCATTCAGGACATTTATTCATCCCTGAGTTTATTACATCCTCAAACTCAAGACGGTGTCTATGTCCGGATCCAAAGAGTCTCCAGTTTTGGATCCTGCTTCACTTTTTATCTTCACTGTTAAATTATTGCTTTTCCTATACGGTTCGTTCACGTACTGCTTAATACAAGGTTTGCTTCCAGGTTCTTCAAAACATTATTATCTACTTACTACTTAATGCAGTGGATCGTTGGTATTGGCTAGAGTTTGGACGTCCCCAAGAAGAGCACTGTGACAGATTCCCAGACTATGAAGCATAAGAGAAATATACCGGGAAGTTTGGCACAAATATAAGAATTTGGGCAAAATCTCTAAATTTTTAACCTTGTCGATATACCTGAAATTTCTTTCCCGTGTGTTTATTGGTTGGGTTATATTTTTCTATAGATGGTTAAAGTTAATTGGTATTACGTTATTGAGATTTGTTTGGATATCTACACCCAGGTATTTTATCTTCTTTCTCCCCAACTTCACTCCCATAATATTTTGAACCTTCTCGAGTTCTTTCCATGATAGACTCTCATATAGTAACTCTGATTTTCCAAAATTAAGTTTTTCCAAAGTCCTTAACTATTTTAACTCTTGATTGTGATGATTCCTCCGTCTTCCCTAAGATTATCATAGCATCATCCGCAAAAAGATCGACCCTAATTTCTTCCTTGCTCACCTTATAGCAGTAATTCTCAACGTTCCACATCTAGGATGCTATGATTCAGTAATAATAATAATAATAATAATAATAATATAATACCTGTCGCTTCCACATCTAGGATGCTATGATTCAGTAATAATAATAATAATAATAATAATAATATAATACCTGACGCAGCTAGTGTCGTGAACCAGAAGCCTTAAAGGAGCCAAACACAAGTAAAAGGTCCAAACAAGGTTTATTAACAAACAAAAATAGCTTAGAAACACTTGGATTCAGTGAGTCTAGCAATAAAACAAAGTCTGTAGCAACTGCTAGGCAAAAAAACGCAACTTGGAGAATAATCCGGATTATGCAGAGATATAATCCAGTATAACAAAAACTTTAAGCAAACTGCTTGAAAATAACAGAGTTCACAGAGCACAATGTAGCAAGGTGGGAGCAAGCAAAAACGAAGTCAAAAAACAGTCCAGTGTCCATAACGCGATGTCGTCGTCCAAAAACAATCCGAAGTCAACAGGAAGGTAAAAGTCAGCACTTACAGGATTCCTCATCTGACTCTTGATCCCGAGTAACCCGCTTCAAACCTCTACATTCCTCCTCCTCCATTTCAGAATCAGTGAACCCTTCAAATGACTCAGTATCAGTAGGTGTCATGAATATTTCCCTAATTCGCTTCCTTTGCTGCTCTTGATCCAACACCCGAGCAGCCCTCTTTGCCCTTCTACTACTCGTTGTAGCTTGCTCAACACACTCTACTACAACACTCGGGGTGGCTTACATGAGGCCAAGCCCAACAACGCAATACAATTAATGAAGTCAAAACACAAACAACAACATGATAAATTACATAAAACATAAGAATACAGCAAACAATATAAGATTACAATAAAATCATTCATAACACAATAGCAGTGAGTGGGCCGCATGTACAGAATAAAAGACTAAAGCTAAAAACAGTTCCTCATGTTGTGGTGACCCCCAACCATAACATTATTTTCATTGCTACTTCAACTTTTGCTACAGTTATGAATCATAATGTAAATATCTGATATGCAGGATGTATTTTCATCCACTGGATCAAATTTGGCACAAATATCAATACAACCAAATTTGAATACGGGTGAGTTGGGGTGGGGATTGATTTAGTCATTTCTAGGTGCAAAGATTACTGCAGATGCAGACTGTGCAGCCAGGAAATCAGAAGACTTACTTCTTGGGAGGAGAGCAATGTCCAGATCTCGATAAAAATAGTGAAGAGTAGAGACATCAGACTGGCAACAAAGATCCCGCCTAGTCAAAGCCATGGTATTCCCTGTAGTCACCTACGGATGTGAGAGCTGGACCTTAGGGAAGGCTGAGCGAAGGAAGATCGATGCTTTTGAGCTGTGGTGTTGGAGGAAAGTGCTGAGAGTGCCTGGGACTGCGAGAAGATCCAACCAGTCCATCCTCCAGGAAATAAAGCCCGACTGCTCACTGGAGGGAAAGATACTAGAGACAAAGTTGAAGTACTTTGGCCACATCATGAGGAGACAGGAAAGCCTAGAGAAGACAATTATGCTGGGGAAAGTGGAAGGCAAAAGGAAGAAGGGCCGACCAAGGGCAAGATGGATGGATGGCATCCTTGAAGTGACTGGACTGACCTTGAGGGAGCTGGGGGTGGTAACGGCCGACAGGGAGCTCTGGCGTAGGCTGGTCCATGAGGTCACGAAGAGTCGGAGACGACTGAACGAATGAACAACAACAACATTTTCATTCACTGGACCAAATTTGGCACAAATACCAAATACGCCCACATTTGAATACTGGTGGGGTTGATTTTGTCATTTGGGAGTTGCAGTTGCTGGGATTTATAGTTCACCTACAATCAAAGAGCATTCTGAACTCCACCAAACGATGGAATTGAACCAAACATCACACAGAACTCCCATGACCAAAAGAAAATACTGGAAGGGTTTAATGGGCATTGATCTTGAGTTTTGGAGTTGTAGTTCACCTACATCCAAGAGCACTGTGGACTCAAACAATGATGGATCTGGACCAAACTTGGCATGGATACTCAGTATGCCCAAATGTGAACACTGGTGGAGTTTGGGAAAATAGACCTTGACATTTGGGAGTTGTAGTTGCTGGGATTTATAGTTCACCTACAATCAAAGAGCATTCTGAACCCCACCAACAATAGAATTGGGCCAACCATCCCACACAAAACCCCCATGACTTGAAGGGACTCGCTGGTGTGAGCCTCCCTCCAGCCTCACACGCTCTTCCTCACTGGCATGTGCACACGATGAGCACGCCTGCTCTTCCCTCCCCATTTGAAGTCTCAGAAATAGCCCTCCCCTTGGCTGAGAGGCTGGCCAATCACAGTGGAGGAGGGCTTTTGGTGGGAGGACTCACCATCTGTTTCCAAAATGGAAGAGAAGGACAAGCGAAGAGATCTTCAGCCTTCTCTGCCAAAAGGCTTCCTAAGAACATCAGACATATATGTTTTCTGATGGTCTTTGGTGACCCCTCTGAAACTCCCTCATGACACCCAGTTTGAGAAAGGCTGCACTAGAGAATGAATCCACTTTAAACCTGGTTTATGCCTCCTCCAGAATCCTGGGTTTGTCGTTTAGTGAGGCTGTCAAAGGCTCCTCCCTAAATGACAAAATCCAGAATTCTGCAGGAGGCAGCAACTGGATTTAAAGTGGATTCATTCTCGAATGTGATGAAGCTATTTGGTAAACACTTCCCTGTTTCAATGTGATTAAGTGGTTAATCTTTCATTTCTCCCAAATGTATAGGGAGGTATGCGCCATGCCATGGATACGGTTACGCTTCGCCACTGGATGCCATGAAAGGTAAGGCGGGCTGATATTTTCTACCCAGAATCAGGTTCCACCTCCTCATATCCAACGAAGTACATCCTTTTCCTTAAGATCCTGATACTAGGCTTTATTTCCGCAGGCCCCAGAGAAAAGCTGATGTATGTAGTGTGTTCTTTAAACGGAACTGAGCCCCGGCAACCTGACTATTTGGCCACAGTGGACGTGGATCCGGAATCACCATGTTACAGCCAGGTAAATCTTATTCCATAGCCTATATGCTGACAATGCTTTTTCCCTTCTCCAGCTCTGAGAAGGCCTATCTCACAATGTCTCCATGGCAAGAATCTGATAACAATCCTCGGGCAGGAGAATCTTTCCCATATTATTTTCAATGCTATATCCTCACCGTCTTCCCAACAGGTCATCCACCATCTGCGCATGCCTTACCTGGGTGACGAACTCCAGCGCTCGGGCTGGAACGCCCCCGTCAGCACCTTTGGGGACACTGGCGTTGAGCGTAACTGCCTTGTCCTCCCATGCGTGGGCTCCGGCCGTGTTTATGTGGTGGACACGGGATCCGATTTGTGCGCTCCCAGCTTGTGCAAAGTAAGTCACATATTGACAGGGGGAAAGTCAGGTTACCTCTACACTGTGGAATGTATGCAGTTTTATGCCACTTTATGTGTTATAGCTAAATGCTATGGTGTCCTGGGAGTTGTCTTTTGCTAACACTTGTGCACAGAAGGTATAAACCTTGCAAATCTGGATTCCAGAGAATTCCACTAAAGCAGTGTTTCACAACCTTCCTAATGCTGCAACCTCTTCTTGAGTTCTTCCCATGATAGACTCTTATATAGTATCTCCGATTTTCCGAAAATAAGTTTTTTCAAAGTCCTTAACTATTTTAACTATGGATTGTAATGACTCCTCCGCCTCCTCTAAGATTATCATAGCATCATCCGCAAAAAGACTGAACCTAATTTCTTCCTTGCTCTCCTTATAGCAGTGTTTCTCAACCTTCCTAATGTCGCGATACCTTAATCCAGTTCCTCATGTTGTGGTGCCCCCCCAACCATAACATTATTTTCATTGCCACTAATTAACTGTCATTTTGTTACTGTTATGACTCATCATGTAAATATCTGATATGTAGGGTGTATTTCCATTCACTGGACCAAATTTGGCACAAATACCCAATATGTCCAAATTTGAATACTGGTGGGGTTGGGGGGGATTGGTTTTGCCATTTGGGAGTTGTAGTTGCTGGGATTTACAGTTCACCAACAATCAAAGAGCATTCTGAACTCCACCAACGATGGAATTGAAACAAACTTGCCACACAGAACTCCCACAACCAGCAAAAAATACTGGAAGGATTTGGTGGGCACTGAAATTGAGTGTTAGAGTTGTAGTTCACCTACATCTACTGTAGTTCACCTACATCTACATCTACTGTGGACTCAAACAATGAGAGATCTGGACCAAACTTGGCATGAATACTCAATTTGCCCTAATGTGAATCCTGGTGGAGTTTGGGGGAAATAGGCCTTGATATTAGGAAGTTGTAGTTGTTGGAATTTGTCATTCACCTACAATCAAAGAGCATTATGGATCTGGACCACACAAATACTCAATATGCCCAAATATGAACACTGATGGGGTTTGGGGAAAATAAAAATGTTTGGGAGTTGTAGTTGCTGGGATTTATAGTTCACTTACAATCAAAGAGCATTCTGAACCCCACCAACGATAGAATTAGGCCAAACTTGCCACACAGAACCCCCCTGCCTTGAAGGAACTCACTGGTATGAGACTCCCTCCAGCCTCGCATGCTCTCCCTCGACCGCACATGTGCACCACAATGCCATTCGGTGACTTGGGGTCCCATAAACAGTCCTCCCGTTGGCTGAAAGACTGGCCGATCACAGCGGTGGAGGGTTTTGCTGGAAGGATTCGCCTTCTGTTTCCAAAAAGGAGGAGAAGATCAATTAGAGAGATCGTCAGCCTTCTCTGCTAAGACCATCAGAAATATGTATTGTCTGATGGTCTTTGGCGAGCTCTCTGAAATCCCTAGCGACTCCCACAAGGGTCCCGATCCCCAGGTTGATAAACGCTGAGCTAAGGCAATCAAAATGGTATCAGACTATATTATTGCTATAAGATGTACCCAAGATCTTAAGGAAAAGGGCCTTACATAGGACAGAATGGCAAAATGATCTGTTTTCCCTCCCTCTGACCCTTTGGCAGATCATCGAACCCCGGGAAATCATCAAGAAAACTAAGTTGGGTTTCTTGAACAGCTCGCATTGCTTAAGCAGCGGGGAGGTTATGATCAGCGCCATTGGAGACACGTTCGGCAATGGAAGAGGTATTGCAGGCATAGATGTCCATTTGGGGATACAGTTAGTCCTCCACAATAGGGGGAAACCACACAAAGGAGCCCTAAAACTGACAGTATTCTAATAGGTAACTGCCTTGAATCCTAATCATTGGGATGAAAGAAGAATAAAGGTAAAGGTTTCCCCTGACATGAAGTCTTGTCGTGTCCAACTCTGGGGGATGTTGTTTATCTCCATTTTTAAGCTGAAGAGTCGGAGTTGTCTGTAGACACCTCCAAAGTCATGTGGCCAGCATGGCTGCATGGAGCACTGTTACCTTCCTGCAGAAGTGGTACCTATTGATCTACTCATATTTGCATGTTTTCAAACTGCTAGGTTGACACAAGCTGGGGCTAACAGCAGGAGCTCACCCCACTCTCCAGACTCAAACTGCCAACCTTCTAATCAGCAAGTTCAGCAGATCAGTGCTTTAACTTGCTGCACTATTAGGGGCCCCCAGAAGCAGGATAGAAATCATAATATTGCTCTTTGCAAGCACATTGCCTTCTGATCCCAATGGTTCCTGTTTGTTTTGTTCCCAGGTGGATTTCTCCTTCTGGATCCGGAAACTTGGGAAGTGAAAGGGACCTGGGAGTGTCCAGAAGATGCACCCGTCGGGTTGTTTGACTTTTGGTACCAACCGCGGCACAATGTCCTGATCAGCTCCGAAGTGGGAGATCCCAAGTTCATTGTCAATGGGTTCAACACAGACAATCTGAGAAAAAGTGAGAACGTCCATATGAAAGGCATCTAGAAGTCCTAGTAGACCACAAGCTGAGCATGTGCCAAGAGTTTGATGCAGCAGCGCAAACAGCCAATGTGATTCCAGACCCCATCAACAGGAGGATAGTGTCAAAATCAAGGGAGTAATAACCCTTGTTCCTGTTGGAATAACCCTAGTTCCTGGTCATCCACAGGGCGCTATGGCTGTCACCTCAACATCTGGGACTTTACCACCCACCGACTCCTTCAGTCAATCGATGTGGGTGAAGATTCGGGCCCGCTGGAGATCCGCTTCTTGCACAATCCCAACTCGACCCACGGTTATGTGGTCTGCCCTCTGGAGAGCTCCATCCACCATTTCTTCAAGACTGAGGTAAAAAGGGTTAAGGTTGGCCATGAGGCAAGTCAATTGTTTCTGGAGAGCTAGGGTGGCTTAATGGTTAGATGCCTGGAAACTTGGGTTCAGATCCCTACTACAATATGGGAACCTACTCTTTCTCTCTGTCTTGGAAGAAGCCAAAGGCAAACTCTAAGAAAACATGGAGAGGCCATATTTTTTCTGGCTACCTCACCAGTCAATTTGATTTTCCATGTAGGACGGATGCTGGGCGGCTGAGAAAGTGATCCAAGTCCCGAACAAGAAAGTATCAGGATGGCTCTACCCCGAAATGCCAGGTTAGTAACAAGAAAACAGTAGATTGGTATTGTGGTGTAATAATTGTAAGTACCTATGTAGTAATTAAATGTAACTGCAAAAGGGTTTTGAACGGGATGGTCCTTGGTCTCCAGTGACTCGATGATCTTGCTCCTCCTTCAGGGTTTCTTTTCGCTATGCTCATCTCCCTGGATGACCGCTTCCTCTACTGCAGCAACTGGGTGCATGGTGATGTCCGCCAGTATGATATCACAGACCCGCACTGTCCCAAACTTGTCGGACAGGTAAGCCTGCAGCCTTCCCTAATCAGATGTTTCCAAGTCATGGATCCCATCACCTCTGGCTGCTGGTTGATGGGGATGATGGAATCGGTGTCCCAGTCCAGGGACTCCAATTTCTTGAACATTGTTATTTTTCCACGTCTCTTTGGGATCTTTAGGTGTTTCTTGGGGGCTCCATTGTGAAAGCGGGTCCTGTAACTGTCCTTGAGGATCCAGAGCTGGACTGCCAACCTGATCCCTTTGTGATCCAGGTAAGGTCTGAAAACGATGACGAACTAGGCAGATAATTCAGAGACAGGTCAAGATGCAAAGAAATCCGACGTTCCAATTCTCAACTGAGAGAGAACTGGGCTTTCTCTATTTTGTACTCCCTGTAACCTTATTGACATGTTTCCTAATCCTGGGGCTATTTTTTCCCCACTCTCTTTAGGGCAAGAAGGTCCAAGGAGGCCCACAAAAGCTTCAGCTGAGCTTGGACGGCCGCCGTCTCTACGTCACCAACTCTCTTTACACGCCTTGGGACAAGCAGTTTTATCCCAAGTTGATCAAGTAAGTGTGGCCTTGGGGGAGTCACACTCTTTCCAACTCAGAGGAAGGCCTCTTGTATAGACATCCAGCCTGGAAAACCTCATGATCAGGCGTCCATGTGTCTCCACAAATTTGACTTTCCCCCACATTATGCTTTTTCCAGGGAAGGCTCGGCAATGGTCCAGGTGGACGTGGACACCAAGAAGGGCGGCCTTCGCGTAAACCCGGAATTCCTGGTGGATTTCGGGCATGAACCGTGTGGTCCGGCACGGGCGAAAGACATGCGCTACCCTGGTGGGGATTGCACCTCCGACATCTGGGAGTAGAGCGCATCCATTCCAAGTCGTCTTCATAGCAGAAGGAGAATCAATTAAGAATTGGGATTCGTCCAATATTTTTTTGTCCAATGCTTGGTGTTATGACTCCTTGTTGTAAATGTCAACATGAGACATACAACTGTTGTACTAGTGTATATCCACATTTTTCTCTGGGTGTCATTGCGACTGCATCCCGCCTGCTTGCTCCCTTCTCCAGCTCTGAAAGGGCCAACTCACAATGTCTCCATGGCAACACCTCCCTTTTCCCTCTTCATTTTCCGCTCACTTCCTCCTCTTTTCCTTCTCTTCTTTTTCTCTTTTTTACCTTCTTATCAACAGCTTGGTGTGCAAGGCCTTTTATAAGGAGGGTCTCTGTAGAGATACCCGGTTCTGACCAAGAATATTATAAATAGGCCAATCCTGTTAACAAATAAAGTTGTTTGAAAGATCATAAGACTTTTCTTGGAAACGAACAGTTAGATGGCTGGGTGACCTAACACTTGTTGTTCTCAGTTGGATGAATAGAATAAAAATAGTCCATGTTCACATGCTTCTAAGGGAAGTGGGTATCGTCTCATATCACCGAGGTATTTGTCTGAAGCATCAAGGAATGAGCGTCCCGGGGAATGGACAACAACAACAACAACAAACTTTATTTATATACCGCTCTATCTCTCCAAAGGGACTCAGAGCAGTTCCCAAGTAACATAATCAATGCATACAAAGAAAACAGTAAATACATAAAAATTAACAGGAAATTAGGTAAAGTCGATGGCTGTACATTTCCAGGGCCTAATAGAAGAAAGTGACCTGGGTAATTGGTAGAAAAAGATATGGCCAATTTCTACAGTATCTGGGGCAGAGCTGGAACTAGTCGTTCTCAAAGGTTTGTTTAAATCACCAGGTCTTTAGGCTCTTACGAAAGGAGGGGAGGGATGGGGTAAAACATCAAAACATCTGGGCGTCCCCTGGGCAACGTCCTTGCAGACAGCCAATACTCTCACACCAGAAGCGACTTGCAGTTTCTCAAGTCGTTCCTGACACGACAAAAAAACAAACCACACACACAAAAAACAAAAAAACCCAAAAACTGGAGGTCAGCTGTGACCAGCAGTGTTGATTATTTGATCTCTCCCAACTGTCTCTGCCCTGGCCTTAGAGGGAGAGAAGAGCAGCTGGGCAGGGCTGCATCATGCCTAGGCCCAGAAGTGTATGCAATGCCTTTGCACCATCCCAGCTGACACTGCCTTGGTCTTGGAGGGACCGCCTTCCGCCTAGAAACCGATGTTCTCACTGCAGGAGAACATGCGGATCAAGAATGGGGCTCCACAGCCACCTACGGATCCACCGCCAAGACACTACACTTGGAGGACTATCATCCTCGGGCTACGAGGAATCACAGAAAGTGAGGTGAAATCTTCTGAACAGGGACAGGGAAGCAAAACAAACTCCACCTTTCCATATGCTATCCAAAGGAATGAAAAGGGGCTGAAATTTGTATTTTTTTTTTCTGCTTTGCTTTCTTTTATCTCCTTGGAAGAAACAATGGGAGAAAAACACAAGGGGTTTGCCGGAAGGGGAAGGCGATGTTTATACTCTTCTGAAATTAATCGAATGTGGTTGGAGCCACAATGCAAAAGGCCACCTCTGAAATTGCTCCCTTTTGTTTGTTCTTGGAGTCAGCCGTTTCCTTAACGAGTTTTTCCTGGGAAGACGCTTTCTTCTTTTCCGATGAATGACACATAAAGATGGAGAGATATCCTTTGCGTGTATATAAGTTCCTTTCGGGAGTGGGAGAGACACTTCTCTACGTTGAGGCTGCAAAGAAGATGTCTAAGATCCACACCAAAGCTTTGGATGGAAAACATCCAGTTCACAAGAACCCGAATAAAGGTAAGACGTCCGGCCATCTCCATTCGGGACATTTATTGTGATTTAGGAATTTATCCCTGACTTTATTACATCCTCAAACTCAAGACGGTGTCTATGTCCGGATCCAGAGTCTCAAGTTTTGGATCCTGTTTCACTTTTTATCTTCACTGTCTGGTTCGTTCACGTACTGCTTAATACAAGGTTTGCTTCCAGGATCTTCAAAACATTATTATCTGCTTATTACTTAATGCAGTGGATCGTTTGTGTCGGCTGGAGTTTGGATGTCCCCAAGAAGAGCACTGTGATAGATTCCCAGACTATGAAGCATATGAGAAATTCACCAGGAGGGTTTGGAACAAATATAAGAATTTGGGCAAAATCTCTAAATTTTTAACCTTGTGGATAGACACATTTTTTTCCCCCATGTGTTAATTGATTTGCTTATATTTTTCCATAGATGGTTAAAGTTCATTGCTATTTTGTTATTGAGATTTGTTTGGATATCTATCCCCAGGTATTTTATCTTCTTTCCCCCTATTTTCACTCCCATAATATTTTGAACTTTCTTGTCTTTTTCCCATGATAGACTCTTATATAGTGTCTCTGATTTTCCGAAATTAAGTTTTTCCAAAGTCCTTAACTATTTAAACTCTTAATTGTAATGACTCCTCCATCTCCCCTAAGATTATCATAGTATCATCCACAAAAAGATTGACCCTAATTTCTTCCTTCATCACCATATAGCAGTGATTCTCAACCTTCCTAATGCCACAACCTCCTCATGTTGTGGTGACCCCTAACCATAAAATTATTTTCGTTGCTACTTCATGACTGTCATTTTGCTATTGTTTGCTATTGTTATGAATATATCTGATATGCAGGATGTATTTTCATTCACTGGACCAAATTTGGCACAAATACCCAATACACCCAAATTTGAATACTGGTGGGGTGGGGGGAGAGATTGATTTTGTCATTTGGGAGTTGTAGTTGCTGGGATTTATAGTTCACCTACAATCAAAGAGCATTCTGAACTCCACCAACGATGGAATTGAACCAAACTTGGCCCACAGAACTCCCATGACCAACAGAAAATACTGGAAGGGTTTGGTGGGCATTGACCTTGAGTTTTGGAGTTGTAGTTCACCTATATCCAGGCAGCACTGTGGACTCAAACAATAATAGATCTGGACCAAACTTGGCATGAATACTCAATATGCCCAAATGTGAACACTGGTGGAGTTTGGGAAAATAGACCTTAACATTTTGGAATTGTAGTTGCCGGGATTTATAGTTTGCCTACAATCAAAGAGCATTCTGAACCCCACCAACAATAGAATTGGGCCATACTTCCCACACAGAACTCCACTGCCTAGAAAGGACCTCTGGCACAACCCTGGCACACTCTCTCTCACCACGCTGTGATGCGCCGAGCATGCCTGCTTTCCCCTCTCCGCTTGGGAGTCTCAGAAACAGCCCTCCCCTTGGCTGAGAGGCTGGCCAATCACAGTGGAGGAGAGCTTTTGGTGGGAGGATTCACCATCTGCTTCCAAAAAGGAAGAGAAGGACAGGCGGAGAGATCTTCAGCCTCCTCTGCCAAAGAGAAGACTATCAGTAATATATGTTTTCTGATGGTCTTCGGTGACCCCTCTGAAACTCCCTCACAACCTCCAAGTTGAGAAAGGCTGCACTAGAGAATGAATTCACTTTAAACCTGGTTTCTTCCTCCTGTAGAATTCTGGGGTTTGTAGTTTAGTGAGGCTGTCAAAGATTCCTCCCTAAACTACAAACCCCAGAACTCTGCAGGAAGCAGCAACTGGATTTAAAGTGGATTCATTCTCTAGTTATTTGATAAACACTTCCCTGCTTCAATGTGATAAAGTGGTTGATCTTTCATTTTTTCCAAATGTATAGGGAGGTATGGCCCATGTCATGGACCTGGCTACGCTTCGCCCTTGGATGCCATGAAAGGTAAGGCGGGCCGATATTTTCTACTCAGAATCAGGTTTCACCTCCTTCTATCCCACAAAATACATCTTTGTCTTTAAGATCCTGATACTAGGATTGGTTTACGCAGGCCCCAGAGAAAAGCTGATGTACGTACTGTGTACTTTAACCGGAACCAAGTCCCGGGAACCTGACTACTTGGCCACAGTGGACGTGGATCCGGAATCGCCATGTTACAGCCAGGTAAATCTTATTCCATAGCCTATATGTTGACAATGCTTTTTCCCTTTTCCAGCTCTGAGAAGGCCTGTCTCACAATGTCTCCATGCCAAGAATCTGACAACAATCCTTGGGCAGGATAATCTTTCTCATATTATTTTCAATGCTATATCCTCCCCGTCTTCCCAACAGGTCATCCACCGTCTGCACATGCCTTACCTGGATGATGAACTCCAGCGCTCGGGCTGGAACGCCCCCGTCAGCACTTTTGGGGACACTTGCGTTGAGCGCAACTGCCTCGTCCTCCCATGCCTGAGCTCCGGCCGTGTTTACGTGGTGGACACGGGCTCCGACCTGTGCGCTCCCAGCTTGTGCAAAGTATGTCACGGATTCACACAGGGAAAAAATTCAGAATGTATCTACACTGTAAAATGTATACAGTTTATCACCACTTTATGTGTTATAGCTAAATGCTATGGAGTCCTGGGAGTTGTGTTTTGCTAACACACCGGCACACTTGTGCATAGATGGTATAACCCTTGCAAAACTGGATTCCATAGTATTCCGCTTAGGCAATGTTTCACAACCTTCCCAATGCCGCGACCCCTTCTTGAGTTCTTCCCATGATAGACTCTTATATAGTACCTCTGATTTTCCAAAACGAAGTTTACCCAAAGTCCTTATTTTAACTAGAGTGAAGGGGGGGGGGGCAAAGATAATTCCACCTTGTCCCCTGTGTTATTATAATAATAGAATGTAATATAATATAATATAATGTATATACATATAATATTTATAATATTACAATGTAATACAATATAATACTACTAATAATATGATATTATAATCATATATTTATATTACATGTAGTATTGCTAATAATATAACAATATAACAATATAGTACAATATAGTAATATTTAATACTGATATTGTACTGTG